CCCCTGATTAATGAGCATCTTAACTTTGATGATGATCAACAAAGGTTACTGACAAATACTATGGTTAGCAAACTGAACACAAAACAGCTAGAGGCTTTCACACTCATTATTCTCTCTATCAACAACAACCTTGGCACTTCATTTTTCCTATATGGCCATGGAGGAACAGGCAAGACTTTTCTCTACAATGCAATCATTGCAAAATTAAAAAGTCTTTCCAGAATTGCTATAGTTTTTGCCTCATCTGGAATAGCAGCCACACTACTACCAAACGGCACAACAGCTCATTCAAGGTTCAAGATTCCCCTTCATATAGACCATGCATCTACATGTTCCATAAAGAAAGGTACTCGTTTAGCTTAGCTAATACGTGCAGCTTCATTGATTATTTGGGACGAAGCACCGATGACACATCGAAATGCATTTGAGGCTATAAGCAGGACGTTTTGTGATATGATGGACATACCACTATCAGGTCCAAAACACAAGTTGTTTGGAGGAAAAACAGTAGTCTTTGGTGGTGATTTTAGACAGACTCTACCAGTAATTTCAGATTCTGGAAGGGAACAAACAGTTGATGGATCCATCACGAGGTCATCATTGTGGCCCTTTTTTAAGGTGCTCAAACTGTCAAGGAACATGAGGCTTAATGATTCACAAGATAATAGAAACCTGGTTGGCTGTGGAATGAACTTTGGTGAGTGGATTCTGGCGCTGGGAGATGGAAGGCTTCCAACAAAATCCTTTATGGCGAACACACCTTCAGATTGGATTGAGATACCACAAATACTCTTGATATATGCTGGAAAAAATCCAATCGAGTCAATCACAAATGACATATATGACGCATTTGAGGAACAACACATGAGCACAGATTACCTAAGTGGAATGGCAATCGTTACTCCTACTAATGCAGTTGTGACTGAAGTGAATGACTTCATGTTGCAAAAAATTCCTGGACATTGCCGTTGCTACTACAGTTCAGACTCTATGCAACTTGATACAGAGGTACCTCAGCTATTTGCTGAAACTTACCCAACAGAATTTTTGAATGCTCTTCAGTTCAATGGTGTTCCAAATCATGAAATAAGACTTAAGGTTCACACTTCAATCATGTTGCTGAGAAATTTGAGCCCACCAAACGGCCTATGCAACGGTACGAGTATATTGATTACGAAATTGGGGGAAAATATCATTGTTGGAAACATCATGGGAGGATCTTTTGACACAAAAGAGGTTGTTATACCACGAATAGTACTCAACGTAGAAGACAAACGCTGGCCCTTTATACTGAAGAGGAGGCAATTCCCAGTACGTTTATGTTATGGGATGACTATAAATAAGAGCCAAGGTCAAACGCTGGACAAGGTTGGAGTCTATTTGCCTAAACCAGTATTCAGTCATCAAGACTGAAGAGGACATTCCAGCCAATTACTTTATGTGGCAGCATCAAGAGTAAGATCAGCAGGTGGTTTGATGACTTTATGTGGCAGCATCAAGAGTAAGATCAGCAGGTGGTTTGAGATTCTTGATTGAAAATGAAGAGGACATTCCAGCCAATTACACGAGAAACATTGTATATTCAGAAGCCTTCACAGATATTGCACCTGGTTAATTTTGCAAGCATCGAAGAAGCTCGAAGTGATTATTATGAACTCTCCCAACGTTTTGAATTTTACGCCTGAAAAAATTTGTTCTTCCAGTTCTTGCGTTGTTCTTAACAAGAGACACGTTTTGTGTTTTTTATTTCGAAACTCAAAGCTAGAAAGCAGTCATGAGTTTTGATCAGTTAACATCGGTTCGGACTATCCAGAGAGAACTTAGAAAGAAAATCGATGAGCCCAACTGATACAACTTGACAGAACAATGATCGCATGAGCGTATTGTAGCCTTTTCTGTAAAAAGGCCTGATTCAACAGTTAGAACCCATTGCATATCATACAGAGCCCAAACACGATATCAAGGCCCAAACAATCGATCCAAAAAGGACTTACCCTAAGTTAACCCTAGCTTACATAAACTACCGATTGTTTTTTATGCCTTCTAGAATCGGCCGCGCAGTCAAGATACAAAAAAAAAAGGGAAACCAGGGTCTCGAAGAACTGGAAGCTTTCTTCTACCCAACAGATTTACATTTGTATAGTACAACTGATACGTGAGATTCCGTGGACCCACACAAAATGGACCCGAACGAACTGAAAGGTAAATACATTGAATCTGGAAAGAAATCCAACAAACGCATCTCGATTCCTATGCGAGTTTTTTCCATTTATTATTTATCGATTCGTCTTTAATCGCGTTGCAGAGTCCATTGATTCAAGCATGTGCTTTCGGGGACTGCGTTTGGGAACAAACAATCGAACCGTTATAGCTAGACATGTCGTTACATGGACTGAGTTCCGAGAAGTGCCTTTATCCACTTGGAAGAAAAGGACACATCACATGCTCTGGCTTGACAAAAAGGTTTGACTCCAGATACCCCAACCATATTCATAAATATTCGTCAGAGCATTTGATTCAGTGTTAAGACAAAAGAACTTGCCAATATACAAACCCTACACATCAATTAACCTACTGGCGAATGCTAAAAGATCAAAAACTCTTGACAACATATCTATCTACCGTTGACTTTACAGAACAAGTTGATCGAAGCTCAGGTTGAAGAAGAAGATGCAGATGAGGTTTTGAAGAAAATCAAGGTTGGCTGCCTGCATGAACTACAAGATATTGTAGCAGGTCCAGCAAGGTCAGTGCAACGCGTTGTCCATCGAGAGTTCCGCCTGCTCCTCACTTCAGATCAAATTAGGAGGCATATTGAAGAAGGAAATGGACCCCAGCAATTCCCAACAGGATCATACACAGCAGCCGATTTTTCCATTGTGCCTCAAACATCAGAAGACTTTGACTGCAATTCAGGTAAATATATGTCTCTCTATCCATGATTAAGAACACCATTAAACAAAGCATAACAAACATTAAATCTGTAGATGTTACAGGATGTGTTAGAAGACTAACTCATCCAGAAACAATTAAAGGAAGGATTCAGAAATTCGACGTGGTCATACAAGATGTCTGGTATGCTCTTAAGATTGCACACTTTTTTTTACTTTGTAAAAATGTATAGTTAACACATTGCTTTGCAATCAGTGGGGCAAAGGCTTATGTTGAATACAGTGGGCATGACATTGATGATTTTCAAAAGCATGCTCCAGCAATTGAGTCAAAGTTACCATTGATTGTGACAATCAAATCAGTTAGTAGAGTAACTCCTAGACATAACAGTAAGTATCAGCATGAATTTCGATCCACAAATGCAAGTAAGCTCATCATCCATTCTTATCAGGACTGCTGCAAGGATATCATGAACATGTGAGTTGCTGTATATGGGTTTACCCAACTGATTGGTTCAACTACTATCGAGTTAGTGATACTTACACATTTCTTTTCAACATGTAGCTTTCTTGCATGTCGCAAACCAGTTTACTTCATCGATGATGCTACTTGCAAAAAAACTGGACACCTGCTGAGCAATCAACTGCAAAAGAAATCGTTGAGAGAGATAAAAGAAAGGATGGAGGACCTGTCAGATTTCACAGAGGTAAACGAACAAACACCAGCATTGACATCAGCTGTATATTTCCATCTGTTTACCTGTATAATACATTTGACAGTTTTTGCAACAGGTTACTTACATGACATTGATTAACATTCCAAGGTTCATATACAGAAAAAGCATCTGCAAAATTCGTGGAGAGAACACAGGGTAAGCTTTTGACCATTCTCCCATGTTTACACATGGCATAATAATACTCTTTGTATAAACCTAACAAAAAAATCTTTATTGCAAGACTCACATACAAACTGGAAGGGAAATGTCGCCAAGGAGGATCTGAAATAGATGTGGTGTTTAAGCATGAAGCAGCTCTGTCGCTTATTCGTAAGTCACCGTCAGATTATCAGTTTCTGAAGAAGGACCAAATCATCGAATTGATCGCAAAGAACTGTAACAAAAAATTTGTTGCGGAATTGAACGTCGCATGGAAAAAAGTGGGGGACAGTGATTCAGACATGCAACCAAAAGCGACAGTGCTCACCCTGTGGGATCGATCAGCTTTCGAGAAATGATGTTGTCCTTCGAAGCTTGCCATTTTGATATCGTGCAAACCACAAAGGCGCGAAACTTCTGAAAACATTTTGTCTTGCTATTTTCCGAATCTTCAGTCTCCGCCATGGAACTTTTATTAGTTTAGTAGATACATCGTGGAAAACTTGGCCACACTCCTAACTACATTCATGTTTATTCTGCAAAACCAGTCAATCTTTTGCATAATGACCGCAGTTTTTATGTTTATGACAACATTTATGTCTATATTTAGAACATAACGATTATGGTTATAGATTATATTAAATCTCATTTAAATTATGACAGAAATAGTATCCCGCAGCGGAGCGCGGGCTGAATCCTAGTTTAAAATAAATGTACATAATAGTCAAACACAAATCATCACATCCAATTAAGTTAAACCAAGTATCGTTTTAACCATCAATTCAAATTCATAAATATAAATCTATCATTCATCAACCATGAAGATTGTCCGCGTGCAAACTATGGAGAAGGTCATGACCATAACAACATTAAGGTCCTCGTTCTCCTCATCTTGATTGACTTCATCACTAACGTAACAACCTACTTCCATGGGGAACGATTGACTTCATCATTCGAATTTGAAAGGTTGTTAACTAGGTATGAAAAGCAAAAATATCGAGCATTAGCATTCGTCCATTCAAAACCTAAGAGCAAAGCATAATGAAGTGTTAAGGATAATTTTTACCATTCCCATAACCATTCTCTTCTTCTTCTTCTTCTTCCAATAAACACTCGTGAATATAATGTGAACACCATAACCATTCTCTTCTTCTTCTTCTTCTTCTTCTCCCAATCTCCAGCAAACGCCAACGTTTCATATACCCCACGCGCTGTTCCCAAGGGAAACAAACATCTCAGTAGTTGAACTGACTGCACAATGCTGCTGGTCCATCGCTGTGGGGACTCCTTCCTCTTCCCTTTCTCTCACTTAATCAGAGATACACAAGTCAAGGAGGGAGGAGAAGAAGGAAATAATACTAGTGAAACCTAACTATAGCCAAAAGTAGCTAGCTTGATTACTTACAACCAGTGGGAAAAGGGGAAAACTTTTTCAACAGCCAATTTTCCCTCACCATGTTGTGATGTGGAGGAAGCTGGATCATCCATGGTTTCTCCTCTCGGGCTGTTGATTTTATTCCCTTTCCAATTCATGGGCGAATTACGGGGGAAGCATGGGCCTACTACAACATCTCCACCCTCTGTTTCTTCCCTCAATGCAAATCATGCTACCGAAGAACGATTATCATTGTTGCTATAGTTAAAAGGAGGAGCTCCATATCTATCCCATACCTTCTTTCTATATTATCGCTCTCAAAATATAACAGCACCAAGGATAAGTAAAAAATCTCCTCTGTCGCATGTGTGAGAGAAGGGAGTGGGTTCAAAAGGGTCCTGCTTTTGTCGGCATTAAAGGGCTCTTCTTTTCTTTCTTGATGGATGGTGGGGAAGCAGTTCAGTAGCTGCTGACATTGAAGAAATTATGGAGCTTTTCTTCTTTATTGGTGGAGGGAACCTGCAAAACTCATGAATGGGTTCCTGCTAATTTGGAGCTGTGGTGGTGGGTTTGGCTCAATAATTTTCACTGTAGTTGATATCTTTGAGCTTGGATTTCAGCAGTTTCAGCTCCAATTCAGTGCAGAGGAGGGGAATTGCAGATCTGGGATGAAGAGAAGTTGCAAACGTTTGAGGTTGGATCCCTTTTTTTATGGGCTTCAAGTTTCATTCAGAGTTATAAAGCTTCAGCTTAGTTAAGAGTGAGTGAGTACCCTGTTTCATTTCTGGTTGCAGGATCTGGTGGTGAGGTCGGAATCCTCTATGACTTGTGTCTCGGTGATGGAGTGGAATCACAAGCCTCAATTGCAATGGGACTGGGAGAACCTCATAATGTACAATCCAAATTCTGCAGAGAATCCGAACCCCAAGAAGCTAGATGGTAACTTAGATTGGGAATTCGTTGATGGGGTTAGAGAAGCAGCTGATTCTGGTTCTTTCTTCTCATCTGGAGGCTGCTGCAAGGACAATAACTCTGGTTCCATCTCTGAATTGGGTCTTGCTGCTGGTTCTTCTTTGTCTTCAAAGTCGGCTTCAATCACTACTTCTTCATCCACTGGAGAAGCCAAGCCAAACGACAATACCGGCGAGCCTCTGCTTGGTCTAAAGCTCGGGAAACGAACCTATTTCGAAGATTCAAGCTGCGGGAGCAACTGTAAGGCTGCTACTGCTGCTGCTGCTAATTTAGCAAAGAGGTCGAAGCCGAATTGTGTCGCTGTGTTCTGCCAGGTGGAAGGGTGCAACCTCGACCTCTCGGCGGCTAAGGATTACCATAAGAAGCATAGAGTTTGTGAAGGGCATTCAAAGTGTCCGAAGGTGGTTGTTGCTGGGATGGAAAGAAGGTTCTGTCAGCAATGCAGCAGGTAAAATTTACTCCAACCATGCTCGTCCTGTGACCTGAGAAATGATAACTTGAATCCATATTTGATTTGAGTGTTTGATGGGTTTTTTCATAGGTTCCATAGTTTGTTGGAGTTTGATGAGAAGAAGAGGAGCTGCAGAAAGCGGCTCTCGGATCACAATGCAAGGCGTCGCAAGCCACAAGGGGAGTCTCTTCGTTTCAATCCCTCGAGGATGCACTCCTCCATCTATGGTACTGATTATGACCTTCCATTTCCCTTGAATGAATTCAATTCCTGTTATAACTCGGACGATGTTTTCCTTTACACAGACGAGAGGGAAAGGGTGAGCTTTGGATGGGAAAGTAGCAAGAGTCCACTGGTCCAAGGAAGAGCAGGTGGATGTTTGTTCTGGGAAGACACCTCCGGTTCCAAGTTCACAATAACAAAGGAGTACTCCTTCAAGCCGACGACGAATCAGCCTGCAATTCGCTCGATGGCTGCCACCCATCATCATGGTTTATTGCCTGCAAAGGCGAAGGGGATAGCAACGGATGATCCAAGTCAAGGTTAACCGTTTTTTTCAGCCTTTGAGCCACAATATTACTCTGCCTGTTTTCATAAGTGCTGTAAGGCCTAAAATATTTGTTGCAGGAATAGAGGCGGAGGAATCAACCATGTCGCCAAATGTGGATGATGGTGATGATGCTACACAGGATCTCCACCGTGCTCTCTCTCTTCTGTCAACTAACTCGTCGTGGGGCTCATGCGAGCAGCAGAGATCATCGACGATAGCTTCACTTGAAGCCGCTCACGCAAGCCCTGCAGCAAGTATGCCGCAGCAGTCCCTCTTCCGGTTGCCTCGCATGGAACTGCACTCAGCCGAGCCTCGGCTGCACTCTTCCCAGTCTGCTTATGTCTGCGATTACTCTCATCAGTCTCGGCCACAGCAACTCTTGAGAGACCCATATGCCGCTGAGCTCAGTCCTGGTCAGTTGTGATTATCCGACATGCCTGAAGTCGTATCTCAGTTTCCATCGAAACCGAAGGTACACTGTGTTCTGCTTCTGGCCACGCCCAATGCAAGTCTGATACAGCCTAATTTTCACAGCCGGGTGAAATACTGAAACGGGAAAGACACAAGAGGGGTGATGGTTATTCAAGCCGAAGTATCAGTCAAACGATTCTGCTAACTAAGTGCTGTGGATGGCTGTAGGATCATCTTTTGCGTGTAATGAACGTTTGTGTTTTCTGCTGTTTCACGTCATTTGTTCAGTTGCAAAATTTAGGACACTTTTCTTCATGTGCAAGAAATCGGGATTTGGTTGATCTTCAACAGCCACGAACTTTAATAAATGTTTAAGAACAATTAGCCTCTGATTGGACTTTGGGAAAAATTATTAACTCAAACTTATATGTCAGTTTTCTATGAGTGAGTTTATTCCTCACTGTATTCCCCCTATCGAGGATGGTCTTTGGCTGGATATCGCCAGCCTCGTAGGCTGGACAAAGACATTTTCCTACAACTATGTTCTCGGTTTCTTATGTAACTCTAACAATACAATTATAAGTAATTGAGTTATTTCTCTAATAATTTAACTCTATTAATCATGCCAACCCTAGACAAATGAACGTAAGAATTTTAATTTGCCTTGCCTTGATACCATGGGGGAAATCAATGGTGATCGTAGAATTAATTTATCCAAGATATGTAGGTATAACAATTATGTTTTGGTAGGAATGACAATTTTGCCCATACCCATGGGTATTTTACTATCCAACCCAAGTGGGTTGGGTATCGATTCCAAATAAATGGTAGATGGGTAGAGTTAGGTGGATTTGTACCCATACCCATTTCTTTGGGTTGGGTTGGGTTTTTAACACATGGATTTGGGTTTGTACCCATCCCCAAACGCAAATTACAGTTTGGTACCTAAACTTAATAGATATGCATATTTAGTACCTAAATTTAATTTTTTTTGCATATAAGTCCTCAAAATATTGATGGAAAATTACATTTTAGTACCTAAAATTTTTTGGTCTTACATTTTGGTACCTAAACTTTTCGAGTTTTACAAATAGGTCCAATTTTTGTATGTGTAGTTAAAACACCCTCAAGTAAATGGATATCCATATCCAACCCATACCCATTTACATAATGAAAGCAATATCCATACCTAACCCAAACCCATCTACAAACCCCCAAACCCATATACACTTCATCCAAACCCTACCCATACTAAATGGATCTATTTGGATTTGGGTAAAAGTACCCATGGGTGGGTAATTGCCATCCCTATGTTTTGGCATAGCTTCCCAGATGATTTGATTCGCCTAATCTGAAGTAAGATCATCCTTTTGCCGATGTTCACTATCTGCAACAGTACTATCGATAGAATGTTGATAGTAGGCAAGACCAACTGATAGTGGCGAGGCTGCTCATAGAGGCTAGAGGAGTTGGTCGTCACTATCACAACTATGAGAAGAGTTCAACTGGTCGGGCTCGAGCAAAAAAAAAAAAAAAAAAAATATTGAGAACAGATATTGTGAAATGGGGGGAGGAAGAAACTAAAAATGACTACGTTTTAGGTTTGGCCCAACACTCGATCAACCAAACCAATTGATTTCTCCCGTTTTGATCAAGTTTGATCGGCTCCAAGCAAACTCTGTTGGGTTGCTATTACATGCTTGGAACAGCTTATTTAGGCCAAGGCAAATAGGCGATTCGACCGACCTGACTCGCCCACAGGTTGACGAGTTTGCGCCAGCAATAGATGTGTCTTTGTATGGGGATAGCTTCAAACCTTCTCGGTCTGGCACTATCAGCTTTGCCCAAAGATCGCTATAAATGAAGAAATTTTGCCAACCTTCCAAGTTCCAACCAAGTGTGATGGAAGCAAAAACAAGGCCCAAACTTATTGAGCAACATGCCCAAATCAACCGACCCCATTAGATAAAATGTTTTCAACCATCATCTAGAGAAAACACCAATGCAGAAGATAAAATCACACACGAGGCTCTAACTATGATGGAACTCAACGACATACATGCATACGAAGGTATCTAGAAATGCATGCACCCCCTATGAATCAGTGCTAAATGGAGAACTAAATCAACAAGCAAGGAACATAGAAAAGTAGAGATTCTTATCTATTTGGGTTACTTAGGGTACCGTGATTCCACGAATATTTGATTCTTGGAATGCATATGTTGTAATACAGTAATAATCATACACATGATTGGCTGCGAGCGTCGACCCGAGTCACACATTTAATGGTCAATTTTTAGAGTTGACCACCACATAAGTAAAAATTAACGGAGTTGGACGGAGTATCACGTGAACGATTTCAGTAAACTGAAGTACCACCAATAGATTTAAATATTTCAAATGACCAAACTTGAACGTTTTTTTAATCTCAATGGTTGATCTCAATGACCAACCATGCAATTAACCGAACTTCCATTCTACCAATTCGAAGTGAATAAAACTAGAGCATACTAATTGCATACCTGCCGACTAAGCATTAACACAAAAACCCACCGTTGCGTGGTACCCATACTTTTAAGACTTTATGAACAGGCCCTCGAACGTAACAAATACACCAAAATACCTTGAACACCATATCAAATCATTTTCAAGAGCATTGATTCTCAAAGAAACACAACCCTGCCACCTTTTGCCACCTCTAGCCAAGCCAACGACTGTGTACTTACCACAACTAAGCAACTTCACGCCAAGTCTCTAACCAAATATGGGAGCAACGGAATTCTGCTTCTATCAGAAGCATCTAGTCAAACAAACGATACCAAATGTGGACACATATCTTAACGGATAGAACATGTGTATCCTTTCAGTAAACTAACTTCATGGAAGCATACCCACTATAAGTTAAATGAATTGATTCAAAGATACAAAACGCCTAACTACTGAAAACCACCAACCAACATGTAGCAATATTCCCAGACCAATCTGACGGACACATGACGCACCAAAGGACTGAAAGATAACATAGGAACCGATACAACAACTCAACAGACGACAGCATGAGAAGGAAGAGTAACCCGACGACGACAACTGCCACACCATGAGGACGACGACAAGACTCTGACTTTCAGACACCCATACGAGAGCAACGCTGGACGACAACTGTGGACCTTCTCAAACATGTCCCTAGTACTCACTGGAACATTAGATAAATCACAAATCAATGGTTGCAGAAGATTGCAGGGGGAAATAAAAGTAACTAAGCAACAGAAAAACGGGAAAATATGAAGAGGACGGGATCTGAAGAGTGAACAGAAAGAAACAATCTTCTCGCAAATCTTCATCGAGTTTTTGAAAGGTACACTGGAAACTAATGAAACTAACATAATCTGGGTGCAAACGAGATTAATCACAACACAAACCTGCTCATTCTCTTCAGCTGCAGGTGAAGGGGACTTCTGTGTCTCCACTGGTTTCTCAGCCCCACAATTCGGTCTATTACACTTAGTTCGGAATGGATAGTTAATGTTGTTGCATTTTTCACATTTCCAACTTCCCTCCGGCATCTTTTGTTCTGAAATATTAGTCAGACATCAGTAACATACTACTACAGGTATAAGCATGCATACAAATGTAGTTTTGATTGAAAGGGCTTACTTGAATTTTTATCAGACTTTGCAGGCTGCAGTCAAGAGGACACAAGAATCAGAAATGATGCTCGAGAATGTAAAAAGAGAAGCCACATGTAAGGCCTAGTAGCAACTATCAACTATGCCAATTATGGTGGTGAATATAGTGGTCCTCAATACAGAAAATAAAGGGAAACCACAACTGACAAGAACATAATTTACCAACTATGCATTATAAAATAACTAAATGGAATTTCAGCACAAACCTGGGATCCTGGCTTGGGTGTATTGCACTTCCGCATGTTACAAACAGTTCTAAAGGAGAAGTTTATGTTTCCACATTTTGGACAGGACCAGTCGTTATCACGTGTAGCATCTTTAGACAAAAAAAAGTACGACCTTAGCAAGTAATAGAATAGCATCTTATCAATCCGAGAAAAAAGAAAAGTCAAATATCAAGCCTGTACCATTTTTCTGAGTCTTGTCCTCAGGGAAAAAAGTTGGCCTCGGCCCCTGGGAAAATCAAACACAGATATGTGAATATGGGGATTCAAACAACCGAACAGTAAGTGCATATCTGTGAATTTGAACTGCAAACGAAGTAGTCATTATTGAATTGGCTAGCCATGTAGCAAGAGTAAATTATGAAATCCAATCAACAGTAAGTTGCCGGTCTACCCAATTAGGGAAACAGGTTACAGACACCATATAAGCTGCAAGCAATTGCCGTGAAAATCTTTTATCAATATGTACTATCATCCAAGCACATGGTATAACAATAGAGCATAAAAGAAAGACATCCCAACCGACACTCTTATGTCACATACAAATTCCTGATCAGGGACCTACTTAACATACCATAGCAGCAGGGGCCATCGGCATGCCCATCCCGTAGCGGTCCATCATAGGTGGGGGCATTCCATACATACCACCTGCAATTAAAAGCAAGTATTAAAAGCTATAATATGAACTAATCCATGCAGACTATAATTAGCACATGGATCATATAAATGTCACCTTCTCAGGGACCATAAAATGATTCCAAATTAGGATTGAAATTTGAAGGCAAAAAGCAAGGAAACATGACACACCATTCCCCATCATAGATCCACCAGAATAAGGCGGTGGTGTAGATATGTGGAGTGGCCTATAAGGGCTTCCAGCAGACATCCGACTACCATAATTGTAAGGATATGCAGAACCCCCAGAATATGGTGCTTCGTATGGAGGAAGAGACGATCCATTGAACATAGAAGACCCGTACGGAGGCACACCCATATACATTGAAGATGGTGCCCCAGATCCTACATAGGGAGGTGCAGCAGAGTAATGCTGAGGGGGCTGCAGAGGCTTGGGAGCAGACTTCTGTAATGATTAAAAAAACAGTCTAGACTGTAAATAACAATAACTAATAATAAAATAAAGAAAAAGCTGGGATTCCAAAAGAGCCAGTAACATTCTAACTTGAACACATTATGGATCAGACAGCAGAGACTGTACTAGAAACAACATTTGAAAAAGGATGTCCAAAAGATAAGTCATCCCAAAACATTCTGCATCACCATCTTTTGTCCCTTGAGTAGCATATAGCTTATTCCAGGTATACTAAACCCAAAGCACTTTAAGAGAGAAACAGAAATGGATTCCAACCAAACACTTTTCAAATTCATATTAAAGGATAGATAGTATGGTGAGAGGAACTCTCATGCCTTCTATAGTACTTTCAGATATTATTGCACATACACTACTAATTCTAGTTTGCTATTGCTCATACAAGATAGGCAATTGGATTTTCTTTTCCATTTTCCTTTAATGGTTCATATTGATAAAAAAAGTAAGAAGTTGAGTTCCATTAAGACGAATAACTTTGCCTAAGAGATTTTATATAAGTTATGCAAGTGCATAAACAGTAGGAACTAGAATAAAAGTAAGTGAAATCACGTTCAGTTGTTGTAACTACATGTCAACTAGATAATACTACAACAAGAAAAAGAGCATCATAAGAACAGCTTACCGAGTTATGATCTGCTGGCCTCGGTTGGGTGCAATTACGCATGTTGCAAGTTGTCCTGAACGAGAAATTGACATTGCCACAGCTCGGACAGGTCCAATCATCTTCCCTGCGACTGCCTATAAAAAGACCAGAAAACAAAAACCAAGCAAAATAACACAGACTTCAGCATTGCATTGCATTGCATTGAATCACATCTTTACATTCTCTCATTCAAATATCAGGCAGAGAATGCAAAAAAGAAGAAGTATAGCAACCACATACCATCAGTTCTAGCACGCTTGGTCGCTGAGGAATTCCTATTATCCACCTGAACACCAATACCCAAACGAGAGAAGAAAAAAACTTCACTCGCCAACATCGAATACTAATTCAACAATCAGAAAACACCAACAAAAAAAAACACCCATGGCTAAACGATCTCGAAATACAGAATCCATAGCGACCTACGCCAAATCGATTAAAATCCATTGACATAAACACCCTGAATTGCGCCTCCCGTTGTTCAATCGAGACAAAAGTCCAACCAATCGCAAAAAACAAGCACGAAAAGAAGAAGAAAAATTCGAAAAAGCAAGATCCTCCATGGTTCAGCACTAGGCGTAATCAATTGGAGATAACGAGTGCGAAGGAGGAGGATACCTGAGACATGGATCTTGGAAAGGTCGAACGAGGAGAGAGAAGAATTGGAGGAAGGATCTTCGCAGCTAGGTTTTGCGAGGGAGCGACACCGCCGACTGAGCGAATTGCAGATTTGCCCTACCGTGCTTTGTGAGCGCCCGCGTGAGAGAGAGATGTGAATGCTGAAGAGGCTCGACCGCTAGATGCGACGGTTTTCGATTTTACTTCTGTTCGCTTAGGGATGGCAAAATATCTGTAACCGTGGATATCCACCCGAATCCGATCTAATCAGGTAGGGTAAAACTCGAACCCGAAGCATTTTTCGTGGGTACGGGTAAAACCCGAACCCGAATATTGCGGGTAATGGGTGGGCATGGTTATCTCACTATCCAAGCCGAACCCGCCCGATTATATACATGCATATGTATTTTGTCTAGAAATAATCATTATTTTTTCCTAGAATATTTTATATTTAGCATATAAATATAATATTTTCATGAAATTATGTTGTTTTAATTAATTTTTGTCATCCTAGTGAATTTTTGTCGTACTTTTCCTCTTACGTAATGTGAATATACGTGTGAATGTTAACATATTGGTTGGAATTATAAGGAGAAATTATTACCCATGGATAACCGTGGATACCCGAAACCCGAACGAGTATGGGCATGGTTTTGATTTTCTACCCGTTTCTCGTGTGGGTATGGGTATGGGTAAAACCCGAACAACATTGGGCAGGGTAACGGATATGTACTATCCGCCCTCGACCCGACCCATTGCCATCCCTATGTTCGCTTGTTGTGTTGTCTTAACTCGTAAGTCGTAAGCTTTCGGGAACGGCGCGGACTGATTAGGTGGGGCCCCGTGAGTTGGATCCAAGTTGTTTTTTTTTTTTTTACAAATAGTACGCTAAGATTGTATATAACATCTCGAACCTCTTCCCGAGCAAAATATTGTCGGCTTTGGGCCTCGACTCTCACGGATTTCGGCTTGGGATGGCAATTCAAGGTGACTTCCTATAAGGTCACCCATCTTTGTTGTACTTCATACTTAACACGTTTAACTTCAGAGTTATCACAAGAACTTCATTTCACCCCAAAACGCGTTTTCTCAGTTAATGCCGGTTTCCTACATATGAAATATGGATCTCTCCCGTGTTTTGTCGATGTGGAATTTGCCTAAAGTGTTACATACACCCCCCTGGGACTCAACGCCCTTTTTGAGGTTTGCCCCACAGTCGTTCAAGAGGGGCACAGAGAGGCTCTGATACCACTTGTAACATCCTGAACCTTTTCCCGAGAAAGATATTATCTGCTTTGAGCCTCGACCCTCGTGAATTTTGACTTGGGGTGCAATTCAAGGTGACTTCCCATAAGGTCACCCATCCTTGTTGTACTCCACACTGAGCACGTTTAAGTTCAGAGTTCTCACAAGAACTCCTCCATTTCACTCCAAAATGCATCTTATCAGTTAAAGCCGGTTCCTACTTATGAACAATTGATCTCTCTCATCCTTTGTCGATGTGGGATTTGCCTAAATTGTTACATTGTATACCAGAATAACACTTTTTGTGTGAAAAGGGTGCAAAGCACCACTAACTCTTACCCGTTAAGGGGACGAATGGTGAAACCAACAATATTGTCAAACATACACCAATGAGCAATTGCTGGATCAGACGGGCAAATAACATGGGAGCTAATAGCAAGATGATGGCCTCGGTGGAAAAGGCTATCAGCTAAAAAGTCTGCTTCTCTATAGACATGGGTGATGCAAATCTCTCAGTCTCTCTGCTGGAGCTCTCTGAAAGTAAGGACAAGGATCGGATGCTGGTGGTTTTTCGGTGGGGTGGCTGAGAAGAGGTGAACCGCAATTGTCGAGTCAAGCTGGAGTTCCACCTTCTTAAAGCCAGTATTCCAAGCCAGTTGCATTCCCTTAAGAGCGCCTCATAGCTCTATGCGAGTGATCGTGCATCTTCCTAAGTTCATCATGTAGTCCCCTAGCAAGCGACAGTATCAGTCTCGAAGCGTCTCTCATGCAGCGGTAGACCCTAATGGTCGAAAGAGTGAACCATCAGAGTTCACTGTGAGCCAATCTGTCGGGGCCGGTCTCCACCCAATAGCCACGTCTTAACGTGATCCCGACCACCCCAGTGATATAATGTGGTCAGCTACTTTGCTTTGTCGCACAATGATCTCCCAGGCTAGGATCTTTTGCGTAAACTTGTTAGGGGCTTCCACGAAGTCTGAAAAGACGAGATCATACAGTGAACGCCATAAGAACCAATAAACAAATTCAAAACGAACCTGGTTGCCGGGGCTAGCGAGGTAAGACATAAATCAATCCTTAAAGGACGAGTATCATGCGAATGTGCTACTTGAGGCATGCCAAGCAATCACACCTGCTGGGCGAACGAGCACATCCTGAACACGTGCTCAACATCCTCCACATCGGCCTTACAACGCGCACAAATGCTGGTTGTCGTAATACGGCGTCGTCGACTTTCCTCATTCGTAAGTAGTGCTCAAGGTGCCGTTATCCATAGGAAATGGCGAAGCCGATTCGGATCAGGCTACCGCCATATGGTTTTCCAGCCCGCGTGAGTATCATCGCCATCAATATCGGCTGCAAGCTGGTCAGCCAACCTCAGACTAAAATTTCCATTTGGCTCCGGACCCTACACAAAGTTATCCTCTCCAATTCAATAATCAGAATAACACAGTCATATTACAACAAACATGCGACTTAGGGTGGTTTGGAGGTTGAGATTTCAAGTAGTGTATTTGACCAATACGTGAAGATTTAGTTATTTTTTGTTTAAATTGATTTAGAATGTATGTAATTACTTTTTAAGGACACACCTCTATGGTTGCAACAGGGGTGGTTACCCCTATCCGCACAACGCTCATCAAAGCTCCCCGGGTCTGATAAACAACCCGCACTTGTGGCTATCGGGGGTAAAAACTAGGGTGGGCAACCGGTTCGGTAAACTTGAACCAAACCAAAATCGAATTAAATCGAACTAAAACCGAAATAATGCTATTCGGTTTGAAATTCGGATGGGAAATGTGGATATTTCAAAAATCAGGGTTCTTTCAATCTAACCGAATTTTTGAAGTTCTGTCCGAAAAACCGAATTACTATATTTGCAAGCTCCAAATAGTGAATTTTTATGTTTGTAGTTGTTTTGAGACTTAAATATTTGAAACATGTTAGTGTTTTATGACTTATGTAGAGGTGTTCAAACGGTGTGGTTACCGTGGTAACCGTTTTAACCAGTAGTATTTGGCTAATTTGGTTTGGTTAATTTGGATAATTGGTTTTGTTTGGTTAAAGAATTTAGCATGTTTGGTTTGTTTGGTTTGGTTTGGTTTCATACACTCCTAACCAATCAAACCAAATTAACCAGATAAGTTATTATCCATATATCTAATATATATTATATACATATATTTAATAAAGATCAATATTGTTCTTTTACGGTATATGTTATATGGACGCCCAATTTAGATAAAACTCATCTAATATATTCGATAAAAACTTGAAATGAAGGTCTTTTTCAACCTATAATAATTTCTAAGAGACAAATTAAGTTCACACAATCACAACAATAATTAATTCAATACAATTGACATATATTTTCTCATACACATTGGAATGTTTTATTCATCATATAAATTGTGAATTGATGCATTAACCGGAAATTTTCTCACTTAATGGTAATGTGATGTTATATTGGTTAATTTGGTTAACCAATTAACCAATCCGAATAAACTTTAATTTGGTTGTTGTTTTAGTTTGGACGGTTTGGGTATAATATTGTATTCCATGGTTAATAGAGTTTATGCTTATTTGGTTTGGTAATTACCATGATAACCATTTGAACACCCCTAGACAGTGGCAGACCCAGAATTTTTTTATAGGGGTGTCCTTTTTTAACAAATAAATTTAGTAAAAATAAAAATAAAATTGTAAATAAGAAAATACCTTACTCGTACAGGTTTAAAAGGTCCATTATGTGTTCTCATATTCTGAAATAATTGTAGAATACACTTGGTATCTACTGTGTTAAAAAAAATTGTCTCTATATACCATACTAGACAATCATTCACGAACTTATCGCATATTCAATTTGTAAACTTGTTCTTGATGTAACCCAAATCTGAAAGAATCTTTCAACACTTTTCGTACAACCATAAAATCAATACAAATTAAGGGTAGGTTGAAATTAGTTTAATTGCTAGGTTTTGAAAATAATTAGAAATAGGGAATGACATTTTACTATGATACATGTTCAAAATCAAACAACAAATGAGTTGTAGTTTAATGGAAATTAGGTTTATTAATGATAATAGTGCTCTAGGTTTGAATTACCCAACCTACCACTATATTACAATACACAAATTTAAAAAATGACATTAGAATAATCATTTTTCAAATTTGAGAGGTGTCGCTCATTATCAATTATAATTTTTTTATCCATACGTAAATTACTATCGGAGGTACAATAATCGTTTTCCCAAAATTTAGGGGGTGTCCCGTGACACCACTAAAGCTCTGTGCGTCTGCCCCTAGACTTATGTGTTGAAATATTTGATTTTATCATTGATAATGCATATTTATTATTTACATTAGGGGTGAAAAATAATTTAAAAAGGGAGAGAAATTAAAAGCTATGGGAGCGGGGGTGGTTTTCAAATTTCAAAGAGAAACAGTGCATGGGGGCGCGGTTTCTATGCATGGGACGCAAATTGAAGCCACGGTCGCGCGGATCACTGATTTGGGTGGCGGACATTCATTAGATTATGGGGGGATCCGACAGTCTGTCTGACCGCCACGTCCGCGTGCGATTAGTGGGCGGAAGAAATACAAACTGTGGCCCGTACGATTTATTTTTAGTGGTGGTATAATTGGAATTATTTCGAAAAGGTTGGTATTTTTGGAATTGTTAAGTTTTAGGATGGTATTTCTGGAAAAAAATCTCATTATTTTTGGTACTATCAAATACCTCATTGCACAATGATGGTTATTTATTGGTTCCTATTTACTGTGCTTGAATTGCTTCCAAATCATTACTAATGAGGTCGACCATGCTTAGTGGGTATGTTTCTTATGATGGTGTATGCTGGTGATGTGATTCCCCTTGGCTAGGATTACCAAATTTCCCGATCGGGGAATGGGAGCAGAAGACCACCCCTGTCGTTTGGGATATGTCACAGTATTACATGATCTCACAGAAGGGAGATTACAACTGAGGTATATGTCAACAAAAGATAAAAAAAACTGGCATTTTAACTAAGACATTGGCTTCTAGCAGATACTGGTACCTATAATCCAAATCGATGTTCCGCACCCTACATCAATTTGTGGGAGGGTGTTAAGTTTTAGGTACCTTTATGTAATTGTATATACCTTAGTCATTAGAGTTTGTATTGTCACCACTATATATAGACTCGTGTATACAGTATACCTGCTTTTGTAACAAGTAAGATTGGCTTTTGATGATTTAAACTCTCCCCTATACTAGTCCTGATATTCAGAGAAACCACATTAAACCTTGTGTTTTTGTTCTTGTTCTTGATTTAGTTTGACAAGCTTTATGTGAAATGTTGAGCAGACGAAACAGAGTTTGGTTTGCTGGCAGGCAGCCTTAGATGACGAGTTTTGGAAGAGTCATTCAAGCATTCGGCCGATAATTAAAATAAGTATATGGAAGCATTCACAAGTCTCTTACACGAGATCTAATCAAGTTAGGGAGACACAGGTGAAGGGTTGTCTACATACTAGTTCAAACTTTAGGTGGTAATTGTTGAGACCAAAATGAAGTGAAAGTAAAGAACCATTCAGTCAAGGAACTCATTGGCTGCCTAATGGATTGGTAGTGGTTGCATAATGAATTGGTAGTGAATTTTTTTTTTTTTTTTTTTTTGCAGAAAGATGAAGAAAAATAAGAAAGGAGATCTGGCTAGAGATCATGGAAATGAGAGAAAGAGAGATAACTGTAATTAATATATTTTTGTAACTGCCAAAATTTTATTTTGTTAAAAAAAATGCAATTGATTTTTCCATATCCAATTTGCCCTTAGTAACTTTGTAGTAATCACCATAACCCCCTCCCAAGCATTCTCAAGTGTCTTACACGAGATCTAATCAGGTTAGGGAGACGCAGGTGAAGGGTTGTCTACAGAGTAGTTCAAACTTTAGGTGACAAGTTGAGACCAAAATGAAGTAGCAAGTGAAAAACCATTCAGTCAATGAACCCATTGGTCCCATTGTGTACTAATTAATGCACCCACACCACACACATGAATTCAGACCTCCATTCCAAACCGCAAAGCAGAGCTAGACTACTCTGGATAGCAAATAACTCGAGCACATAACAAGATACAAGACAAGATCATCACCACCACCACCACCAAACTTTGGTCTAAAACCAACTCCACAAAAGACAGAGAAGCAAACATGGATGGAACACAAAAAGCCGAAACTACTAAACGCGTAGTTGATATTGATGATGATTTGAGTGGCTCTGTTTCAGAAGGGATTAAGCCCAAACTGTCCCGACCAGCAAACCGTAGAGGAACACCACAGCTACCCCCAAAGAGCCAGCGGTGAAGAACGCTCCGCCGCGGAATCCCCCCGACCCCGGCAGCGGCGTCGCCGTTGTGGTCGGCGTCGATGTGGTCGGCGTCCCGGTCGCCGACGAGACGTTTGTGAAAATGGCAGCGTCGGGCGAGTTCGGTGCTAAGCCGAGGAGACCTGTAGCATAAATCAAAAAAATCAAATTAAAGAATTCGAATTCATTGATTAGTTTAGTTATATAAACACTTAAATTACTAATTAATTTGCAGGAGAGATCAGTGACGTACGAGGGCAGTTGGCGAGGCTGGCGTTCTGGAGCTGGCAGGCGGTGGGGAGCTGGATGAGCTTGTTCTCCTGGACTCCGAGGCTGCGGAACTGGGCGCTGCCGTTGTGGGTGAGCTGCATGATGTAGCAGAGGCACTCGGGCTCGTTGTCTTTGGTGTTCTTGGTGGAGGCGCAGCACTCTTTGGAAGGGGAGCTCTGTTTCCCCTGCGCGAAACCCAGGCACGTCATCACGCTCTGGAAGTCCTTGGCGCACTTCGTCGCCAAGTTGTCAGGGGCGCCGCCATCGCCGGAGGCGGCGAGGAAGAGCAGGACGGCGGTCAAGGAAACGCAGAGCAGCGGGGAAGTTTGCATCTTTGTGATTAGTGTGTGTGTGTTTCTCTCTCTCTACGGTGATCAAAGTGAGAGAAGTATGTTGTGGGAGGAAATCGAAGGGGAGAGCGGGTGGCAGCTAGGTTTGTGAGCTATATAAGTAGTTTTTATGGTGCTAGTTTGGATGGGAGTTGGGTTCCGAGTTATTGTATGACGGGATGTGACTTGTGAGCTAGGGTGGGGAAAAGACGGGACACGTACGGTCGGGAGAGTTAGCGTTCAAGAAAATTGGTGTAAGATAGTAGTGAAAATAAAGAGATTTACAAGGGTGAAAGGTTTCATTTTCTTTGGCCGTTATGGTTATGATCTTGAATTGAATTGAATTGATTTTCATTCGGATATGCTTGGAGGGTTCCATTAGCACACAAAGTACCACTTATGAGTGATATAGTCATTAGGATCATACTTTGTGTGCTATATCTTGACAATAGGAAGTACGATCACAATTTTATGTGCTACAACTTAGACGTCACAAGGCTAAGATACTCACCTGCTATTAAAGAGCTCACACTTCCGCAATGGATCAAACTCGAGTTTTGGGGGATCACACATACAACCAGCGTTGTCGTTAGGCTACGTCCTCATTCGCAAATAAAATCGAGAACATATCAGTAGACAAGAGATTGAGAGGAGTACTCAGTCGTGTATATACCAATCAGCTTTGTTTGACGCATCGTTTTCACATTTCAAGTCTTAATTAGATTAGAAGTAGCTCAGACGGTTAGCCGATTTCGTAAGTCAAATGTAATTAATTAATACATAGGACAACTTCACTCTTTTACAAACTAACTTTATAAATTCTTTCATTTTCCCACCTTCTTTATGATCAAAATCAAAATCAATTTCTCCTCCTTTTTAGCGTTCTTTCATCGTATCGGACCTGTAGAATCGAGTTCTGCTCGTTCGGTCGTTGATTTCTCTCGGATTCCTGTCTCATACGACGTAAATTGAATCGGTATAGAAACAAGTTAACAATTAAGAAAGGACTTTATGTATGCTACCTACTTACCTATATGTTTTGTTGGTGATCCCAATTCCCAAGATTTGACCGTTCAAATACAATAATTTTGGCCACCATGCATTCATGAGTCCAGGATTTAGATCAAATGGTTGTCCACTTGCTAGCATTGGCAATGTTGGGTTGTAGGGTTTTCCGTTTCCATTAAAGAAGGGGTTAGATGGGAGAGTGAGGTGAGGCGAGGGGTGGCTGAGGGTCTTTGATTGCGAGATAGTGAGAGGCGGTGGCTTTTAATGCTAGTAGTTGGGGAACTTAAAGGCCGACTTAATTAATAATGAAGTATGTATGTAACCTATCACCGAAAAGGATGGACGTAAGTTAGTACTATTCCACTGTACTATACTATTGTGCCACGAACCATCCCACTTTTTGATGCTATACTCGGCTAGCTAGGGTAAAACATATCATAAATACGCTTCCAACTGTCCACGAAAATGAAAGAAGCTTGGAAATCGATTTAGAAAGACAGCAAATTAAATTATTCGAGATGTGAATTAACTAGCTAGATCGGTTAGTGTGTATATTACGTGCATGCAGATGGGGTCGGTCACATTCCTAAACTAGAGAGGGAGGTTGTCTTTATCCGAAACGAAATGGACACGTACACAGTGGCGGACCCAGAAATTTTTCGTAGGGGTGTCCTCTTTTAAAAAATAAATTAAATAAAAATAATTAATTAAAATAAAATTGTAAATGTGAAAATACCTTACTCGTACAGGTTAAAAAAGTCCATAATGTGTTTTCATATTCGAAAATACCTTACTTGAAAATAATAGTGTTAAAAAAATTTCTTTGTATACCCTACTAGACAATCATTCAGGAACTTATTGCATATTCGATTTGTAAACTTATTCTTGATGTAACCCAAAGCTGAAAGACTCTTCAAAACTTGTCGTACAATCATAAAATCAATACAAATTAAGGGCAGATTGAAATTAGTTAAGATTGAAATAATTAGAGATAGGGAATGACTTTTTACTATTACACATTGTTCAAAATCGAACACCAAATGAGTTGTAGCTCAACGGAAATTAAGTTTATTAATAATAATAGTGTTCTAGATTTGAATTACCCAACCTACCATTTATATTTTTATACACAAATGACAGTAGGATAATCATTTTTTCAAATTTCAGGGGTGTCCCTCACTATCAATTATATTTTTTTGTCTATACGTAAATTACCACCGGGGGTTGGATAATCATTTTCCCGAAATTTAGAGGTGTTCGGGGACACCCCTAAAACTCCCTGGGTCCGCCCCTGCACGTACATATGCATGAGTTATTCGATGTTTGCTTTGATAAAGTAATTGGATATTTTTGTTTTTGGTTTATGAGAAGTAGCGGAGTTAGAAATTTGAATTAGAGGGGGGAGACTGAGATGGTGGTGTGTGTGAGGGGCTAAAGACTTACCGACTATTCCAATTCTTAAATTTGTGAAAATTTTACATGTTTGTAGTGCCTGCTAGATTTAACCTAACTCCACCACTGCCTATAAGGTACTTGCAGTTTATTAGTAGTAGACATAATTACATCCAATAATCGACTAGCTAGATCTACTATCTACAAAACACTATAAAGCAATGTATAAAAACAGTTTTTGCCACGTAAGCCTTTGCTGAAAGGTCCGCACATTGCGGAGGGCCTTTATTGTCAATTCATAATCCATCTCTTCCTCCGCGGTATTGCCTTCCAACCTCCTACTGGAAAGCGAAAAGCTCTCTCCCTCCGTCTCTTCCCGACTTCAATCTGAAACTGAAATCCCCCATTGTTCTTTTTTCCACAATCTCAAATCGTATCCCTATTCGCTACTGTCACCTTCTATGCTCATCGCAACTAAAATTACCTCCGACCTTTTTTCCACGCTCAAGCTGAAATCCAAACAGCCCACTTTTCCATCTACTCTGTCTTGCGAGGCCACGGAAAAAATCACAACTCTGAGAGTAGTGCAGATTTCACACATGGTGTGAATGTGATTAATACAAGGTCAAATGTCGTTGCCGAGTGCTCTTCAAATTTATGTAACCTTTGTCTTCCACATCCTTTGCAAAGAAACAAAAGACTACAGTTTAAGAACTTCATTTTCTCTAATTGTAGTCCAGTTAATCCTGATGCACTATTTCTCTCTCAAATATAAGATCTCCATTATTCATACTCGAAATGAACTGCTACAATAGTTGATCATCGTGTTGTCAAAGTTGATAAAGGAGTAGCTTGATCAAATTACTATAAAATAATTTTGTTGTCATTGCATCAAGTATTACCTGTATGCTACCGCCACATCTTATAGTAGTTGTTGTATTTAAGGATATTATTTTTAGTAGTACATCTTTAACTTATATAATAATTAGTGGTTATTACAAGATCCATGTGGTTGTGTCTGTCTGTCTGACACTTGAGCAATACTGCTATGATCAGTGTATATAAAGGTCCAACTTAGGAACATTATATTTGGTAGTTTGCTTTTCATTTGTGGGATGTTAATGCATAATTTGCTTTGCATGTTTGTAAATAATTTCAACTTTTGTGTTTAGCTTATAATTGGAGTTTCATGTTGTGTTAATTGATCAAACAGCAACTTATTCCTGATTATGAGCAACAAGGGCTCCTCAATCTTTTGACCCCATCTATGAGCAACAAGGGCTCTTTTCAATAATTAAACTAATGACAAAATAGAAATAACAAACCAAGTTAATGATCTATTCTTAACTAAATTTTTTTGTATATAAACAAGAACTTGGCTGAAAAAGGAAACAATGCGGCTTCTATTACGAGGAAAAGCCAATCTGGATGGTTTTCCTCCTTGAATTATATATTTATGCATAACATTGGACATGTGGTTTACTTCAAGACACATCTCTACTAGAACAAATAGAGATCATGAATAGCTTCTTGGTTTTATATATTATAGAGTTGTAAGATAGATACTTTTATATAGAATTTTATATATATTATAGAGTTGTATCGAACTTTCAATTTTTGAAAAGATGTGCATTTCCAGGTCTATGTTTGTTATAATTAACTATGCAATTAGGACTCCCAATTTGCAGTAGAATGTCAATTTCGTTACCTTACAAATGGCACTTGCTAAGCCCATAAGATTAGCTAGGTTTGGTCAGTCCTTTGGGGGAGTGGCAATGTGAAATGCCTGAAGTTATTCAATAATCCTGTGAGTTATATGAATCCACTATATCTAAATGAAATAGTTGCTACACATGTCAGAGAGAAGTTTGTTGCAACAGCTAATTTTAACATTTTTTAGCATGAAGGTCTGCATTTCTTTTAGTAATAGGTGATGTGTTGTTCCAATCAAATCAGAGGAAGAAAGAACTCATTTCATCTCATATCCAATAGGTTGTTAACATGACACACTAAAACTTCATGTTAAACTTACTCGGTTCAACTTTTTGAATCCTCAAGCTAAGTATTTTGTAGTTAGCATTGATCATGATCCACTTCAGGTAGATGATGAACATTTCAGTTGCATTTCACTTCAATTTATCTAAAGGGTACCAAGTTAACTAAGTAGATTACATCTCTCTTATTACTCTAATTAGATTGTCGACTGATTGTGACATCAAGGCTTGAGAACCTAGGAGAGACAATCTTATTCGGACTGAAAAGGGAACATGTTGTGGACTGTGACCCAAGGAGGAATGATATTGTTGGAAACTTTGTGTAGTAAAGGGCCACAATGCGAAGCTTCTGATTAGTATTATGTTTTCATCTATGTCATAATTTTAGTATTATGCTTTCATTTAGGTTGATATGGAAACTCAGTTTCTAGGTTTTCCCCTTATGGATTATCTCCTTTCGTTTTGTTTCAATTGTGGAACACAATGCTTTTTTTTTCTTCCTACAATCTTTTCTCCTATGTTGGATAGTTTTCCCTTATGGATTGTCTTCTTCTCAAGTTTGGTTCAGCTAGCAAATCAATCTCAAGGTTAGTCGAGACTGAATATAGCTCACTATATGGTATGAATGAAAAGCAGTTGAGAAGGTTTGATGCATTGTTTTGGATACTCTGATTGTTCGTGTTCTTTTCTTCTTGCCTGTTGATGTGTAGTCTCTTTGGAGATCAATTTGGAGGATTGCACTTTTGTTTAATTTTATCATCTACATTATTATTTTTAACCATGTATTTATTGGTTACTATTATGCTTCATCGAATAGAAATCTAAAATGGATGCTTTTATCAGGAGATAGCATTGTTATATATACCCTATTTGAGTCTGTTATTTTCTATGAAATAAAATCTCTTGAGATAAATTTTATGATTAGCATAACCATTAGCTACATATTCTTCTACAAGTTCTAAAGGACACTGGCCAAAGGGTCGGGCCCAATGCCAAGAGTAATAGTAGCATAGTACACAATAGCATAGTTGTACACCGTATAATACGACGTTATCACCACATATTACTTTGTCAGAGAGAGACGGACTAGAGAGAGGAAGGAAAGGGAGAGGGGATTTTATTTTTTATTTATTAATCAATATGATTTAACAATAAATCAATATACATCCGAATATGTCTCTACTAATCAGAACTATTAGATAAAAGAGAATAAACATGTGTGTTCAAGATGAGATTGCTACGATGAAAACTCACAGACTGCAAGAAGTGGTTAAAATTAATATATGGACTTTTTTTTAACAATTCAAGTTATTGAGATCAGCTTGTTTATGAAATTGTATCAGAGTTGATTTGATCATAAAATCACGTGTTTAAATTCTCACAACCCTCAATATTACCTGTTGTCGGGACGGGGTAGTAAGTGCTAAGGTGGCGTGTTTTTACTGATGCGTGGCTAAGATTTGGAGTAAATGTGTTGTGCCTTGTGGGCAAGGTTTAGGAACCCCTACCGTACCAATTGGTCGAACCAGAAATGTCGAATACCGGACTCAAAACGATATGCGATTTTAACGGTAGGAAACGGTTCAATCACGATTAAACCACAATTTTTAATACAAAATACCCTATCACTTACTTTCTCGCTATAACTTGCTGTACGATATGCTGAAACTTGCTTGTGGGCGACTGAGAGAGGGGAAGACTCGGAACTTATAACGCGGGGTTTCATTTAAGGGAATGGCAGGCGGGCCATGTCTCTTAGCTCGGGGCATTTATTTAGCGGGAGCGCGACAAAGCCAGCCCATTACTACACACTACACAGTACACAGGTGTTCCGGGCTAAAGCTTTGACCAATCCCTCGACATGCAATTTTGTAAACACGCCAAGTCAATTACATGTTGTGAAATGATGTAAGACAAAACAAAAATTCATTTAAAGGTAGGTTTATTTACGAAACATAAAATAAATTAAATTGAAAAGTAATATATATAAATATAACTAATATTCTATTAAATAATTCATTAAAATTAAAGTGCGAAAGTACATTTATACTAAACAAATCAATATAACGAGGGAAATATTTTTTTTTTGAATAAAAGCTAACATTATTAAATGAGAAAAGTTGAAGCAAGAAGACAAATGAAGTTTAATTTAGCTATAAAAAATACAACGTATCTGAGATAATATTTGAACTTAATAGCCATAAAAAAATATTTGAAGTTAATACATCTTATTTTTCAAATAACATACTAACCATATATACCACTTTGATTTCTTGATTATATTTTGAAAATCCTTCTTCTCTAATTATATTTTATTTGGGACACTTCCAGTGAAGTATCTAGGGATTCCACTTATACCTGGTAAGTTGACTATTAAAGCTTGTCAACCTCTAATTGAGAAAATTAACAAGAGGATTCAGAACTGGGGGGTGAAAACTCTGAGCTATGCAGGGAGGTTACAACTTGTGCTCTCAGTTTTGTACAGCATGGTGCAATTTTGGATGACAGTTTTTATTCTGCCTAAGAAAGTGATAGTGGCAATTGAAAAAATGTGCAGTGATTTTTTATGGGGAGTAGGACAGGAAGGAAAGAAAAAAGCAGTTGCAGCTTGGGGTAGGTTGACTTTTCCCAAAAAAGAGGGTGGACTTGGGTTAAGGGACTTGAAAAGCTGGAATCAGGCTTGTGTAGTGAGGCATATTTGGGATTTACTAACTAAGCAAGGCTCTCTTTGGGTTGCCTGGATATGGGAATACAGGCTCCATGGAGTAGATCTATGGACTTCTACTTGTAAAACATGGTCCTGGATTTGGTTAAAAGTTCTCAAAACAAGGGACTCAATCAGACCAAAGCTTACTGTGATTGATGGAGAAGGCTACTGGCAGGGGAAACACATGAAGAAATTCTCAACAAAACTGATCTGGGAAGATCTCAGACCTCATAAGTCTCAGGTTCCCTGGTTTGCTCTGATCTGGAAACCACCTAGTATTCCAAGAAACCAGTTTGTAAGCTGGTTGATTATAAATCAGTTCATCACTACTAGTGATAAAATGATAGGATGGGGATTTCAGGGGGTCACTGCTTGTGTTTACTGTGATTGCAGGATTGAAACTCATGATCACTTATTTGCAGAGTGCAGTAGGTACAAGGATCTTTTCAAAATTCTATTTTGCAGATTCAGCAACAGGGAGCCCTCAAACTTATGGTCAGCAGAACTGGACTGGGCTGTTACCTCGTTTTCCAAAGCTGAATCTAAGGTTGGAAGACTGATCTGGCAGAGCATGATAAGTAATATCTGGAGGACCCGTTGTTCAATCAGATTTGGAGGGAAAGGATTAAGTCTCACTGAAGCAGAAGAATCAATTAAAGCTGAAGTTAGAGTGTTATGTGAAGAAGTGGATGTGGAAGCTTTCTTTTAATTAGCTTTCTGAAAGTTTTGTCTTGCTGCGATTAAGTCTAGGCTCACTATAGTTTTGGTATAGAGTTTCTTTGAATTTTTGCAGTTTTCCTCAGTGGCAGGGGGTGTTGCCACACAATAACAGGTTTTTGATGATTAATACAAAGCAATCCATTCATATAAAAAAAAATTATATTTTATTTGCCAATTTTTCAAACACCTAAATATGAGAATTATATTATGACCAACCTGATCAAGGTGGATTCCAGGACACACCCAATTGCACCCTGGCTCCGCCCTTGTAGTTGGCAGATGTTACTGAAATGTCTCACATGTTAACATGTATACATGCATTTGATTGACGTTTGATGATTTAGTGTGTGTTTTATGGTGTAGACAATGATTAAAATTCCGTACCGACGGTTCAAACTGAAAAACCTTATACTGGAAGCAAAACCTGTAAGTTGTATTTAGCGCTATAATATTATTGAACCATGGTTAATCCATGGTTTTAGTTTAAAATACTCTACAGCTGACTTTTCGGTAAAACATCTGGTACAGTAATTCAATCCTTCGTTGTAAATGATATGGATTTGTATTTGATTAACCTTAAAATAACCCTTGTGTTATTTCCAACTACCAAGTATGTGGTGTATTTGTGACCATTTCTAGGATCACTATAAGAAAATAAATAACAGAGGAGAATTAAATTGCACTGTCATATATGCCAAAATTTTCTTTTGGGTAAATGCCGTCACTAGGTTTAGTAAATCGTGTTATTTTTAGTCACTAGAAAAAATTTATATAATTTTGGTCACTCGAATTACTAAGACATATCACATTTAATCATTCTTCCGTTAACCTCCGTCCAAATGTTTAGAGCGACAATGGCCAGTTGGCCACACACCAACTGGAAGTCGCTCCCCAAGCTGGCGGGTCTCAACCGCCACGTCACCAACAAGGGCCACACACCAACTTGAAGTCGCTCCCCAAGCTGGCGGGTCTCAACCGCTGCGGCAAGCTAGTGATTTAAGAAACCAAAAATGGCAGCAAAATTAAAGTGGGTTTACTTTTCCTTCGTCGAAACGAAAAAGCCCATCGACCTCCGTCGGCCTGTTAGGCTTTACACGGCGGTCGGCCCAACGGAAAGTGTGCCCTTCCTTTTCCTGTGTGGAATTGGGTTTCCTTACTGACTGTTTTTGCATTCGGACTATCTGTTTAAAGGGTCTTTCGGATCGCTCTCCTCTCCTCAATCAACTCCACAAACAAAGCTAATCAGGTCGCAGAGATTTTGCAGCCGGTGATCCAGCACTATGGCGAAAAAAAGCACTAGAGGAGAGCTACTTTTCAAGAGGAACTATGATCCGGACTATGATTCAGATGAGGGATTGCTCCAGTACAGCTACAGTTATCGAGCGGCTGCAGCAAAGACGACTGGGGATAGCGATCTGTGTTTCAGGAAGCTGGCAAAGACGGACATCTTAATATCCCCTGCCGAGGCGAAGAGGAAGTGTACGAATGATGACGATCCGGGCTATGATTCAGATGAGGAATTACTCAAGTACACCTACCATTATCGAGCGGCTGCAGCAAAGACGACTGGGGATGTCGATCTGAGTTTTGGGCAGTCAAAGATCCGCGCCGCCATTATATGGTCGACGGAACGGAAGGCAATTAATGAGGAGAAGTAGTACCTGGAGTGAAGATCTGCAGCAGAGATCACGTGGATTTCTCTATATGGGTTGGGGGCTTTGATTTTTGGGGTTTATATATGAGTTTTCGTACAAGCATAATGTTTGAATGTTCGGTTTAGGTTTTCATATATGTTTTGTTCTTCCTATTATTACTAGTTTTGTGCCCATGTATTGATATTTTTTTGTTGTTATCTTGTAATGGCGGCAGGCTGATTTTGTATATATTTATTAGGGTTAATATAGTTGTATGATCAGAACTTTTCACATATTAAACATCCTGATAAATCTTATCGATTTAAAAGTCACGATCCGCGATTTCGAACGTTATCTTGGACGGTCAAACTCCTTGATTAACGGCCAATGCGCCACATCACTGCCAAGTCAGAACACACCACTTAAAATCTCGGGTTGACCGTTAGTCAAAATGTTTGACCGTCCAAGATAACAGAATTTTGATGCATAGTTGAGGCTATGAAGTTATAGATCGAAAAGATTGGCCATGATGTTTAATATGTGAAAAGTTTGGGTTATACAAATATATTAACCCTATTTATTCAGATTAAATATTATTTAAACTATATTGTGTGATAATAGGGCCGCCATATGTTGTTTGAGTGTTGTTAGGAGCAACAATCATGTAAACCTATAAGAGTAATACGTTTATCACTATTTTGAAGACCATATTCACGATCATCTACTCTTTGATTGCCCATCAAAATTTTATGATGTACATAACTTTTCATTGATTTCATGCATCCGCATGTTTCATCCAAATGTTCTGTGTCTAGTTTTTTCCCACGACTCATGAAGAAAAAATCATGCACATTATTTTAATTATCATATGTAATGATCGAATGAAAGAGCACGGATCTAGGTGTGCGATTAGGGATCGTGATTGGTATGAGAATTAGAGATTTGGGTGAGGTAGAATTGGGAATTAGGGTTGAGAGGAAGAGGAATTCGAGCACCGGGGTGGTGGTCGACGGGTTAGAGAGAGAGGAAGGGGCTCGGCAATGGCCAATGAGAGAGGTAGAGAGAGTGATTAGGGAATTGGGAACAATTCTGTTGTTATTGCTTAACCCTAGCTTAGGCCTAACACAGAATATATATAATCCGACTAATTCCCTATAACTACCCAAAGACTTAACCTGACCGATTTAACCCCAATAATTACCGAAATAACCAACATAACATAAAATGTCCAAATAACAAATAACCCCCCCTCCCCCAATTAACGACTATCTAACATCCCATCCCCCTTGAAACCCACCTTGCCCTCAAGGTGGACCTTCTTTCTTCTCTTTCGCTTCTCGCACCTCGATCTCCTCCCATTCATCTTCCCAGTTTCCGACAAGCAGCATTAGATGTCCCTTGGCGCATTGATGTCCCATCGTGTACCTTTCATCGCAGTTGAAGCAACGATAGTCCCTGCGTTTCTGGTCCATTTCCGCTTGGGTTAGTCGGACAAACCCCTTTGGTGGCAGCCTCGACTAGAACCTGTTTCCCGATGCTGCTCCAGTGGACGCCGGGCTTGCATTTCCCGGCGGCGGTGCGATACCAGCTCTTACTCCCATACCTCCACTGGCCTTCTGGATACGCCCAGCCAACGTCCTCCAACTAGCCAGCTCCTCTTCTTTGCGCCCTGAGATCCTGAAAGCAACTCGAAGAGAGTCAGGTTCAAAAACCTTAACGGCGGTTGCTAGCTCAGGACGGAGTCCCGCCATACACAATCCCACCAGAGTCTTCTCCGTCATTTCCTTGCACTAGTTTCCCAGCTTAAGGAACTCTGCGCGATACTCGGCCACCAATCCTGTCTGTCTGAGCTTGGCCAGCTGTTCCGGAGCCCATCCCTCTGCCTTGCCAAATTGATAGTGCAGCTCTTCCTGGAACCTGGGCTACGATATGATCTCCCTGCCGAGGCATAAGCTCTCTCGGTCCATTCCCACCACTGGAGGGCATCTCCCTCAAGATAGAAGGATGCCAGGTGCGCCTTCCGCTCTTCTCGAATCGGGTGGTTCCTGAACCACCTCTCAGCTGCATACAACCACAAACCCACATCTCCCGAGCCGTCGAACTTGGGAAACTCTATCACTGGCGGTTTAGCTCTAAATACCAGCTCCTCTTCAGTCTCATACAAAGGGTTACTGTATTCATACCTGCCTGTGTTCGATGGTGATGGTCGATTCATCGGGCCCTGATGGTAGTAGTTTCCCGCGGCTCGCTGCTGGGGAGGATAGGGCCAATCGCCCGTCACCTCCTGGTGGTTCCCGCTTTACTCAGGCTTGGTCCCCGACCCTTGACCAATGTCCCGACAACCTCGACCTCGTCCTCCCACTGCTTGCGGTGTACTCCACGGGGGGTACCCATGCTCCTGGCCCCTGCCGGGACCCCTGCTCGGCCCGTTCCAGCTGTTGCCCGCCTGTGGATGACCCGGACCAGTTCGGTCCGACCGGTTCTAGTTCGACCGGTTGGCCATCCAGTAACCGGTCTGGTTCGGCCCGGCTTCGAGCCCATGACCCATCCCCATCTCGCCTCCTCTGGGCTCGGGTCCACCCAGCCCTCAGGATCCCCAAAGCTCGGCTCATCCTCCTCCTCTGGCCCGATCGGCCATGGTTCTTCTCTGTCTAGCTCAGTCGGCCACGGCTCTCCTTCGTACCCCACCATCTTCTGCTTCCCCCGGGCCTTGTCATGGGCCGGGTTCGTCGGTGTCGGCAGCAAACCCGCTCCGCTGAATGCTGGCGCGGGTGCGCTCCTCGCGCCCAAAGTCCCCTGCTTCCCGGCGTGGCTGCGCGGCACGGCCGAACTTCCTGGTGCACCGGTCGTCGCGGCCACGGCCCGCGCCGCTCCACCCTTATCCTCGCCGGCCGACAGTTTATCCTCCGCCGTCTCCTCCTCCCGGCGCGCCCCCGCCGCGGCTGCTGCTGCCAGTGCCATCCCCGCCGCGGCTGCTGCTGCCGGCGCCACCATCATGGTCGTGCTCGCCAGTGACTCCCGGTTCCTCAGAACTTGGGTTAGCACCTCCTGCATCGTCGCCGCTAGGGCTCCGCATATGTTTTCAGCCACACTCTTGCCCATCTCTTCAATGAAAGCTTTTATCTGGTCGCCCATGGCTTCGATTGCCCCAATTGAGCCCTTCGAGGCCTCGGCTGCTCTCACAGTAACTTCCTTCAGGCTCTCCAACGATGTTGCCATCGCGTCATACTTGCTTGTTGTCACATCCTTGATCGTCATTACCTCCTTGTTCTGGCGCGGCGGCTGTTTTTTTGTCTGCAGGGTTTGACATCTTCAGACTGCAATATTCCTTCAGAGAATCGGCACACCAGCCAGGCTCTGATACCACTCAAAGAGCACGGATCTAGGTGTGCGATTAGGGATCCTGATTGGTATGAGAATTAGGGATTTGGGTGAGGTAGAATTGGGAATTAGGGTTGAGAGGAAGAGGAATTCGGGGACCGGGGTGGTGGCCGACGGGTTAGTGAGAGAGGAAGGGGGGCTCGACAATGAGAGAGGTAGAGAGAGTGATTATGGAACAATTATGTTGTTATTGCTTAACCCTAGTTTAGGCCTAACACAGAATATATATAATCCGACTAATTCCCTATAACTACCCAAAGACTTAACCTGACCGATTTAACTCCAATAATTCCCGAAATAACCAACATAACATAAAACGTCCAAATCCAATCAGAGCCATTTCAACTTATTTCTCTTTTGATGAATGTATAACTCAACTAACTTAGAAGTTGAACATTCTAGTGGTAGTAGAGTTCTTAATAGATGGTAAATTTGTCTTGTAGTTGATACCTATAACCCTTGCCCATCATTCAAATAATGATCCATCTTGTCACTGATCATATATCATTGTAAATCCTTATGTACTCTCAAAAATATTTTGCAACTTCGATATTTCTTACTAACAAAACCAATTGGAATTGAGATGTGACCGATCTTGTGATTCATAGAACTAAATCTACGATACCATTATAGAGCATTATGTACACATGAACCTTACCATTTTATCATATGTAATGGTAAAATGGAGTTATTCTTCAACTCAATTCTATGTTTGATGAATGTGCAAATCAACAAACTTAGCAGTTGAGCCTTCTGGTGGTTGTAGATTTCTCAATCAACAATAAATCTATTCCCGAATTGAAAACACGTGTAACACACGTTCATTATTCAAACTAAAATGGTACAAAAACATGTTGTATAATTGGTGTTTTAGTATAAGAAAAAGGTTATTGTCTTATTTCTTCTTTTTTTTGTTTGAAATGAACATGACATGAAAAGTTAAATAAGAGTTTGGATTTGAAAAATAGCTAAATTTCTATTTTATTTATGTATAATTTTATTCAAACATTTGTAAATGTTTATTGAAACAATAAAAAATTTGTTGTTAATAATTTATGTTATGAACAAAAATGTATAATACTATATGTATTTGTGATTTCTAATATAATTATTTAGAAATTAGACTATCACTTTTAAAATTGAATCGGATGTCACCAATAAAGTTAAAAATACAACGGTTAGAGGTTAGGTGTTAAATTCATTTGAATACGTCAGACAACCAATTGAAACTAGTGATTTAAGAAACCAACAAAACAATGGCAGCAAAAAAGTGGGTTTATTTTTCCTTTGTCGAAACGAAAAAGCCCGTCGACCTCCGTCGGCCTGTTGGGCTTACATGGCGGTCGGCCCAACGAAAGTTTGCCCTTCCTTTTCCTGTGTGGAATTGGGTTTCCTTACTGGTCTTTGCATTCGGACTATCCTATTTAAAGGGTCTTTCGGATCGCTCTCCTCTCCTCAATCAACTCCACAAACAAAGCTAATTAGGTCGCGGAGATCTTGCAACTATGGCGAAAAAAAGCACTAGAGGAGAGCTCCTTTTCAAGAGGAACTATGATCCGGACTATGATTCGGATGAGGGATTGCTCCAGTACAGCTACAGTTATCGAGCGGCTGCAGCAAAGACGACTGGGGATAGCGATCTGTGTTTCAGGAAGCTGGCAAAGACGGACATCTTAATATCCCCTGCCGAGGCGAAGAGGAAGTGTACGAATGATGACGATCCGGGCTATGATTCAGATGAGGAATTACTCAAGTACACCTACCATTATCGAGCGGCTGCAGCAAAGACGACTGGGGATGACGATCTGAGTTTTGGGCAGTCAAAGATCCGCGCCGCCATTATATGGTCGACGGAACGGAAGGCAATTAATGAGGAGAAGTAGTACCTGGAGTGAAGATCTGCAGCAGAGATCACGTGGATTTCTCTATATGGGTTTGGGGGCTTTGATTTTTGGGGGTTTATACATGAGTTTTCGTACAAGCATAATGTTTGAATGTTCGGTTTAGGTTTTCATATATGTTTTGTGCTTCCTATTATTACTGGTTTTGTGCCCATGTATTAATATTATTTGGCGGCAGGCTGATATTGTATATATTTATTAGGGTTAATATAGTTGTATGATCCAAACTTTTCACATATTAAACATTCTGACAAATCTTATCAACTTAAAAGTCACGAAATTGTCTAAACCCGTGATTTTGAACGTTATCTTGGACGGTCAAACTCGTTGACTAACGTTCAATGCGCCACATCACTGATCAAGTCAGCACACACCACTTAAAATCTCGGGTTGACCGTTAGTCAAAATGTTTGACCGTCCTAGATAACAGAATTTTGGAATTTTAATGCATAGTTGAGGCCATGAAGTTATAGATCGAAAAGATTGGCCATAATGTTTAATATGTGAAAAGTTTGGGTCATACAAATATATTAACCATATTTATTCATATTAAATATTATTTAAACTATATTGTGTGATAATAGGGCCTCCATATGTTGTTTGAGTGTTGCTAGAAGCAACGATCATGTAAAACTATAAGAGTAATAAGTTTATCATTATTTTGAAGACCATATTCACGATCATCTACTCTTTGATTGCCCATAAAAATTTTATGATGTACATAAATTTTCATTGATTTCATGCATCTGCATGTTTCATCCAAATATTGTGTGTCTAGTTTTTTCCCCAGACTCATTAAGAAAAAATCATGCACATTATTTTAATTATCATATGTAATGATCGAATGAAAGAGCACGGATCTAGGTGTGCGATTAAGGATCGTGATTGGTATGAGAATTAGAGATTTGGGTGAGGTAGAATTGGGAATTAGGGTTGAGAGGGGAATTCGGGCACCGGGGTGGTGGCCGACGGGTTAGAGAGAGAGGAAGGGGGCTCGGCAATGAGAGAGGTAGAGAGAGTGATTAGGGAATAGGGAACAATTCTGTTGTTATTGCTTAACCCTAACTTAGACCTAACACAGAATATATATAATCCGACTAATTCCCTATAACTACCCAAAGACTTAACCTGACCGATTTAACCCCAATAATTCCCGAAATAACCAACATAACATAAAATGTCCAAATAACAAATAATCCCCCTCCCCCAATTAACGGCTATCTAACATCCCATCCCCCTTGAAACCCACCTTGCCCTCAAGGTGGACCTTCTTTCTTCTCTTTCTTCTTCTCCTCCGCTTCTCGCGCCTCGATCTCCTCCCCTTCATATTCCCAGTTTCCGACAAGCAGCATTAGATGTCCCTTGGCGCATTGATGTCCCACTGTGTACCTTTCATCGCAGTTGAAGCAACGACCGTCCCTGCGCTTCTAGTCCATTTCCGCCTGGGTTAGCCGGAAACCCCTTTGGTGGCAGCCTCGACTGGAACCTGTTTCTCGATGCTGCTCCAGTGGACGCCGGGCTTGCATTTCCCGGCGGCGGTGCGGTACCAGCTCTTACTCCCATACCTCCACTGGCCTTCTGGATACGCCCAGCCGACGTCCTCCAACTAGCCAGCTCCTCTTCCTTGCGCCCTGCGATCCTGAAAGCAACTCGAAGAGAGTTAGGTTTGAAAACCTTAACGGCGGTTGCCAGTTCAGGACGGAGTCCCGCCATACACAATCCCACCAGAGTCTCCTCCGTCATTTCCTTACACTGGTTTCCCAGCTTAAGGAACTCTGCGCGATACTCAGCCACCGATCCTGTCTGTCTAAGCTTGGCCAGCTGTTCCGGAGCCGATCCCTCTGCCTTGCCAAATTGATAGCGCAGCTCTTCCTGGAACCTGGGCCACGATATGATCTCCCCTGCCGCGGCATAAGCTCTTTCAGTCCATTCTCATCACTGGAGGGCATCTCCCTCAAGATAGAAGGATGTCAGGTGCGCCTTCCGCTCTTCTCGGATCGGGTGGTTCCTGAATCACCTCTCAGCTGCATACAACCACAAACCCACATCTCCTGAGCCGTCGAACTTGGGAAACTCTATCACTGGTGGTTTAGCTCTAAATAGTAAATACCAGCTCCTCTTCAGTCTCATACAGAGGGTTACTGTATTCATACCTGCCTGTGTTCGGTGGTGATGGTCGATTCATCGGGCCCTGATGGTAGTAGTTGCCCGCGGCTCGCTGCTGGGGAGGATAGGGCCAGTCGTCCGTAACCTCCTGGTGGTTCCAGCTGTACTCAGGCTTGGTCCCCGACCCTTGCCCAATGTTCCGACAACCTCGACCTCATCCTCCCACTGCTCGCGATGTACTCCACGAGGGGTACCCGTGCTCCTGGCCCCTGCCGGGACCCCTCCTCGGCCCGTTCTAGCTGTTGCCCGCCTGTGGATGACCCGGACCGATTGGTCACCTAGTAACCGGTCCGGTTCGGCCCGGCTTCGAGCCCATGACCCAGTCCCATCTCGCCTCCTCTGGGCTCGGGTCCACCCAGCCCTCTGGATCCCCAAAGCTCAGCTCATCCTCCTCCTCTGGCCCGATTGGCCATGGTTCTTCTCCGTCGGGCCCAGTCGGCCACGACTCTCCTTCGTACCCCACGATCTTCTGCTTCCCCCGGGCGTTGTCATGGGCCGGGTTCGTCAGTGTCGGCAGCAAACCCGATCCGCTGAATGCTGGCGCTGGTGCGCTCCTCGCGCCAAAAGTCCCCTGCTCCCCGGCGCGGCACCGCCGAACTCCCCGGTGCACCGCCCGTCGAGACCACGGCCCACGCCGCTCCACCCTTATCCCCGCCGGCCGATAGTTTCTCCTCCGCCGTCTCCTCCTCCCGGCGCGCCGCCGCGCGGCGGCTTTGTCTTGCCCGTGGCCATCACGTCGCCGACCTCATGGGCCGCCGATCCCGCCGCGGCTGCTGCTGCCAGCGCCATCCCCGCCGCGGCTGCTGCTACCGGCACCACCACCATGGTCGTGCTCGCCGGCGACTCCCGGTTCCTCAGAACTTGGGTTAGTACCTCCTGCATCGTCGCCGCTAGGGCTCCGCAGATGTTTTCAGCCACGCTCTTGCCCATCTCCTCGATGGAAGCTTTGATCTGGTCGCCCATGGATTCGATTGCCTCGATTGAGCCCTTCGAGGCCTCAGCTGCTCTCACAGTAACTTCCGTCAGGCTCTCCAACGATGTTGTCATCGCGTCATACTTGCTTGTTGTCACATCCTTGATCGTCACTACATCCTTGTTCTGGCGCGGCGGCTGTTGTTTGTCCGCAGGGTTTGACATCTTCAGACTGCAATATTTCTCAGAGGATCGGCAAACCAGCCAGGCTCTGATACCACTGAAAGAGCCAGGCTCTGATAATCCGACTAATTCCCTATAACTACCCAAAGACTTAACCTGACCGATTTAACCCCAATAATTCCCGAAATAACCAACATAACATAAAACGTCCAAATCGAATTAGAGCCATTTCAACTTATTTCTCTTTTGATGAATGTATAACTCAACTAACTTAGAAGTTGAACATTCTAGTGGTAGTAGAGTTCTTAATAGATGGTAAATTTGTCTTGTAGTTGATACCTATAACCCTTGCCCATTATTCAAATAATGATCCATCTTGTCACTGATCATATATCATTGTAAATCCTTATGTACTCTCAAAAATATTTTGCAACTTCGATATTTCTTACTAACAAAACCAATTGGAATTGAGATGTGACCGATCTTGTGATTCATAGCACTAAATCTACGATACCATTATAGAGCATTATGTACACATGAACCTTACCATTTTATCTTATGTAATGGTAAAATGGAGTTATTCTTCAACTCAATTCTATGTTTGATGAATGTGCAAATCAACAAACTTAGCAGTTGAGCCTTCTGGTGGTAGTAGATTTCTCAATCAACAATAAATCTATTCCCGAATTGAAAACACGTGTAACACACGTTTATTATTCAAACTATAATGGTACAAAAACATGTTGTATAGTTGGTGTTTTAGTATAAGAAAAAGGTTATTGTCTTTTTTTTTTGTTTGAAATGAACATGACATGAAAAGTTAAATAAGAGTTTGGATTTGACAAATAACTAAATTTCTATTTTATTTATGTATAATTTTATTCAAACATTTGTAAATGCTTATTGAAACAAAAAAAAATTTTGTTGTTAATAATTATGTTATCAACAAAAATATATAATACTATATGTATTTGTGATTTCTAATATAATTTATTTAGAAATTAGACTATCACTTTTAAAATTGAATCGGATGTCACCAATAAAGTTAAAAATACAACGGTTAGAGGTTAGGTGTTAACGGGTCGTTTGGATGCATCATTTTGGTTCTATGGTATTTCGAATTCAAATGATGCATTGTTTTGCTATGTGGCATTTCATGTGGTATTTCATTTTGAAATGTGGTAATTGGTGTAATTGTCTTGTTTGGATAAAACATTCAAATATTGTGGTATTTCACACTTAAAGAAGGGATGAAGTGGAAAAAGAAGTTGGCAGATGGGGTATTTGAAATAACTAGGGGGTTGGTAGGTATTTCAAATAACTCACAATGAGTTATTTCAATTGACTCATAGACAAAATACCACATTCTACTTTATTTTTGCCAAACGAGTTATTTTGATTGAAATACCTCATTCTGAGTTATTTCGACCAAATTAGCTCATCAAAATACTGCATCCAAACGAACCTAAGGGGTCGTTTACTTCAAGGATTTTATAACGAGGGTTTTGTCATGGATTTGCTAATTAAAAATCTTGGGATTTATTAGGGATTTTGGTCATTATGGATTTGAGGAAATCCTTTGTTTGTTGAGCTATTTTTATCATGGATTTGATGAGGTAGGCATGGTTTTTCAACTTGTCTCCAAATCTCAGGGTATGAGGTGGGATTTATAAAACCGTGGGGCCATGGATTTGGAGCTAAAAAACCCAAATCCGTGGGGCCCACAAATTTATCTAAACATTTTTTGACAAAGCAAAAAACGGATTTTGTCTAAATCCATGATGGTTGATTTTTTGGTACCAAATCCATGATGCAAATCATTAGAGCAAACGACACCTAAATTCATTTGAATACGTCAGACAACAAATTGAAGCTAGTGATTTAAGAAACCAACAAAACAATGGCAGCAAAAAAGTGGGTTTATTTTTCCTTTGTCGAAACGAAAAAGCCCATCGACCTCCGTCGGCCTGTTGGTCTTACATGGCGGTCGGGCCAACGAGAGTGTGCCATTCCTTTTCCTGTGTGTAATTGGGTTTCCTTACTGGTCTTTGTATTCGGACTATCCTATTTAAAGGGTCTTTCGGATCGCTCTCCTCTCCTCAATCAACTCCACAAACAAAGCTAATTAGGTCGCGGAGATTTTGCAGCTATGGCGAAAAAAAGCACTAGAGGAGAGCTCCTTTTCAAGAGGAACTATGATCCGGACTATGATTCGGATGAGGGATTGCTCCAGTACAGCTACAGTTATCGAGCGGCTGCAGCAAAGACGACTGGGGATAGCGATCTGTGTTTCAGGAAGCTGGCAAAGACGGACATCTTAATATCCCCTGCCGAGGCGAAGAGGAAGTATACGAATGATGACGACCCGGACTATGTTTCAGATGAGGAATTACTCAAGTACACCTACCATTATCGAGCGGCTGCAGCGAAGACGACTGGGGATGTCGATCTGAGTTTTGGGCAGTCAAAGATCCGCGCCGCCTTGCTGACGAATAGATGGTCGACGGATCGGAAGCCGATTAATGAGGAGAAGTAGTACCTGGAATGAAGATCTGCAGCAGAAGATCACGGGGATTTCTCTATATATGGGTTTGGGGGCTTTGATTTTTGGGGTTTATATATGAGTTTTCGTACAAGCATAATGTTTGAATGTTCTGTTTAGGTTTTCATAATTGTTTTGTTCTTCCTATTATTACTAGTTTTGTGCCCATGTATTAATATTTTGTTGTTGTTATTTTTTAACGGCGGCAGGCTGATATTGTATATATTTATTAGGGTTAATATAGTTGTATGATCCGAACTTTTCACATATTAAACATCCTGACAAATCTTATCGACTTAAAAGTCACGAAATTGTCCAAACCCGCGATTTTGACCGTTATCTTGGACGGTCAAACTCGTTGATTAACGGCCAATGCGCCACATCACTGCCAAGTCAGAACACACCACTTAAAATCTCGGGTTGACCGTTAGTCAAAATGTTTGACCGTCCAAGATAACAGAATTTCGATGCATAGTTGAGACCATGAAGTTATAGATCGAAAAGATTGGCCATGATGTTTAATATGTGAAAAGTTTGGGTTATACAAATATATTAACCCTATTTATTCAGATTAAATATTATTTAAACTATATTGTGTGATAATAGGGCCGCCATATGTTGTTTGAGTGTTGCTAGGAGCAACGATCATGTAAAACTATAAGAGTAATATGTTCATCACTATTTTGAAGACCATATTCACGATCATCTACTCTTTGATTGGCCATCAAAATTTTATGATGTACATAACTTTTCATTGATTTCATGCATCCGCATGTTTCATCCAAATATTGTGTGTCTATTTTTTTCCCCAGACTCATGAAGAAAAAATCATGCACATTATTTTAATTATCATATGTAATGATCGAATCAGAGTCATTTCAACTTATTTCTCCTTTTGATGAATGTATAACTACCCTAATTTAGAAGTTGAACATTCTAGTGGTAGTAGAGTTCTTAATAGATGGTAAATTTGTCTTGTAATTGATACCTATAACCCTTGCCCATCATTCAAATAATGATCTATCTTGTCACTCATATATCATTGTAAATCCTAGTTTACTCTCAAAAATATTTTGCAACTTCGATATTTCTTACTAACAAAACCAATTGGAATTGAGACGTGACCAATATTGTGGTTCATAGAACTAAATCTATGATATCATTATAGAGCATTATGTACACTTGAACCTTACCATTTTATCACATGTAATGGTAAAATGGAGTTGTTCTTCAACTCAATTCTATGTTTGATGAATGTGCAAATCAACAAACTTAGCAGTTGAACCTTCTGGTGGTTGTAGATTTCTCAATCAACTATAAATCTATTCCCGAATTGAAAACACGTATAACACGTGTTCATTATTCAAACTATAATGGTACAAAAACATGTTGTATCATTATTGTATTAGTATAAGAAAAGGGTTATTGTCTTATTTATTTATTTATTTTTGTTTGAAATGAACGTGACATGAAAAGTTAAATAAGAGTTTGGATTTGACAAATAACTAAATTTCTATTTTATTTATGTATGATTCTATTCAAACATTTGTAAATGCTTATTGAAACAAAAGTTTTTTAGTTGTTAATAATTTATGTTATGAAAAAAATGTATAATACTATTTGTATTTGTGATTTCTAATATAATTTATTTAGAAATTAGACTAACACTTTTAAAATTGAATCGGATGTCACCAATAAAGTTAAAAATACAACGGTTAGAGGTTAGGTCTTAAATTCATTTGAATACGTAAGACAACAAAGTGAATCTTTTGTTGTGCACAATTCGTTTTTCAGGATGTACTTTTTTACATGACATCAGCACAAATAACATGTATTTGAATGAGGCCCAAGAGCGAAAATTCACGTATTTGATAAATAACTACCTAAGAAATAAACATGGTTTAGATGAATGAAAATGAGATACAATTGCATATCATGATCATGTAACTAAGTTGTAGTTGTAGTCATATACTACCAATATATACATTTATAATTGGGTATGATCTTTAAAATTTTAACAATTACATAAAAAATGTTACTTATAGAGACACCCTCCTCCACTTTTTATTATCATACAATATTAATTCAATAACCAAAGATCCAATGAAAATAATAGTGGTGACAGTTGTATCGTTCTTTTTGATAGTTTGTTGTCCATCATCATCAGAACTACAAAGAATCAAACCTTTATCTTATGCATTGAGTTCCTTCATAGCCATTCTAATGAACAACTTACACGAATAAGTTGGTGGTTAGCAAAGCCTAATTGATGTATATTTATTGGAAAGTAAAGTTTTACTATTTATATTTACGGAAGCCCAACCCTATACAGACATGAGAAGGAATTTAGGAATGAATATGGCTTGAGTGAAGTAAAAATGAAGATGTATGTGCAGAGGTGGTGCCCTTAGGTTGTACTAATCATTCATCAATTAATTGTAAAAAGGAAGATTATTCAGAACAGTCTTTGGAGCTTTCAACAAGGAAAAGTGATAAACTGGAAGGCCATTGAGAGTGGCACTATTGAGAGGCAAACGAGCTCCAAAGGAGAGGAGCTTGCTTTTCCACCCCTGGAGACGGTCTTGATACTTGCTCATCACCGGGTTTCAAATCGAGACCGCGTTAGGGCAATCTCCTAAAGAGGGGCAAAGTACTTTGATGGGTCGCTACTCTATTTACACCCGAAGATCCAAGCGAAGAAACTGGGTTCATGAACGTCACCAACAGTGTACATCGTAGACTTATTGAGTTTGATTTTGAGTCCCGTCACTGCCTGGAAGCAAACCAGAGTGGCAAGGATATTAAGTACTTGATCAACAGAAGCGTCGCAGAAAATAAGGGAGTCGTTAGCAAACAGGTGATGAGTAACCTCTCTTGCCCGCCTATCCTCGTCCATGTGAAAGGAGATCTCCTTGCCGAACCCCCTTACTTGCGCGAAAGTAACCATGAGCTTCACCGTTGACAAGAATAGACGTCATAGGGGAACACAGGTCCCCTTTAATCCATTGTTGCCACTTAGCCGGGAAACCCAGTCTATCCAACATGTTAAAGAGGCACTCCCAACTAACATTGTCAAATGCCTTCACGATATCCAACTTGAACATTAATCCTGCCTTTCTGCTGTCAACAATCTCATTAGCTATAAGAGTCGCCTCCGAGATATGTCTACCACGAACAGAGGCATGTTGATTGGGAGAAACCAACTTAGGAAGGACACGGCTCAGACGGTTCATCAACACCTTACTCGCCAGTTTATTAAAGCTATTCATCAAGCAGATTGGTCGAAGATCCTTCGTGCGTTCAACAACATCAACCTTTGGGGTTAGGCAAATAAACGCACGAGTAATGCTTTCTGGAAGATAACCCGTGGCGTGAAACTCCTCAGAAGTTTGAATGACCTCCTGCTTACATAACTACCAACATTTCTTATAGAAATCAAAGGTAAAACCGTCGGGTCGCGAGACCTTGAAGCCATCACTTGATTTAATAACATTCCAGATTTCCTTCTCACTGAAATTCCGAGTTAGATCAGCGCACTCTAGAGGATCCAAACTGGTGCTCAGATAAACACAAGGGAAGGGTCTGTCAGTGGTAGATTCTTGAAATAGGACTCTGTAAAATTCAGCAATACCCGTACCTTAAGGCATCTTTCCCTTCGACTACCAGCCCATTACCATAATTTTATATAATATAATTTTATAAAGACCTTTTCCCATCAATATATTATCTAACATTTTCAAAACTATGTTGCATTATACACTTACAACATTATCATATGGAACTGAACCATGTATATACTTCCACAAAATATTAAAGAAAACACTACTCTACGTAAATTGACAATCTTACCATAACTTTAAAAATTCGCTTACCTTCACATTTTCTTCATTGAATTGAACCTCTGTACGGTAACTTTATCAATACAATACAGTGAAACCGACATTTCCATTAGGTACCCGTAAAAAGAAAGATTTCTTTCTTGAGAAATTTTACAATACTATATAGTATTGGTGCTATAAGTTTTTGCTTTTATGGTACAACTTGAAATTATACATTTAACTTTATAGTACAATTTCAACTTATATCTATACATTTTGTACAAATTGTTTTATGGTAAAACTTAAATTTGTACATTTATGTGATGCTACAACTTCAAGTTGTATCATAACATAATTATACCATAAAGTACCAATACTTTATAGCATAGTAGAAGTGATCTTTCTTTCATTTCGTTTCTTTATTTAGTGCCTCAAACTTCCTCTGCATAAAAAAAAGCCTCTTCTTCATTTCTCATTCTTCTCCTCCCCCTTCTCCATCGCCGTCGCAATCTCCATTGAAATCCACCCCTGTAATTTTCCCCCAACCCGCCCCATTTCTCTACCCAACCCAACCCAAATCAATCATTCAATCCATCAGGAAAAAAAAAAGAGATGAAATCTCCTCGGCGCCTGTTGCCGGACAGATCGTGGATCATCGCCGTGGTAATGGCCGGCCTGGTCTTCGCCGGCGTCTTGATCGGGAGCTTCCTCCGCTCCGGCGGCGATGACTCCTTCCTCTGCTCCCTCGCGAGCAAGAAGCTGATTCGCACCACATCCGAGTACCCCACCACGCCGGCCCAGCTCCAGGCGATCGTCCACTACGCCACCTCCCGGATCACGCCGCAGCAGAACATCGACGAGATCACCGTAACCCTCGACGTCTTCCGCGGCCGCTCTTTCTCCCCCGCCAATTTCCTCGTCTTCGGCCTAGGATTCGATTCCCTGATGTGGAGCGCACTGAATCCCAGGGGGAAGACGATCTTCCTCGAGGAGGATCCGTCGTGGGTGGAAAAAGTGCTGAAGGACGCGCCGTCGCTCCACGCGCACACCGTCCGGTACCGCACCCAGCTCAAGGAAGCCGACGAGTTCCTGAATTCGTACAGGAAGGAGCAGACGTGCTCGCCGGCGAAGGCTTATCTCGACGGGAACTACGCCTGCCCGCTGGCCCTGACCGGGCTGCCCGACGAGGTCTACGCGACGGAGTGGGACCTGATCATGATCGACGCGCCGCGCGGGTACTTCGCCGAGGCGCCCGGGAGGATGGGAGCGATATTCTCGGCGGCGGTTATGGCGAGGGCGAGGAAGGGATCGGGTGTGACGCACGTGTTTCTGCACGATGTGGATCGGAAGGTGGAGAAGGCGTTTGCGGAGGAGTTCCTGTGCCGGAAGTACCTGGTGAAGGGCGTCGGACGGTTGTGGCATTTCGAGATCCCGCCGGCGTCGAACATGACCGGCGGACAGGATGAGAACTCGTGGTTTTGTTAGGATGCGGAAAGGACGACGACGTCGTTTTGGTCGTTTGCCCTACGGATTAGATTTTTTTTTTTTGGGTGTGGGGTTAATGAAATTATATCTTTATTATTATTATGTTATTAATGCATGGATTATGCCGGGAATATAGTTTAGTGGTAGTAATTAAAGTTTTTTGATAGGTGGAGGAAAGACACAGGTGATAGGTCGGATATTTATTAATATAATTAATATCTATTTTCTTACAATTTTCCATGTTTTGTGGTTGAGTGTTTTTATTTTTTATTTAAAGTATTCAGAAAAAATGAGTAAAAGAAAGAAAATTTGAATATACAATACTTTATCCTCTAATAAATTATGCTTTTCTTTCCTACATGTTAATATGTTTGTTTTCTCAAGGTTTCCTACATGTTGGGACAGGTTATGGTGATTACTAAGTAGTAATCACCATTGTTATTAAGAGTAAATTGGGTATGAAAAAATAAATTATATTAATTAATTTTTTACCATAAATTTCATTTTAGGTAGTTACAAAAATTTATTAATTATAATTCTCTCTTTATCTCATTTTCGTAATCTCCAGCCAGATCCCCTTCCTTATTTTTCTCAATCTATCTGCAAAAAAAAAAAAAAAAAAAAACACGAAATCACTTCCAATCCATTAGACAACCACTACCACTTTGAAAAATATCAATATCATTGCAGAAGTAAATCTATACCATTACGCCAAAACTACCAATATAAACAATCAACCAATATAAATATATATCATTTCACAAAAAATCAATACCATTGCAGAAGAATAAACAAGAAACCAATACCAAAACGTTAACAACTACCACTGCAGCCTACACGAAACACTACCACTACCACTTATTAACAACTATCATTGCAGATTACAACAATACCATTACATGATAATCAATATGCGAAAAAAGAATATCAATGCGAAAAAACACTACCATTACGGGAAAACACTACCAATGCAAAAAAGTACATACCAATAAAAAACCAGAAAAATTTCTTTTTCCCAACCGTCGTTTTTGTCTTGCTGAAGAAGAACAGAAGTAAGGAGAGAGAGAGAGAGAGAGAGAAGTGAATTGGGTTTTAGAGAGGGGAGATCTCCTGCGGAGATCACCTTGGAGTAACCGCTGGGCATTTCTTGGATCAAGACCCTGGAGGGCCTTCTCCGGCACCGGTCCCCCACCGGACTCGACCGTAGATCGTCCAAGGAAACGTCGACCACCGCCCACGTCCCGTCGGGTGCTGCTTACAGTATCTGGCGAAGTAGCTCTCACGGGTTGGGACCAGTGGAGTTGGGAGTTGGAATTCAGCCGTCTCCCGCAGAGGAAGAATGGATGGAAAGAGAGAGAGAGAGAGAGAGAGAGAGAGAGGATCGGGAGGAATGGCCGGCAAAGGGAGGTGGACGGAGGGAGAGTGGGATGGAGTGCGGGCAGCGGGCAGTCGGCAGCCGGCGTCGATGAAGTAGGGTTTGTCTGGAGGAAGGGCAATGTAGAATTAGGGTTTGGGTAGAATATATAGAATAATCAGGTGTGAACTCTTTTTTGTTTCCAAAACTAACATAAAACAAAATTAACCATAAGATTAAAAAAAGAGAAAAACAAGAAAAATGAACGACAGATAATAATGTAGCCACGGTGACAACTAAAATTTTAGTTGGCACCCTAATGCATTCTTCTACATGTTAATATGAAAAAAAAAGAAGAAGAAGAAGATAAATCACAAGGATGATCATTCAAATCTTGTGTCCATTTTGCTATGCTTATTACCTTTTTGGTCGAGTAAGTGCCTGGCAATCAGACAAAGAGAATATGTCGTTATAATTATGTTGTTATGATATCAATAAACCGTAGGATACACTTATTATGAATGCGAAATTTGTTGTGCAACTAATTTAGTCTTTCAATCTATTAATTCGTTATGTGGTCGTGAAATTATACGAAACAACAATACCATTATAAGAAGATTGAAGGATGGAAATGATAATAAAAATCAATAATTTCCTCAACAAAATGGTGAACAGAGCCAAAATTAGAGTGTTTGGCAGAGTCCAACTAGGGTGGGAAAACGGTTGTGGTTTTATAGTTAAACCTCAATTTGTTGAGGGATGTGATTAGGTGCTAACCCTTATAGGGGTTAGCACCGCGATAACTAGCAAAAATCACTACAGATTATTATAAAATCAATACAACATCTAAGCTAAATCACTACTAATTCTAACTAGTAGTAGTTTTTCCCTTGGTTAGGACGGTGCTAACTATTGTACAATTAACACCGTAGCCGTTCCCATTTGTTGAATAAACACGGTTAGTGATTAACCGTAAATCATTTTAATGAGATCTTATTTAGTCGTGGTTAATAGATTTGAGTTATTTTGTGGTTTAACTACAAATTGCAAACGACACCTGTTTACTTTATTTCTGTTTCCTGTTTTTGAGAAAACAGATGTTGAAAACAGGTGAAAACAACATTTTGTCGTTTCCGAAAACAGCAGGAAGTTGCCACTTTCTGTTTTCATAGTTGGAAACGAATAGAAAACAGAATGAAAAGTAAACAAGTTTTCTCATTTCGGTTGCCAAATTTATCACATGAAAACAGAAAACAGGAAACAAAAATGGAAGTGAACAGGGCCTAATAAGTTCCTAACTATTTCAATAGCCGCAAATGAAATTCAAACGCAGGCCTTGAAACTCAACTCCTCCAACAGCCCTACAAAAACCTGCCAGGCCCATAGTCCATTTGTCGGAGTTTCTTTTTGGTTCACTAAAAAGCTGATATACCCAAATCTAATATGGCTATCTTATCCTCATAGCTCAATCCATGAGTAAATTACCCACCTCTTTGCTCCTTTTAGAGATGCAATCCAACCCGCAATTATGAATATCCTACTCAACCATAACCGGTTAATAAGGGTAATTATTTGCTTTAACAGGTTAATAGCCTGTATAGGTAATACCCGATTTCAAAATAATGGGTAGGGTACGAGTATAGTATGAAACCAGAGGTGGCAATCCACCAATCCAATCCATCAATCTATTAAAAATATCCAACTAATCCTATCTATATCCATTCAATCCAAATCCAATCGGATTGGTGGATTTATGGATTGATCCATGGATCCAAATGTCAAATTACAGTTTGGTACCTATAATTTTATTTTTTACATTTTGGTACCTAAATTTAATTTTTATACAAAAATATCATTGGAAAATTATGCTTTGGTACCTAAAAATTTTCATTATGACATTTTAGTACCTAAACTTTTCACATTTTACATATTGGTCCAACGTAGGGGGTCATTTGGATTCCTGATAATCCACCAATCCACTTGATCCAATCCACGAATCCATTAGATCCATGGATCCACTAATACAATCCACCAATCCATGAATACAATCCATTTGCTACCTTTATATGAAACTGTATGTATAAATAAGTAATAACGAAAAGGTTAAGTATGCTAAACTAAGAATGCTTATATGGTATGGAGCGGTATGATACCTTGTGCTAAACTTCTTAAAAGTGACAACCTATAGTGTTGGTCGTTATAGCACAACTGACATTTGCAATATTGACGAAACTGAAGATACTTCTCAAATCCAATTTATGCCATCTTATCATGATATTGTTCTATTTTGTACATATTAACAACCAAATTGTATTAGTAAAAGGTATATTATCTACTATTGAATCTTTCCCAACAACTCGAGTTAGTGGGACCAATTGGTTCTTGACATTGTATTAGAGCCTTTTGTAACCGAGAGGTCTCTTGTTCTAATTCAATGACCGCATATGTTTCTGTTAAGCACGTGGTGTCCGCAGTTGTGCAAACTTCAGGCCCATATATGGTGGCTTTCGTTTGAGGGGGTGTGTTAGTAAACGTCATATGATTCACGATTGAACCTCTCCCAACAACTCTAGTTATTGGGATCAACTGATTCTTGACAAATTGATCGAAACTCAAGGATTCGAGGTTTATAACTGTTTTTATAAAACTTCATTTCTTTCTTAACCAATTCAACTTATCAAAATATTGATATTTGGCTTTAATATATCGGATTCTTGGACTTTATGTGATTATCCGTGGTATGTTTTAGCCAATTGGTGCTATTTTAGGGCTCGCTAACCCGAGAATGGTTGAAAAACCATTACTGCCTAGTGCCATGAGTTTGATATGTTACAGGTGGAGAAAGTACGAAAAAGAAACGAATGCATAAGCAATCAATCGAGCTCGAATAATTGATGGAATACTCACGTGGGCCTGGAAGGAGAGTGGGCCACGAAAAATTGCTAGGATGGTTTTAATGGGAGAGGCAAAATTGGGCCAAGAAATTACGGACGGAAGGGGGGTTTTGGTGGTGAATTCTCTGGCAACGTAAGGAAGGAGGGAATCAATTTGTGGAGCAGCCAATTAATTGGGACACAGAATTATAATAAAAAAAAGGACAGGCAAGTTTGGTTGGGGGTTTTTTGGAGGAGATAATTCTCTTGGAAAAAGGCAGCGGCATTCGAAAGAAAAGGTAGCAGGCGAAATTCTTGGGGAGAAGCAAGCGCAGACGCGGATCGACGAGCATCGTTTGGAAAATTCTCAGTATTTTTGTTTCTTCTCCTTTCATTAGTATGATGATTATGAACATGATTGTGTGTTTTATTTTCGTCATGAACTAAACCCCGATTTCTGGGGGAAACACCATAGGATGTAGCTAGTTCTTGATTTGATGGATTGATTCATGATTCTTTTCTTCCAATCTCTATTGCATGAAATTGCTTAATGCTTTGTGTTGACTGGCCACCAATACAACGATTTGTAGTTAATTAGGTTATTAGCGACAGTGAAACCCTATTAACTGAACATATTTCATGTGACATAGTAACTTATCGAAGCGACAGTGGATTAAATAAGGTGCTATGCAGTCTTAAATAGGATATCGATCTTCAGGCTAAACAATTAGGTCATTGAGCTACGACAGTAGGATTTGATTTAATTGTTTAGTACGTAGTAATTCCCGACAGGGATAGCTAGCACATTCGTGATATCCTGGCTGTAGAGGTATGGATTAAATTGATTGGCATATGTGAATTAATCTGGATAGGATAGGTAGTGAATCCCGGTGTTTCTCCCAGAGCTTTCTCCATTGAATTAAACCCGACACTTTAATTTGCTTTTTTTGTTTAATTACTTTGCTATTAGATCATAGTTTCATCTCATTAAACATTTTCACGTATAGTTTGCTCAATAAAATTGATAGAACTTAAGGTTGTACCAGTCCCTGAGAGACGATACCCGGACTTTCCGGTTTACTACGAGATAGGAAATTGGCATATACGCTTTTGCCCTATCAAGTTTTTGGCGCCGTTGCCGGGGACTGCCATACCTTATTTTTGTTGATTTTTGGTGAGTGAACTATTTTGATCTGGGTGTTAGTGTGCAGGTGAATTTTTCAGGTTAATCCTCCTCGTGCATGCCAAGGAGGACGACTGGCAATTTACTGCCACTAGATCCCGAGATCGAGAGGACCTGCCGACAGAACAGGAAGCAGGTCAAGTTAGGGAAGCAGCCTACCACATCCACAACTCCTAGGCCTTCCCTAACTCAGAATCGTCAACCAAGAAGGCAGGTGACACCACCTGTCATCCCTACACCACCTACACCACCGTCGCGCGTCATCGAGCCTGTCATCATGGCTGAACAGGATCGTTCGATCAGGGCTCGTCTAAATCGGAGGACTGGAGCCCGAGCTTCATGTGTTGTCATTCCGGCTGGGGATGCAAACATGGAGATTGCCCCAGCCTTCATCAATATGATCACGAATGGGTACACCTTCTCAGGAGCCAGCACCGAGGATCCTCATGAACATCTCCGCCGGTTTGCAAACATTTGTGACACAATGAAGAGCCCGGCTGTGTCTGATGATGCCATCCGTCTTCGGATGTTCTCATTTTCTCTGCTAGGGAATGCATCACACTGGTTCCAGAATACCACACCCCGTTCCATCACAACATGGGGTCAGCTTGAGAAGACCTTTTTGGATAAGTACTTTCCTCCTGCCAAGGCAATGAAAAGGCAAGAGGAAATAGTCACTTTTAAGCAAGCTGAGGATGAAAGTCTGACCGAGGCATGAGAGCGCTATAAGGAGCTTCTAATGAGATGCCCGAGCCACGGTCTTGAAGATTGGAATGTGATCTCCATTTTCTTCAACGGAATCAGAAGACAATTTCGAGATGCTCTGAATAATGCTTCCCGAAATGGTTTCACAAGAATGGAAGCACCAGAAGCATATGAACTGGTGGAGAAGATATGCTCTGAAGATACTGAATGGGGTAGTGAGACCGGCATTCGAAGGAGAGGAGGCTTGCATGAGATAGACAGAGTTGCAAGCTTAGAAGCAAAGATTGATGCTAAGCTGGATTCCAAGTTCGATGCACTCGAACGAAGGCTGGCTAAGATGGCTCTTGGTAGACAGGAGGAGGTTGCATATTGCGAATTATGTGAAGGTGCTCATCATAGGGATCTATGTCCACTGGTAGCTGATCAGTTGGAAGATGTGCACTATATCAACAATCAGCAAAATCAAGGCCAGGGTGGTATGTATTCAAATACCTACAACCCGCAATGGAGGAAGCATCCTAACTTTTCCTGGGCAAACAACAACCCAGCTGGTGCTCGCAACATTCCACCTCCAGGACTGCAGAAACAACAACCTCAACCAGAGAAGAAACCACAACTTGAAGAATTGCTTCTGGCTCACATGCAGAAAACCGACAATAATCTGAAGGGTCTTGATCAATTTGTCACTCAACAGCTAGCCATCAACAATAATTTGCAATCATCTATGCTAGCTATGGAGAGGCAAATAGGCCAGATGGCTCAAACTTTGGCAGATATGCAAGGCAGGATTCCTGGGACATTACCAGCAAATACTGAGAGGAATCCGAAGGATGCCATGGTTGTAGCAGTGACATTGAGGAGTGGAAAGGCCTTGGAAGACCCTAGCAGCTCGAAAAAGGCACCAGAGGCAGAAGAGGAAGCACCGGGAGAAAGATCTTGTGCAGAAAATGAAGAATCAGCCTTGCACAGGCAAAATGAAAGCGGTTTGCCTGTGCAAAAGCATGCTGCCCGTGTACCTCAAAAAGTGGAAAAATTGAAGAATGAAGAGGTAAAGCCTTATGAACCTCCCGCACCATTCCCTCAAAGGTTAATGAAGCCCATGGAAGACCCAAACTTCAAGAAATTTGTGAATATCTTCAAGCAACTTCAGATTAACATACCCTTGGCGGAGGCACTTGAACAGATGCCTGCATATGCTAAATTCTTAAGGGAGTTGCTGACAAAGAAGCGGAAATGGGCTGATCTGGAGAAGGTAACCCTTACTTCTGAATGTAGTGCTGTGATTCAGAATAAATTACCAGAAAAGAGGGATGATCCGGGCAGCTTCACCATTCCATGTGTCATTGGAGGTACAGAATTCAATAAATCGCTTTGTGATCTTGGAGCAGGAATTAATTTGATGCCATACTCAGTCTACGAGAAATTGGGATTGGGAGATGTTCTTAAGCCTACTCGGATCACTCTCCAATTGGCTGATCGATCAGTGAAAATTCCAAAAGGAGTGGTGGAGAATGTATTGGTGAAGGTGGGAAAGTTTATTCTCCCAACAGATTTTGTAATCCTGGAGATGGAAGATGATCGGGGAGTGCCTCTAATCCTCGGAAGACCTTTTCTAGCAACCGGTGATGCACTCATCGATGTTGGGAGAGGCAAGTTGACATTCCGAGTAGGTAAGGAGGAGGAAATTTTTAATGTCTTTCAAGTTGACCATAATCATGATGAATTTGAAAGTGAAGCTCGAGAAAGGAAAAATCCCTCTTCCTGTGATAGTGGACCATCCGAAGAACTATCACCTATCCTATCTGCTCAGATTCTGAAGTCAAAGCAAGGGCAGAAATCCTTGCCAGGTCACCTCAAGTATAGATATTTGGGTAAGGATTTCAATCTTCCTGTTATTATTCCTTCTTCACTGACATTGAAATAGGAAGAGTACCTGCTTGAGGCGCTGCAGTACCACCTACGCCTCACTAAAGGGTCTAACATGCCAGCTAAGAAGGTCATACCCAATTTTCGCACACCTGGCCCTGCAGAGGTGACTCATATGCTGGATGGAGGTTATGCGTTCTATCATTGCTCGGGAGGGTACGCTGGATACCTTTCCATACCCATTGGTTGAAAGCTTCATAAACGTCAGGCTGAGGACGTTAAACAAGCGCTTCTTGGGAGGCAACCCAAGGTAAGTTTTCTTTTCTTTATTTTTATTTTTAGTTGTGTCAAACCCGTGCATGTTTAGATTAGGAGTTGAACATTAGGGACAATGTTCCATCCTGAGTGTGGGGTGGCGAGTCTTAGTGTTTGTTTGTTCCTTTTGTCATGTGGTCAGTAAATAAAAAAAAATCCAAAAAAAAAAAACAAAAAAAATTGCCATTAGGTTGAGCACAGCCAAATTGCATGCAGTTTGCCTGTGTAAAAAGCAGTCTGCCTGTGCAAAGCTAATGGCTTAAAAACACCTAAAAATCAGAAAAATGAAAAACAAAACCTTGTACTCTTGTGGTAACATGATGTAAATGACCGTGATGCCTTGAAAATGAGTTTGTGCTTGAATGAAATCATCAAAATCACCCCACTAGTGTTGAATTGCATAGTTCTTCACAATGAGCTTAAATGTTTTGACTGACTTGATATGCTTTGAATGAGCAAACTCTTTTAGCAACATTCTCTTTTGTGAAGATAGTGTAATGACTTTTGGTGAAGTAGTTAGGTGGAGAACATTGACCATTCGACATGTTTGGATATTGTGCTTACTTGCATCAATTGTGAGCTTTTGATTTGGCATTGAGTCTCTCTGTTTTGAATGTTTTATGATGGGGTGAACTATATCTTTATAAAAAAGAAAAACACTACCTGACAAGTAAAATATAAGAAAGTTGCCATAACAATTAAAGTGTGGGTAAAAATGCCAAAATTGTGTGAGGCAATCACTCATTGCACATGGGGATGAGGAAAGATTCAATTGAGAATCGGTTCGCGACCGTACAATGTTGCTTATCAAGTACGATCCCCAGTTGAGTGAAGTGCCATTTGAGGATGCAATGACCCTCCACACGGACCGAGGACAAGGAGTTAAAAGAAGCCCTTATGCGAGTGCTAAGAAGCAGAAATTGCTCTTGCTCGGTCACCGGTAGTAAGAAACAAATCCCACGTGTACTAAATACGACCTCTCGGCAAGCAAAAGCAGAAAGAGAGAAAGCCTCTCCTTGTCACAAAAGGTAGTGATGTGCTTAAAGTAAAATCATGTTTGCGAAAGGCTTCCCCCATTAGTTTTTGAGACTCATGCTTAATTAATTGCTTATGATTGGTGTGAGTAAGCCAGACTGCCTCACGAGATATGCACCTCACTGATGTGGTTAGATTCTCCTAATAATTGTTGCACCATAAGTTGTTAATCACCCACTACCGACGATCTAAATTGAGTGTTGCTATTTGAGTTTTTGATGGATTTGAGTCAGTCAATGGTAATGGTTGCAAAGAACTTGAGTGTGGGGTGAAAGGTATGACCATTAAAGCACAACTTGTCCGTTGAGAAAGAAACTACTGATTACAACAAGAGTACAAGGAAATTTGGTGTTTTGCTTTGAGTGTTGAGTCTGTAATGTGTCATTGTTTTGGATGATTATGTGTTTGTGTTGTTTGAGTCGTTGCTTAGGGACAAGCAACAATTGAGTGTGGGGTTGTGATATTTGGCTTTAATATATCGGATTCTTGGACTTTATGTGATTATCCGTGGTATGTTTTAGCCAATTGGTGCTATTTTAGGGCTCGCTAACCCGAGAATGGTTGAAAAACCATTACTGCCTAGTGCCATGAGTTTGATATGTTACAGGTGGAGAAAGCACGAAAAAGAAGCGAATGCATAAGCAATCAATCGGGCTCGAATAATTGATGGAATACTCACGTGGGCCTGGAAGGAGGGTGGGCCACGAAAAATTGCTAGGATGGTTTTAATGGGAGAGGCAAAATTGGGCCAAGAAATTACGGACGGAAGGGGGGTTTTTGGTGGTGAATTCTCTGGCAACGTAAGGAAGGAGGGAATCAATTTGTGGAGCAGCCAATTAATTGGGACACGGAATTATAATAAAAAAAAGGACAGGCAAGTTTGGTTGGGGTTTTTTGGAGGAGATAATTCTCTTGGAAAAAGGCAGCGGCATTCGAAAGAAAAGGTAGCAGGCGAAATTCTGGGGGAGAAGCAAGCGCAGACGCGGATCGACGAGCATCGTTTGGAAAATTCTCAGTATTTTTGTTTCTTCTCCTTTCATTAGTATGATGATTATGAACATGATTGTGTGTTTTATTTTCGTCATGAACTAAACCCCGATTTCTGGGAGAAACACCATAGGATGTAGCTAGTTCTTGATTTGATGGATTGATTCATGATTCTTTTCTTCCAATCTCTATTGCGTGAAATTGCTTAATGCTTTGTGTTGACTGGCCACCAATACAACGATTTGTAGTTAATTAGGTTATTAGCGACAGTGAAACCCTATTAACCGAACATATTTCATGTGACATAGTAACTTATCGAAGCGACAGTGGATTAAATAAGGTGCTATGCAGTCTTAAATAGGATATCGATCTTCAGGCTAAACAATTAGGTCATTGAGCTACGACAGTAGGATTTGATTTAATTGTTTGGTACGTAGTAATTCCCGACACGGATAGCTAGCACATTCGTGATATCCAGGCTGTAGAGGTATGGATTAAATTGATTGGCATCTGTGAATTAATCTGGATAGGATAGGTAGTGAATCCCGGTGTTTCTCCTAGAGCTTTCTCCATTGAATTAAACCCGACACTTTAATTTGCTTTTTTTGTTTAATTACTTTGCTATTAGATCATAGTTTCATCTCATTAAACATTTTCACATATAGTTTGCTCAATAAAATTGATAGAACTTAAGGTTGTACCAGTCCCTGAGAGACGATACCGGGACTTTCCGGTTTACTACGAGATAGGAAATTGACATATACGCTTTTGCCCTATCAAATATCCTGGCTAATTTGTTCAAAGCCTTGGATGATCAACCGGACGAAAGCATGCTCATCACTAGTCAAACGGTTTCCCAACTCTACTCTCCGCAAATTTACCTTTATTTAGATGGAGTATTCACCACTGTCTTCAATGTTTATCAATGACACAACTAAAGTTTGACAATCATTTTGGGATACCAATCAATTAGAAGCTAATTAATCCAATTAGATTCCAACCCCTTCACAAGTTTAGATTCCCCAACACAAAATCACATCCCTTCAATCGCACAAGTCCCACAAGAGTGGAGGGACATAACATAATAAGAGATCCAAGCAACAATTAAAACTCAGATCCCCCATCTTTTATTTATTTACAAAATCCCCCCTCACCCAGAAGCCGCAGAGGTATCAAACGAGTTCTTCCTCACCAACAAACAACTCACCTTCTTCCCATTCCCCTGCCCGCCGCCGCCGTTGTTCTCCAATCCACACAGTACAAAATCCGGCCGATGCATGGCCAGCGCCAGCCTCTCCTCCCCCATAACCAACCCCGTCGCGTCCAACAAGACATGCCACGAGTTCCGATGGGCCTCGGAGATCCAATGCATCGAGTACCTAAGCCCATTCACCGCGGCCGGATACGCAAAAAGCCCCTTTGGAGTGTTCTTACACTTTCTCCGAAAGTACTGGCTTAGCTGGGAGCCTTTGATTCTCAGATCTAACCAACTCTCCGGCATCGGAACCACTTTCGCCTCTTTTCTACCGGCGTATTCGCGGATCCCGTCGCCCGTTTCCTCGACGATTGTCATGTAATAGTTCCCTTTGAAAAAAGGGTAGCTCTCGCCCACCATCGCCAGAGCATCTCTCTGGGTCGGCATGAAAATGACCAGATAGTCCTTCTCGTTCAGCCCGCAGTGCTTCAGGGCTCGATTCGATGCCTGGATTTCTGGGATCGACATGAAATTGCCCTTGAATGAGGATTTCTTGGCCAGTATGTCGAGTAGGCGGGACGATTCCAGTTGGGTTCTGTCCAGATCGGAGAAGCTCCGGCTAAACGACGGCGTAGAGGGGTTTTTGGGGGAAATTTTTGTGTTGGGTTCCGAGGATTCTTCTTCCCCGGTAATGGCCAAATCGAGTGCTTCGCTTTCGTTGAGGATGCCGTTGCAGTATTGAGGGTATTTGGCGAAGACATATTGTTTGACGTAGTCCATTTCGGTCGGAGTTATGGGTCCCGACCACCGAAGGTCGAGTCCCCGTAGAGTTGAGATGGCTTCGGCGATCAGATGGGCTGGGATTACTGAATGCGCCTTCTGCAATTCATGAAATTTTTTAAGCAATGAGTTATTTTAGGATAACACAGTAAGAGGTGAACTAAAAAATGTTTTACCCAAAGAATTTACAGTTTGTTTTTAAAGTACAAAAACACAAGATAATTAAAAGATTTCTCAGTACAATCACACCAAATTAACCTAATGATCAAGTAATAGTGAAAAGATGAGTGGAAAATATATTTTTTATAATTATTTTTGACTGTTTTAAATTCACAAGATAGTTAAAAATTCAACGTTTATTTTATGGGAAAATCAGAAGACATTAACTTCACAATAAAGTATTGAAAAAGATGAATCATAGAACATTCTACATATCTCATATAATTTTCAAATTTTTCAACAAAAAAGTTAAAATCTCGAACTCGATTATATTTTTAATTTCTAAAATCGCTAAAAATTCACCTATTGACATATCTTCATTTTGAGGTATATTCACCAAAACATAAGGAGGAAATCAAGCTCAATTTTATTTTTGTTAAACCACAAGAAATTGACCTAGCAAATGGGATAATGATAAAAGAGACCTCGAACTTCAAACTCAATTTCTTCTTTAACATCCTAATACCAAAAGACGAATGAAAATATCAGGGAATTCCAACAAATTGCAAACGACGATCAACTAGAAGGAGTTCGAATTTCGACTTCCAAACTGAATCTTTCTTTGTAATACGAGAGATTGAGCTAGTGGATAGAAATATGCATAACAATAGAAAGAAGAGGGCAAGAGAGAGGGAAGTAAATTGCCTTGATAACCATGCTGGTAGGTCTGCTGTTAGTTTGCACTGGGGAATCTGGGCGAGAAGCTGAAGGTGACGCTGAGACTTCAACCTTGCTTGCTTCCATGGCTTCCTGAACAAATCCATTAACCTCAAGCAATCAATCATTTCTCCATGAAATTTGGGTTAAAGGCCGAAAACAAAATTCTGGGTAGTGGAAAGCAAGACTGAAAGTTAGTAACTTTGTACCTTGAATTCTTCTTCATTGATCATCGTCGGCTGTCCTGGATTGCTCACCATAACTTGGGAACTGGGGTTTCTTTCTTTGTTGGCTGAAGAATCAGAAGAACAGACGGGAGAGGAAGAAGAAAAACAGAGGGAGGTTGGATTGCAAAAAATGGCCCAATATAAACAAACGTTTTCTGTAGAGGAGATTGGGACGGGAACAAAAATTGGGATTATTAAACAAAAGCTTGATGAATTAAATAAAATAGTTAAACGAAAAGGGAATCAAACCAAGAATGTGCTGTAGTAGGTTTTGAAATGTTTAAACGAAATTATTCCATGTATAAAATGTCTCGGTTTACACTGAACTTGTTACAAAATGCTAGTTAAAATTAAATAACCTACGATAAAAAATCAATTTATTTTATCTGCCGTTATAGTTCGATTATGTCAAACAAACTCATTATGTACGTTTTGCAAAAAATTCACTTTTTTCAGCAGTTCATGTAGTTACTAATAACTCAACCTGAAAATCGTAAAAAAAAAAAAAAATTCAACCTGAAAAATCAAGCTCTCAAATTGCGAGCCGACTCACTATCCCAATTTTATGCTACATATGATCAATTAGTAGGAATGGCAATGGGCAAGTCTGGGCGGGTATCTTAATACCCATACCCGCCCCATAACAGGTCGGGGTACAGGTCGGGTAATTTATCATGTGGCGCGGGTCGGGACAAGTCGACCTAATGAGTATGTAATTTATGCGAAAAACATTAGAAATATTCATTATTTCATTAAAAGGCCAAGAAAGAAACCATTATGTGATCAAATGTAGTTAAGTTGTTGGAGAAATTGAGGTATTTACTTATCTACAAGTTTATTATAGCTAAAATATAATGTAATAAGAGGAAAATCCTAAGTAATCTGACTAAGATTACATGTAATTTAAGTAGGAACGAGTCAAGAATTGGGTGGGCCGGGACAGGTCAGGTCGATGAGAGGTACCCATACCCGCCTCGCCTACGGGGCGGGTCGGACCTGCCCAAAACAAGCCAAACAAGTCCGGTAAATCGGTCAGGTCGAAATTGCCATCCTATAAGTTAGTTCAGTTTGCATTTTGCTAAAATGTTCAGTTTCATGACTATTTGGTGACGGACCTCAAAGTTTAGTAACCATCTAGACCTTTAACCCACAGTATGATAGGTTAGGAGCGTCGTGAGATAAAATAATTTGGCTAAATTGAGTGGCGGCCCAAATCAGACCAAATAATAATAATAATTTTCTTATTAGACAAAGTACCGTGAATAATTAGTTGTAGGAATGTTCTCTTTTTCTTCTTAATCTAAAGGATTACAGCTAATTACTCATTATTAAATTATGTGTATTGGTTGATTGCAGAAGCCAACTGACCCACTTAACAAAATGGCTAATTACTTCAATTAGTGATAGGGACCGGTTGAACATTTCTGGACGTTGTGTGCATTTGGATGATTGGAGAGCAGGATTTAAAAATTATTTTGGGGAATAGTTCTTCAACGGAAAACGATTGGTCATGGAGTCAAGTCTAGATAATAATTTTAATGAACTTCCAAAAGGAAACTTATCACCAGAAAAAAACTTCCAAAAAGGAAAAAAAGAAGCATTTATTAGTTGGTGTAACGTTGTTGGGACTACATATATTGTGATTTTGGGTTGGTGAAGAGGGTGTAAAGAGCCATATAGATAAGGTTTTCTCTCGGTTAGCGAGAGGGTAGAGTAGCGGCGGTAACCCTAGGGTTTCCGATTTAGGTCTCAAGAGGAAGCGGTATTCGAATCTGAAAGGAAAACTCTGTGTGGCTGAAGTTATTTAGAGCTGTGACAAGCTTGCTTGGCATCAGACCTAGTTGTGAGAGCGCTTCGAAGAGAAACTGAGCGAAGCTTTACTGGCAAAGCGATTACAATTGACGAGAAACATAGCTGTAGTGGAACCCAAGTAACAAACTTAGGTTTCAAGACGATACGAGGAGGGATGGAATCCACCAATATCCATCCGGAGCAAGCAACTAGGGTAGATGCTGCAGTGGGTGGGGCCAACCCTATGGCCGGATTAGAAGAACAGCTTAACAAAATCACGCTGGAAGAGGAGGACGAGGAGCCTTTAGAAGTCGAAGACACTGATGTGGATGTAATTCGCATGGAGACTGTCATCATCTGGGACTGGTGGGCAGATTGCTGTCCGATAAAGAGCCTAACATAAAGTCAATGAAATATGCTCTTACAAAAGCGTGGGGGCTAAAGAAGAGCTACCATATCACTGAGTTGGGAAACAACCTGTTCGCTTTTCAATTTTTGGAGATGGATGATCGCAACAAAGTGTGCTATGGAGGTCCATGGCACTACGAAAACAATGCACTGCTATTTACTGCAAGTTGGTGGATAAAAAAGCCAACACCTGCTGACCTGCACAAGATGGAAATCTAGATTCAGGTAAAGGAGTTTCCAGCGGAAATGAGAACACAATCGATGGCTGAAAAGATAGCAAACGGAATAGGTGAATATGTTTATTTTGATGATAGTTCTGAAAAGCTATGGGATGATTTTCCTGAGGATTAGGGTAAGTTTATCAGTCAACAATCCTCTGGAAAAGAAGGTTAAGTCAAATGTGGGAGGAGAATTGTTAGAGTTCCAAATCAAATATGAAAAGCTACCACTATTCTGTCATTCGTGTGGACGAATAGTGCACATCAAAACCAAATGTCCAAAACCCTCACAGTTAGCAGTTGATCCATTTGGTTTTGACTTGAGAACAGCCCCTCCAGCTCCAAGGAACTGGCTGTCACATAGAGCGAGGAAGGAGGAGGCTGATATTTGGAGACAATTGAGAAGGAAATTTGATATGGAGAGTTCAGGATCGAACTCTGGAAAAGAGTCACCACCTCAACAAGAGGAGAAGCATGCAGAAATGAACTCGAACTTTCCAACCAAGATCAAAGACCCTGTTCCGATGGATACATGATTGGACACTGAACGAATGGCCCCAACAGGGAATGAAAAGGAGCAGAGGGGAGAACCACAGAAATAAAGAAGGGAAGTTGATATCCCTGCACAAGGAGCAAAGCAATATGAGGCTCCAGTGATAGTGGGAGCAGTAAAGAAATTCTCCCAAAAGGAAAATCATGAGAAAGGAACTAGAAGAGTTCCTGGGAGAGTCTAGAAGAGGCAAGAACAGAGACGAGGAAGGGAAACAAACCAAGTTAAACTCATCCCCCCAAAAAAGAACAATGATACCATCTGGGAAGGATGGGGATGCTATGGAAGGTGGTGAAGCTTTTCAGAAGAAAGCTCGAATCTTATCTTTCGACAACATAGAAGTGGCTCCTAATTACCAAATAAAGGGAGCAGTGACAGAAGCTCAAGGCAATGAAATGATAGGGGAAATGCAAAGAGAGAAGATGACAACTACTGGTATGGATTTCACACAAATGGTTGGCGGAATGGCGGTTCCTGAGAAGACTCGGGACCGCCTAGCCCAATTAGTGTTTTGAGTTACAACTGTCGTGGTTTGGGGAATCCCACGAAAGTTGCACGAGTAGCAGAGCTACTAAGAGAGCAAAACCCTTGTATAGTCTTCCTTATGGAGACAAAGAAGCAAGAACATGAGTGGGAAGATACTATCAAACAACTTGGATGGTCAAAAGGGAAGGGTGTAGGATCTAGAGGTAGAGCAGGAGGGCTCTTGCTCTTATGGAAAGAGGACATACAGGTGAATGTGAAAAACTCAACCAGGAACTTCATCGATGTTTGGATTACTGAAGGAACCGAAGGGAACCAGTGGCGGTTAAGTGGAGTGTATGGGTGGCCTGAACAAGAAAATAAGCCACTGGCTTGGGACTTGATTAGAAGACTTAATGAACAACAAAATATGCCCTGGCTGGTCTGTGGGGATTTTAATCAAGTCCTCAGCTATGAAGAGAAGAATGGAATCAATCCCCCAGATATTCAAAACATGGAGGATTTCCAAACGATGATTGATGAATGCCAGTTAGAGGACCTTGGATGTTATGGCAATATGTTCACTTGGGATAATGGGCGAGTAGATGAAACCGTCCTAGAGGAAAGGCTTGACAGGGATTTAGCCAATTAAGCATGGAAAGAATGGTTCCCTGAAGCTAGGATATATCACCTGAATAGGTGGGTCTCTGACCATTTACCGATAAAGGTGGAGCTGAATCTACAGGAGGAGAAAGTGAAGTGGGGATGGCATTTTAAGTGTGAATCTTATTGGCAGACTCATAAAGAGTGTGCTGCCATTATTGAAGCGGAATGGGTTAAAGATCCTGACAAAACTCTGGAGGATAGGATCAAGGACTGTGAGAAAGCACTGTTGGAGTGGAGCAAGAGAACTTTTGTTAGCCTAAAAGCTCGTAAAAAGAAGATAGAAAGGGCTTGGGCTAAAATTGCAAAGCAAAGAAAGAACAAAGCAGTTCTATTACAAAGAAGAGTGCTTGAGAAGGAACTCAATGAGGTCCTTCTCAAGAAAAGATCAAATGTAGGCAAAGATCTCGTACTGATTGGTTAAAAGAAGGAGATAAGAACACAAGGTTCTTCAATTGAAAAGCCTCAAACGGATAGAGGAGAAATACAATTAAAGAATTGAGGGATGAGAATGGAACAGAATTCAAAGGTCAGGAAGAGGTTATGAGTTGTTTCTGGCAGTATCTAACAAATCTCTACTAGAGAGGGCAAGTGCAAAATATGGAAGAGGTTCTAGCAGCAGTAGAGCCTAAAGTTACCCCTCGAATGAATCATGAACTTTTGGCTCTTTTCAATAGGGAGGAAATCTGGGAAGCTCTAAAAATGATGGCACCTACCAAAACACCAGGTTCGGATGGGATGCTAGCTCTCTTTTTCCAGAAGAACTGGGCAGTAGTTGGGGATACAGTCTGTCTGGAATTACAATGAATTTTGCTAACAAGCCAGATTCCCCTAACACTAAATCATACGTTGCTGGCAATGATTCCAAAGACTCAGAAGCCAAGTTCTCCCAAGGAATTCAGGCCTATTGCACTATGGAAGGTACTATATAAAATTCTATCTAAAGTGCTTGCAAACAGACTGAAAAGGATCCTAAATGAGGTGATTACTGAGACTCAGAGTGCTTTTGTTCCTGGAAGGAACATTACAGATAATATTATGGTGGGATTTGAGTGTTTCCATGCAGTGAAAAACAGGAAGCAAGGGAAGAAGGGGTATGTTGCAGCAAAACTGGATATAGCCAAGGCATATGACAGGGTAGAATGGGCTCTCTTGAAGGGGATTATGCTTAAACTATGATTTCATGAAGACTTGGTCCATTTAATAATGCAGTTTGTGCCTACTGTGACCTACTCTACTTTGATAAAGGGACACCAGACAACTCTAATACAACCTACAAGGGGTTTAAGACAAGGGGACCCTATTTCCCCCTACTTATTTCTCCTTTGTGCTGAAGGATTGTCTGCTTTAACTAAAAAAGCAGTGGAGGAGGGAAAGTTACATGGGATAAAGGTGAGCAATAATGAACCTATGATTACTCATCTTTTCTTTGCAGACGATAGTATATTTTTCTTTGAGAATAAGAAGGAAGAGGGTGAGGTGGTGAGGGATATCCTAAGCATCTATGAGGAAGCTTCAGGGCAGCAAGTTAGTCTGGCCAAATCAAAACTGTCTTTTAGCACAAATGTGTCTGATATAGACAGACAGGAGATAGCAGAGATCTTGGGAATGAAGACTGTCATGTATCATGACAAGCACCTAGGCCTACCTACTGTGATTGGGAGAGCAAAGAAAGCTGTGTTTTCTCAGCTTATTGATAGAGTGTGAAACAAGATTAAACATTGGAAAGGGAAACTTCTCTCTAATGCAGCTAAAGAAGTCCTCATTAAGGCAGTAGCTCAAGCTCAAACACTTTATGCTATGTCGGTGTTTTTAATCCCTTAGGGGGTTATTCAGGAAATCCAGAGCATGATTGCTAGCTTCTGGTGGGGAAAGAAAAGGGAAGAAAAGAGGATACACTGGATGGGTTGGGAGAAGTTATGTCGTCCTAAATATGAGGGTGGAATGGGTTTTAGAAATCTTCATGGATTCAATATCGCGCTGCTGGGGAGATAGGTATGGAACCTACTACATAATCCCAACACCCTAGTAGCACGTGTACTTAAGGCAAAATATTATCCACACTGTGATATCCTGGATGCTGAGGTTGGTTCTAACCCAAGCTATATATGGAGAAGCTTAATGCAAGCTCAAAGCTTGGTCAGAGAGGGAACGAGGTGGAGGATAGGAGATGGGGAAAGTGTGTGAATCTGGTGGGATCGGTGGATCCCCACAGCTGATGATTTCAAATTTCAAACTCAGGTTATTGGATTAGGAATAATGGAAAGAGTGTCGAAATTAATTGATCAGGAGACTCGATCTTGGAAAAGCAATCTTTTGCAAGAAAATTTACAACCAACAGATTGAGACCGGATCAAACAAATTCCACTCCCATTTAGGCCAAGGCCAGATGTTTGAGTTTGGGGCAAGGAGAAAACTGGGAAGTATTCTGTTCGATCTGGTTATAAGGAATGGAGGAGACGATATTTAAGAAATCAGGTTGAGATTTATGTCCCCATTGATTGGAAACAACTCTGGATGCTTCAACTACCTCCTAAAGTTCGAGTTTTTGTGTGGAGATGAGAGAGTAATATTCTTCCTACGGGGGCAAATCTAAGTAGACGAATCCCAGAGGCACATGATGAATGTCCTTTCTGCGGATTGGTTGAGACGCAAGAACACGTTACAAGGGATTGTGACTGGGTGGGAAGAGTCTGGAGACCGAGTTATCTGGAGAAGTACTTCCAAATGGGAGAAGGGAAGAAGTGCGAGGAATGGCTATGCAATCTGATTGAGGGAACGACTGAGGAGGAACTTTCTATGGTTCTGATTATTCAATGGTTTCTCTGGAAAGAGAGAAACAACCATCTATTCAATAATCATAAGATAGAGGAGTGGGAGGTGGTGATGAGAGCACAGAATTACCTGGAAGAGTATTGGCAATTGCAATCCCCATGACCAAAACCTCAGCCGTCGCCGATTTGAGCTGTCTGGGAGCCTCCGCCCCAGGGATGGTTTAAGATGAATACAGACGCGGCAGTGCTGGGGGAAGAGGGAACGGGGTTTGAGATGGTGATTAGGAATGGTGATGGAACCTTTCAGATGGTGGTGGTGCATCGGACGAGGAAGAAGTGGCCACCGGAGACGGCAGAAGCACTCGTCGTCCTCCGGGGTTTGAAATTGGCAAAAAGCCATCATTTTGTGCCTTTAATTGTGGAAACAGATTGCAAATCATTGGTTCAGAAGCTGGACAGAAGGGATTCAACGGCATGGGAGATTGGTGGGATTTGTGATGAAATCAAGGAATTGGCTGAGGAAGATGGAAATGTGAGATGGAGGTTCTGGGGGAGGGCTGGGAATGAATGTGCACACCTAATGACTCGTATTCGATGCCGACCGGAGGAGTCAGAGATCTTGTTCAACCGGGCCCCTATCTTTCTTATACCTCAATTATCGAAAGATGGCATTGTAGTCCCTGAACTCTCATAATTTTCAATACAGATTTTCTTATAAAAAAAATCTCGTTGTGACTCAATTAATAATTAACCAGACATGAAAAGAATTAATTGATAACGTTTTACCTTTTTTAGAAGATAATTATTTCTATTGATTAGAAATTTAGAATAAAAGATTATTACATCCTTGTATTTAACCAGGTTAGATAATTAATTAAAATACACGTAGTCGGGTACAAAGAAAAGACATTTCGAACCACCAAATGGGCTACCCTATTACTACTCCGACCTACAAATCGCACATTAAGCCTAGTTTGAATAACCAAATAATGCACAACCTCCTCAAAGATGGTCTGATTATCGCAAGTATCAGCCTGATTGATTTTATCAATGACCACTTTGGTGTCTCATTCGAATCTCGTCTCAGTGAACCCGTTTTTCAGACACCAAAGAATAGCCTCCCGGATAACGAGTAGCTCGATAACAATAGGATCATCAATAATAGAAAATTGCACGCCTCTAGCCAAGAGGACCCTCCCTCCTTGGTCCATGATTACAATTTCCCCAGCCGAGTGTGACCCACGCTTAGTTGCCCCACCCCACATACAGACAACTGAACTATGGTGCCCCGCACCCATTGAATGAACTCGTGGGTTGGCTACCCGCTCAAGATGATCAATTGGAAAACTGATCCACTCTTGGTACTATTGGTAAAACTGGTGCATTAACGGTGGGATCGCAAATTTTTTGTCATCAAAGACAACCCAATTTCGTGAGCGCCCGACCCTCCATAGGACCGTAACAACTGCCATAAACAGCTGGGGTTGATGTATCAATAACATCAACTTTTTAAGAACGAGCTGAATGTGTGAAAATACAAAACCTAACCAAGATACTCAAGTCCGAAATGATCCCATAAATTAGGTCCTTGCCCCCGAGCAGTCAAGAAACAAGTGCTCCAGTGTTTTCGATTCTGTCCAACAAACCGGGCACCTGGGGGCCACCTGGACTTTCTTCTCAATAAGAGCCTCCATCGTAGGAAGGGTCCGCTGGAAAATTTGTCATAAAACACCTATAATTTGAGTTTGAATATTGGCCTCCCACATTCATATCTAACTCGACCTATCCATCCAACTAGCCAATAATAGCCACCGCCCCTCCTGCTTATCCAGCAAGATTACAAGATGATAGGCAGACTTGACCGTGAATACCCTATCACCCGTGTGATGTCAGATCAACCTATCCTTCACATCACAACGAGGAAGGGGAATAGCTTTGATGGCACGACAAGTTGTTGGGTTAAACCACTTGCTAAGTTTAAGATCGCACCACTGACCCTCCCCCTGGCAAATCACTTTCGCTACCTTTGGGTTGCCACATTCAGGTAACACTTGAGGATTATATATAGGGGTATGTGGAAGTAAATGTGGAACCCAATTAGAGTGAAGCAGAGGAGTTGTACACCCATTAACAACCTGTCAGCGCAGGCCCTTGACCAATAACTGCCGGCCAAAGAGGATACTCTGTCACCCTCAAGAAAACCCAGATCGAGCATTGGCCTCAAGGAAATTCCCTATAGGAAAATATTTATCCTTGTAAACCTGGGCAAGGAGCGACTAGGGTTCATTCAGGATGTGCCAATCAATCTTAGCCAAGAGCGTCTGATTAAAATGTTCAAAATGGCGACATCCCATTTCTCCATCGTGCTTACTCTGACACATATTCCGCCAGGACATCCATCTCAATCGGGAATGACCTCCTTCAACACCCCACCAGAATCTGACCACGTGTCTGTCTAAGAGACGACAAAGAGAGAGAGAGAGAGAGAGAGAGAGAGAGAGAGAGAGAGAGAGAGAGGAAGTTTGAAGCAGGACATGACATGTATTGGAAGATTTAGAGCGACTGATTTAATCAAAATCTCTTTAGCTGCCCAAGAAAGTGTCATCTGCTTCCACCCCTGAAGCTGAGCCAGCAGCTTTGTCTCCAAAAGCGGAATGTAGCCATCTTAGACTGGGTTACCTTTTCCATGTCAACTTTTAGAGCCATGTACCCTTTCTTGCCCCTGCTTTTGATTTTCAAATAGTACATTAGCTCATGCCCAAGTAAGACATTCTCCACTATTTTATGTTTGCGGATGAAAGCATTTTTTCCCTCATTAATGATCTATGGTAAGAACTGGGCTAGTCTTTTAGACATGATTTTTGTTATAATCTTATGCACAAACTGGCATAAGCTTATCAGTCTGATTTGCTTCATGTCCTCAAAGTTTTCCGCTTTAGGGATCAGTGTCAGCCAAGTGTGATTAAAACTCCAGAGAATCATGCTAGTACTAAAGAAAGAACGAATGCTTCAGTCACAGAGTCACCCACTATATCCCAAAATGACTTGAGAATTTTCCCAGTGAATCAATCAGACCCAGGCCCATACTTCGCTCCCATGGAGAAGACCGTTCTCCAAATCTCACTAGGAACGACGTCCGTCGTGAGACTAGCATTCATCTCTTCCGTTACTTTGTGGGCTATTGGTAGGTCCGCAATCCTGGTGTCCAGATTTAGCACATGATTCTACGAAGTGAAGAGAGTTTGATAAAAATCAATGACAATATCAGCCTTCCCTCTTTCCTCGATGATTCATTCTCCGTTATCATTTAGTAGCACGGACACAAAGTTCTATTTTTTGCGAGCCCTCGTAACTGTATGAAAGTACGACGTATTCTTGTCTCCCTTTTTGAGCCAACAAAACCTTAATTTTTGTTGCCACTAAATTTCTTCCTCTTCCCACCATCGACTCAACTCAGCCTCAAAAGTCCTCACCTCATCCCAATTTATCGGGTGTACAAGTTTCACTAGATCAATTTCAGATTGGAGAGTCTGGATATTGCGAAGAGAATTAGTCGTACCCGCTCTACTCCAATCATATAGAAAATGACGGAGTTTCTTCAGTCCCTCCCAAAGCTAGTACATGGGAGTCCCATGTAGTTCCTCTTTCCAGGCATAAGTAACCATAGCTCTTATCTCCGGCTTATCTGCCCAACGAGCATCAAATCGAAAAAGGGTAGACTATTCCATATGTATGGCTAATGTGACAGGAGCATAGCTCTAATCTGATCCCTTATCCGTAAAATGTTTGACAAGGGTGTCCGGAAATCGATCAACCCATGACTAAGAACAAAGTGCTCTATTTAGTCTTTTGCGGATACAAGCCCATCCCATTCGTTTGTTAGTCCAAGTGAATTGATTGAACGAAATTGCGGAGTTCTATTGACTGGGCGACATTCCAAGGATTACCACCATCCTTTACATTTTCATGCAAAGTACCATTGAAATCACATATTACCACAAAGGGTAAATTGATTTCTTCACAAATGCTCCCAAGTTGCGCCAATTGAGAGGCTCTTATTGACTCGTTACAACTAATATAAACACACACCATACCGTAAGAAAAGTTCATTTCATTAATCTGAATACAAATGGAAAAATTCGAATGATAAAACACCGAAGTATCAACTCCGAGGGACCAAACTACCACTAGACCTCCTGATGCATCAACATCTTCAAAGAATCAATGAGAAGAATCAAAACCTAACCCTCGCATTCTATTGCAAACTACTCTCCGAATTGATATTGTCTCCGAAAAGAAAACAAGCTCCGATTTATCGGAATGAACTAATCCTACTGCAGTTTGGAATGTGAGGGATGGTCCAATTCCCCGTAAATTCCAGGCAGGAAGACTAATTTATTAATTTGGGGACGTTCTAGGCTGGCTTCCTCCACCTTTTCAGCATCAGTCTTTTCTTTCACAAACTACTTCTTCAGTGTGGGAAACTGTACCACATCCCCATCAACCTCTTGCAGTCCTCACTTTCTTCCCCCAAATCCTAGCTCAAGCATGTTCATTGGTCACCATTGCACTTTCGTCACCCAACATCTCCTCAGTATGCGTAATGGTCTCCAGGTGTGAGCCAGTGCCATTTCGAATATATCCACCAGCATTGTTAATCATCATCCCCGATTTGAAAGACTTCAAAACTTCGTGCACTCTCCCCGAATGGATTTGGTGATTAATTCCTTTTTCATCAACATGGACACGACTCCTTAGTTCAAAGTTATGCCCTATCCCTTTGAAAGAGTGGTTTGCGAATCCACCAGTCCATGGTCATCCCAATGAGAGCCGAGTACGTCTGGAGATGGGGAGAAAATGGTACCTCCAGACTCCTTAATGAGGTCAGCATTCCAATCAGTAGGGCCGGATATAACTTCCCTAACCTTCACCTTTCCCTTCCTGAGAGAAATTCTTTGATAATCTTGACTCTGTTCAAGCTTAGGCGAGGTAGTAGCTGACTGAGGCTGGTGATGCTTCCTAGTATCCGCAGCTATGCTGCGATCTTCTTGGGGAGATAACTCCTCCTTCATCTGGTTTCGTTTCCTTAATGAGCCATGACGGGACAAGTAGAGGTTTTTTTTACCTTCCTTGAGATCCCTATGGGAACCCCCTCCACATGTGGTAAGCAATGTCACTGCGAAGAATGGGTTGCACAAATGAAAATCGCGGGGGGGGGGGGGGGGGGGGGGGGGGGGGGGGGTAACTCCTCCTCCGAATCATCATCAAGGATCATCTTTCTCTGTTTAGCTTGTTCCTAGGTGATTCTAGCAGTGATTCCCAGAGCTTGGCCATGTGGCCCTTCTCCCCTCCCCTCATGGCTTTGACGTGACCCCCACTTAATGGCAGTATGTTTGCTGAGTTTTTGCTCCATTTTCTGCTCTCTCACACACGGTTGTGACACCCGTCCCTTCCCAACCTCCGCGGAGCCCTCTCCTTGTCCCTTATTCACTGCCAGCTTCCGCAAACGATGCCTAATACCAACCTTGGGCGACCTTGATACCGGGAAACCAAGAGGGCTTTTCTCTCGTGAAGCCATCTTCTCTTACAACAAGTCTGAGCTGAGACAGCAGATCCCTCATGTTGCTCGGATTTACTACAGGATATATCCCTTTAGCGGCTAATCCTCTTGATAGTATGGTAGTAGCGTCTAAATGTGCAAATGTCGTGGCAAGAGCGGGGTCAGTCAAATCGTCTATGTTATCCAAGGATGAGGTGGGAACCTTGTCACATGTGTTGTCTCCTTGATGTCGTATGCCTTCTCCAAAGAAACAGACATATTGTTCACCACTTTTGGAAACTCCTCAAAAGATCATAGAAAACATAATCAAAATCAAGAACAAAGATATTACTGCTCTGGTATCATGTATCATGTTGGATCGAAAAATCGGTGATCGAAGAGGAAAGTTGATAGGATTTACTTTTATTAATGAACCGGAAAAATTACAATATCCTTCACATATTATATACATGTCAAACTTAAAGTCCTAACTAGACTCAACTAAACAAACATTACAAAAGTAGCCTATAACTATACAAAACTTGCATATAAATCCTCATAACTTTTTTGGACAACACCATGCAGCCTCCATTCCAGCAACGCTCTTGCCAGATTTAAGTAGTAGTAACACACCACAACAACCCACAGAGCCTGCATGATGCAAAGTTACATGTTGATAGAGTACACACCGCTCCAGTTGTCTATGCAAGCACAAGAGGATCAAAGGTATAAATATTTGAGATTGTGATACAATGCTTCATTATTGTCAATCCGCCCTAATAATGCCTTTCCAATCAGCATCATTAACCTAACTCGTCTTCAATTTGAAACTTCATAATTAAGGGGGAAGGGGAAAAAATGGTGGAAAGGAGCAGACTGCTGACGGTCAAAAATGGTAAACATATGGGAACTGCTCCGGAAGAATATAGTCAAAGAAAAGGGGACGGGAACCGACAACCAGCGACACTGTTTGCTTAGTCACAAACTATGCATATATTTGGTAGCATACTAGGGAGAATCTATCAAAAAAAGCATTATTCCAACTGCTGCACCTAACTCACGTTGACCTCTTTTTCATAGAGATGAAGATAGTCTCTCATGTCACTGTAATGGGAGAAGAGTCTCATACCAGGTTGTGCTCATGAATACTAAAAAATCGTTGAGTTTTGCAGCAAATGCACTATGCAATTAGATGCTTTCTATGTCCTAAGTGATATGGAACCAGGAGAGTTGTCTATATGCCAGATCTCAGCCAAAAATGAAGAAATTTCAGATACGAATGACTTGATTGAAAAACCAGAGGGGTTGTCTATTTGCCTCTCGATGACACTTTTCTGCCTCACTTGACCCTGAAGATGAGAAGTTGAGAACCCACCAACCTGTCACTGTAAAGTCATACAAACTGACTATGCTCCAGCTATGGTTTCATTGCCTATCTTACTAAAAACCAGTCCATTGCCAACCAACGGCTCACTCCAAAGTTTTATAAAGGCAATAAACAAGCTGGTCATGGTGAATTCAGCAGTGTGCCAGTGAGTCAAATATGAAATACCACAGCCCTTCAACAGCTAGCGGCAGTCAATTTCTCTCAATGAGCACCAGAGCAAAATAAATAAATAAATTTAAAACGATTATGTTAAGGAGTTTACTGCTAAGCAACGACTAAGCCGGCCTGGTAATATGAAACAGCTTGTGACTACCAGGCCATGACCATCACATATTCCATCCTCAATACATATCAGTCGTAAACAAAGCAATAGAATATTTCTTTGCCATGTCATTCCAAAATGAGTATCATGTAGTTTCAGCTTAACACTAGCTAGGCTGCATGATCGCACACAGTTAAATCACTTTTTCTGTTGCGGCGAAATACTTTACCTACTGCACAAAAACATACTAGCAGAACTAAATGCTTTCTTCAATCTCACGAATTGGGCAAATCAAGGGACTCGCTAAAACATCACAAAATCTTCGACTACGAAAGCTTCCAGGGCACTACAGAAGTTTGCACAGGCCCAACCCTACCATGTGCTTGAAAGACAACGATTAATATTAGGGGTCGTGAGGACTTGAACACGTGACCTCAAGGATAAACCAGCTCTGATACCATGTCATAAACCAGTTGGTCCCAATAACTCGAGTTGTTGGAAGAAGGTTATGTTGGATCTTATACAGGCCCGTGTATGGTGCTTAACCACTTCCTTACAAGAAATGATCACAGTAAGTTTAACATTGAAAAAAGACAACAAAAGCTTCCAGGGCACTACAGAAGTTTGCACAGGCCCAACCCTACCATGTGCTTGAAAGACAACGATTAATATTAGGGGTCGTGAGGACTTGAACACGTGACCTCAAGGATAAACCAGCTCTGATACCATGTCATAAACCAGTTGGTCCCAATAACTCGAGTTGTTGGGAGAAGGTTATGTTGGATCTTATACAGGCCCGTGTATGGTGCTTAACCACTTCCTTACAAGAAATGATCACAGTAAGTTTAACATTGAAAAAAGGCACCACACGACTTGATCTCTTTCAGCATGTCTGACCTAAACTCTTGTTCCTAACAGTCCCATGGGGTGTAACCAAAGGAGAATTATACTAACCTCGGGAATAGACTGTTGAATTACAGATTCCACAGCAACAACCATAGCTTGAACGAAATCATCACCCCCAGTTCCAATGGCAGTAAAACCCTCTAACCGTAGGATATGTGTTAACTTGGTGAATCAACATTTCAATGTCATTCTAATCCAGTTGAGCCCTTATCACTAAAACATCAATTCAATATGCGACTTTAGCGCTTCGAATTGGTCCACACTGTCATAATTCAAAGTGGAAATGCATTTCCCGTACCTTCTTATCTAAATCAAGCCATTCTTCGGAGGAATCATAAGCCATTGTCCTTCCAATGACCACATTCTTAGTTTGCCCCACTCTCCCTTGTGTTTTTGACAACTCTGCCAAACAACATCAACATCATTTGGCCCAAACCGGCATATGCTTCAGAGCATCCACAGAAGCCATACGGATTTGAGAAGCTAGCGAAAATTCAAGAACCCATTAAACAGAAAAAGAGAGGTAAGCCTGAGATAGCCTTCTAGACGGCTTCTTGCGGCAGCCCCTGCTCCTGGTCGTCGTCTTTCGGCCCTGGAACGCCGCTATTATTTGAGAAATTCGAACGGCAAGGTACGCCGGAGCGAAATCTACGCGCTCTAACACTTCTACACAAGGCGCAAATCGGTTTCCTGTCGCTGGAGGGAAACGCCAGAGGCGTCGAGTTTGTTGGAATGGTCACCATGGTTGCTCTGTTGCGAGCACTGAGCGTAAAGCCACCCTGCATGCCATTTCCCCTTTCCTGCTATGCTTTAATCTTTTCTTCCCTTTTCTTTGATTTTCCTTCCAGTTTCCCGGAAGAGAAGTTCAGTGGATGAACCTTCCAATTTTGCTCGATCAACCACTAATAACGATTAACGAGTAACGAAGAGAGATCAGATACGACAGGAAAGCGGCTGGGCTGGCAGATATATGGTTGGGCCGCCGTTTCATTCTTGCTCCAATAGACGGGCTCAAGGCCCACTTCCATTCCTCCGACCATCAATGGCCTAACATGAAATCAGATGGTGACAACACCATGTTGCTGAATCCTTATGAAGAAAGGATTGTGGATCAGAGGAAGGAAGCAGAGTTACAACGATAACGTTTCATGTCCAAAGGGTTTCCTTAGAAACTGTTTTCCGGCGAGGAAAAACTGGTGTTTGAATTAAATGATTTGCACCTTTGACCTCTTGAACAACGATTCTAAACACGGTTCACTCTTCTCCGAACAATGTTCGAACGAGGGTGTTTGATGTTTTTGATGGTTTTTTGGAATACTCTAAGTTACGTCTTCGCTTCGAAAACTAAGGGCTATGGCTAATTTGCAGAGAAAAAGATAAAGTGTGACATAGTGTGTCAAATGGTTGGTTGTGGAACCATTTTTCCGTCTTCGCTTCTCCTATTTATAGCCACTAGGAGTAACTGCCTTGGTAACTGCTAGCCGTCTTGTTGTTCCAACCGCCTTAGGGACCCCTTTTTGTTGCCTTGGTTGCCAATTGGTAACCGTTGTCTTGATCTTCACCTCCATTGCCTTTGAGCTCCTTGACCCGTCTTGGGGTTGGTGGGTGCTTGATGGCCTCGATGCCGGATCGGGTTGGAGTTGAGCCTTGTCGCCTTGCTTGGCTGCCAAGCCTGTCTTGCAGATCCGTTGGCTTCATACTTAGCCAAATTCATGCTTTACATGGCTTGGTACCAAGCCTGCCTTGTCGGCTTGGTACCCTCTTGCTATGGCCATGTGATTCCATACTTAACAAATTTTCACCTCGGCATCATGCTTGACACCCTAGTGCAAGGACCCCCTTGGACGACGTCATGCATGACCCCCCTTGTGCTTGACCCTCTTGGATGGTGTCATGCATGACCCCCGTTGTGCTATGGGTCTCAACACTTAGTCAATTTTCGCCTTCCTTGCACGGTGTCATGCTTGACCCCCTTGGATGGTGTCATGCATGACCCCTCTTGTGCTGCGGGCCTCAACACTCAGCCAAATTTTGGCTTTCTTCCCCATCATGGTCTAGTGACTTGCGTTGCCCTTCTCCCCTTGCCACACACTTTGATACCTGGTAGGCGGCTATACCCCCTTCGATGGTATCATGCTTGACCCCCCTTGCACGGTGTCATGCTTGACCCCCCTTGGATGGTGTCATGCATGACCCCCCTTGTGCTATGGGTCTCAACACTTAGCCAATTTTCGCCTTCCTTGCACGGTGTCATGCTTGACTGCCTTGACGAGACCCCCTTGGACGAGACCCCCTGCACGAAGTCATGCATGACCCCCCTTGGACGGTTGGATCTCCACACTTAGCCAAATTTTGGCTCTCTTTGCCACCACAGCTAGCTTGCGTCTCGTCATACTCGACTCACCTTGGATGGTATCATGCTTGACCCCCTTGGACGATGTCATGCATGACCCCCCTGGTGCAAGGTAGGTAGATGGTATAGTGCTTGACCCCCCCTGGGATGATGTCATGCTTGACCCCCTTGGACGATGTCATGCATGACCCCCCTTGTGTTGTGGGTCTCAACACTTAGCCAAATTTTGGTTTTATTCGCCCCATCATGTCTAGGCGGCTGACCCTTTTGCATGACATCATGCTTGACCCCCCTGGGATGATGTCATGCTTGACCCCCCTTGCGTTGTGGGTCTCAACACTTAGCCAAATTTTGGCTTTCTTCGTCCCATCATGTGTAGGGGTAATTACCCGCGAGGTAGGTAGGCGGCTGGTGGGGCGAAATTTTGGCTAAGTATGATGGGGTGCCCACTTGGGTGGTTGATGTTGAAGGGTGTCAACACGCTTGACACTTGACCCCTCTTGCGTGACGGATAGGTGTTTGGTGGGTCAAGTAGTGTGTGTTGAGGTACCTGGTATGAAGCCCAAAATACCATCATTTAGGCCCAGCTTAAACCAATTTAATTAATATGGTTAAGTTGGCCTTATAAATCACTACCACTCCTTGAAAATAATCAATGTGGTATTGAGTGATTTTTTAGTGGTAAACAAATGCCCCCCAACTACTTAGTGCATAAGGATTATGGACTAAGTAGTTAACGTCAACTACACCACTAAAAAAAATGCTCGTTGGTTTGAATAATAAAAACCAAAACGCACTAAACCACCCCTGCATCATATCCAACCGTAATTATAATTGGCCTTGATAATTAAAAGACCAAAATCAATCACTGCCTCCACTATTCAATCCCAACACGCCCTCCGTGTAATGGCTAGCTATGCAAGCTCTGTCCACAAAGAGGGTGTCATGTCATGCCTACCATCAGGATGGTTGGTTAACTTTGAACCTGTTGATACCCCTTGCCCCAAAGAAAAAAGGACATAAGGCTTGAGATACTTTCATTGATCAACCGATCATGTAGCACCCGATCCTCTTTCAACAAGTATGCATCCTTAGACAGGTGGAATGGAAGGTACACGAACCATGACGGACAGCTAGTCAGCTACTCATGCCATGAAGTGGCATGATGTACTCAAACGAGCGTAAGGGCTCCATAGACCCCGCCACCTGACTCGTTGTTTACCAGTCGTGGCAAAGTCTTCATATCGCAAGTGTTACAACTCTAATTTCTTTTTTTTAAGCCATGATTGGCTTTTTTCTCTTGTTTTACTAGTATTTATTTATTTATTTTAATATAGCAAAGAGTGACATGCATCACTGATATCCAAACCCTTTGGCAACCATCAACATGCCAAAGGTGTACACCCACTGCCAAGTCCATGAATTAAACCAGACCAACCATCCATAAACTGCATGTTTCTCCTCCTTAAGGAGATACGACTCCTTTGGTGTTGATTTTGAATTTTCCAACTTAACAACAGATGGTACTCGCTCAACATGTCCTGCCTTGGGGGGCTTGCAAGGGGTCCCCTGCTCCTCTGGCTTAGCCACCTTACTAGATATGTTGGGTTGTTGATGATGAACCTGATGTGTTTGTCTCGTTTCTGGTGGTACTCTAGGTACTCTCAACTCATTGGGCTCATGAAAGAGACCACGAGTTTTTATCTTCCTTGGTTTCGCCCAACCATGCTTAATCATCCCATATAGTTGGGACGAGGAGTGTTTGGACTCAACAAGTCGATGACCACCCTGGTGGCCAACCTGATCCTGTTCAACCCTTACGGCTTGCTTACTTCTACACGTAGCACATAACCTCTGGTTCTTTGTAGGACCATTTCTAGTTTTTGTATGCCGGGATGTCTTGTCCATGCCCCTGCCATTCATATTTGGCATGCCATGAGGGTTGTTAAGCATGGACTTGCTTCTTTGTCCATCTATTAACACACTCTCATACTTAGAAATTTTTTGAGTCGCTTGGGTGTGCTGCACACTCATATAATTTTCTCCCAATTGTTTCTTCATGGTCGGTGACATGCCCCCCTGTCCAGTGGTTGGAGACATGTCCCCATACCATTATTCATGATTGTTGACGTGCCCCCCTTTCCAAACTTAGCCATATTAGTATGCTTACTAAAAGCATGTGTGGCTTCATGTTGTGGCTTATTGGGTACATCTATCAACCTACTAGTGGTGATTGATGACATGCCCCCCATGTCATCCTTAGCTACACTATCATGCTTACTATAAGCATGTGTGGCTTGAATTTGTTGTGGTTTCTTGGGCACGTCTATCTGTCTATTGTTTGTGGTTGGTGACATGCCCCCTTGTCGACCATTCATGGGTGGCATGCTACAAGGGACCTTGCCTCCTTGTCCACTCTTTGACACGCTGTCAAAGTTATGAAAATCATGGGTGGCATGGGTGTCCAACACCCGCTTAGACTTGCCACTCACTCCATTCATCATGTTTGATGACATGCCCCCCTGTCCACTGCATGGAGATGGAGACATGTCCCTCTTGCCCCCCTTAGCCACGCTAACATTCTTACCAGCAGCATATGTGGTTTGGGATTGTAGTGGCTTCTTGGACACAACTGTCAACCCACTGCTTGTGGTTGATGACATGTCCCTCATGTAATCCTTAGACGATAAACATGGTATTCTGTTGGACACACCCTTTTGTTCGATTTTCTTGACATCAACGTGTCCCCCAGCCTGACACTTCACCTTGTTAGGTAGACTTTCATGGCCCTCTGCATGCCCCCTGGCGATTTGCATCCACCAGGCCGGTCGAGCATAGATGAAATCGAGGTTGGACAAGCTTGTGGTAGCACATCAGCTATTAACCCTCCACCAACTCTCACGTTCCAGCATGGTCTAGCCTCTGAGACAGTTTTATGAGTAACTGTCGGCACAGGCGGTTGCTTTACATGAGTGGTGAACGTGGGAGCGAGATTCTCGCCACAACCACCATGTTGAAGAGGTAGTTGAATTTCCATCGGAGACGATGAGTTCTCTGACCGTGGCTGAGCAGTCCGGCCACCGGAGTCTAGATTACTCGTATACCCAGTAGCAATGTTTGACGGTGGATCTACACCATCTTTTGCCAAAACTTTCGATCTCAACACTGGTTTTATCGAAAGTTGACAAAACTCCTTAAAATTATTTTTATTCATCTCGCAAATCTCATATAGTTGATCCAAACGTCGATTTATGCGAGTATGGAAAAAATCAAGTTGAGATACCATTTGCTTGGTGTATCCCACCATAGCCTCCTCCATTAATTTTATTTCTACCACCAGTGACTGGTGGAGAGACAAGGTGGTGGCAGTTACACCCAAACATGGCGCCGGTGATCGTTGGCCTCTTACCCCACCATTGTTTCCGGCGTCACTTTTTGCTAATTGACCAAGATCATAACTAGCCACTAGCTCTTTTACAAACCCAGGTGAAAGATCACCATCTTGTTCTCTCTGTCGTGGAGCCATCAAATCAAACACACAGTGTCCCACCAGGTGTGCCAATTTGTTTTCCGGCGAGGAAAAACTGGTGTTTGAATTAAATGATTTGCACCTTTGACCTCTTGAACAACGATTCTAAACACGGTTCACTCCTCTCCGAACAATGTTCGAACGAGGGTGTTTGATGTTTTTGATGGTTTTTTGGAATAATCTAAGTTACGTTACTCTACTCCTATGGAGGTTCAGTGAGAGCTCCGAAAACTAAGGGCTATGGCTAATTTGCAGAGAAAAAGATAAAGTGTGACATAGTGTGTCAAATGGTTGGTTGTGGAACCATTTTTCCGTCTTCGCTTCTCCTATTTATAGCCACTAGGAGTAACTGCCTTGGTAACTGCTAGCCGTCTTGTTGTTCCAACCGCCTTAGGGACCCCTTTTTGTTGCCTTGGTTGCCAATTGGTAACCGTTGTCTTGATCTTCACCTCCATTGCCTTTGAGCTCCTTGACCCGTCTTGGGGTTGGTGGGTGCTTGATGGCCTCGATGCCGGATCGGGTTGGTGTTGAGCCTTGTTGCCTTGCTTGGCTGCCAAGCCTGTCTTGCAGATCTGTTGGCTTCATACTTAGCCAAATTCATGCTTTACATGGCTTGGTACCAAGCCTGCCTTGTCGGCTTGGTACCCTCTTGCTATGGCCATGTGATTCCATACTTAACAAATTTTCACCTCGGCATCATGCTTGACACCCTAGTGCAAGGACCCCCTTGGACGACGTCATGCATGACCCCCCTTGTGCTTGACCCTCTTGGATGGTGTCATGCATGACCCCCGTTGTGCTATGGGTCTCAACACTTAGTCAATTTTCGCCTTCCTTGCACGGTGTCATGCTTGACCCCCTTGGATGGTGTCATGCATGACCCCTCTTGTGCTGCGGGCCTCAACACTCAGCCAAATTTTGGCTTTCTTCCCCATCATGGTCTAGTGACTTGCGTTGCCCTTCTCCCCTTGCCCCACACTTTGATACCTGGTAGGCGGCTATACCCCCTTCGATGGTATCATGCTTGACCCCCCTTGCACGGTGTCATGCTTGACCCCCCTTGGATGGTGTCATGCATGACCCCCCTTGTGCTATGGGTCTCAACACTTAGCCAATTTTCGCCTTCCTTGCACGGTGTCATGCTTGACTGCCTTGACGAGACCCCCTTGGACGAGACCCCCTGCACGAAGTCATGCATGACCCCCCTTGGACGGTTGGATCTCCACACTTAGCCAAATTTTGGCTCTCTTTGCCACCACAGCTAGCTTGCGTCTCGTCATACTCGACTCACCTTGGATGGTATCATGCTTGACCCCCTTAGACGATGTCATGCATGACCCCCCTGGTGCAAGGTAGGTAGATGGTATAGTGCTTGACCCCCCATGGGATGATGTCATGCTTGACCCCCTTGGACGATGTCATGCATGACCCCCCTTGTGTTGTGGGTCTCAACACTTAGCCAAATTTTGGTTTTATTCGCCCCATCATGTCTAGGCGGCTGACCCTTTTGCATGACATCATGCTTGACCCCCCTGGGATGATGTCATGCTTGACCCCCCTTGCGTTGTGGGTCTCAACACTTAGCCAAATTTTGGCTTTCTTCGTCCCATCATGTGTAGGGGTAATTACCCGCGAGGTAGGTAGGCGGCTGGTGGGGCGAAATTTTGGCTAAGTATGATGGGGTGCCCACTTGGGTGGTTGATGTTGAAGGGTGTCAACACGCTTGACACTTGACCCCTCTTGCGTGACGGATAGGTGTTTGGTGGGTCAAGTAGTGTGTGTTGAGGTACCTGGTATGAAGCCCAAAATACCATCATTTAGGCCCAGCTTAAACCAATTTAATTAATATGGTTAAGTTGGCCTTATAAATCACTATCACTCCTTGAAAATAATCAATGTGGTATTGAGTGACTTTTAGTGGTAAACAGAAACCAAAACGTTGTGGTATGGTTTTAGTTGAGAAATTTTACAATGCTATATGGTATTGGTGCTATAGGTTTTTGTCTTTATGGTACAATTTGAAATTGTACTTTTAACGTTATGATACAACTTCAGATTGTACTTATACTTTTTGTCCAAATTCTTTTATGGTACAACTTGAACTTGTACCTTCTGTGATGGTACAACTTCAAGTTGTAAAGTTGTACCATAACATAATTATAAAAATTCCTTTATGGTACAACCTAAACATATACATTTAATGTTATGGTACAACTTCAAGTTGTATATTAAAGCACCAATACTATATAGCATCGTAGTAGTGCTCGGTTTTAGTTACTAGCAGTTAATTAACAGTGTATTATATTTGGAATGGCCAGTGTTTACTTGGCATGTGGCAAAACCATATTAGTATTGTTAATTTGTTTTCGAGCTGTTGTAAAACTGAATGAGCAGCAACCCTTCTTTCTTAAGGGTCTGCCTTCACCAAAACTACAATCTATCTATCTCTATTAAAGTTCTTGTGGTATTAGAGCGATGACAATCTAGGGCAAGCTTGATGTCAGGCGCTTCTCTAACCACACCTCATGGACGGGAAAATGGTTATGGTGGCTCGACTGTGATGAACTTTCAATTTGGGTCTTTTGATGGTCAGTAGCAGCAGAACCAGCCCAGATCTGAGGTATTCACCTTTGGAAACCCCTTTTACCTGAACCCAAACGAGGCATTGACTCAATCAATTGGCATAGAAGTGTTTGATGGAACCAAGTATATAATGTGGAGTAGATCTGTAGTTATGGGTTTGAAGATGAAGCACAAAATGGGTTTCATCGATGGTACTATACCTATGGCTGCTGTGAATGATAAATTTTTGTCGTGGGATGGTTGTAATACTGTGAATGCAAAAGTATTGTGGGATGAACTGAAGCGCATGTTTGGTAAACCAAATGCTATGAGAATCATCAATATGGAAGATGATATTGCCTGATTATAGGGAATAGTATCTTCCCCTACATTCGTTATTCAACAAAGTACCCAGGGCCAATCGGAAGGGTGAACAAGCTCAAGAGCTACTCTCTCTCCAGGAAAGGCTGGCCCCCGGTAGCTGACAAAGTAGAAGATGTTCACCTAGTTGTTGTCCTAAAGGCAACGATGTAAGCCGGGTAATATGTCTATTAATGATTACTACACCAAGATCAAGGGGCTTTGGGAAGAATACTCGATATTTAGTAATATTGTCCCTCGTAATTGTGTTCCAGGGAACCTAAACCCTTGTGATGTTGTTATTGCTTAAACAGAAGGACAGGAGACTGATTATTTAATTCGGTTTCTTCGAGGTCTAAACCCATATTTTGAAGTTTTGAAAACCCAGATACTTATGCAGAAACCTCCCCCAAGTGTTTCAGAAGCAGTGGATGACTTATTGCAGCATGAACAGAAGCTGAGAGGAAAAGGTACTTGAAAGAGAGCACAAACTGTTGCTCTGATTGTAAACTCAAACACACTAGCAGGACAAACAACTCAAGACAACAGATAATTTTTCTATTGCAATTTGCAAGAAGACTAATCATACTGTTGATGACTGCTAGAGGAAGAAGAGAAGGGATAAAGAACTAGCAGCTGGTAACAAGTCCAGTGGTTCACAGAGCACCACACCACGTTTTGCAGGCTCAGTATCTCAAGGGAGTTCAGGAGATTCACATACTGAAGGTAGTGTGAATGGTGTGAACACCAGTTAAGAAGGCTTCACCCGAGTGTTATTCCCCCTAGCTAACTGTAAAGGTGAGTTAAACTGAATGAAAGTGCATGGTAAAGGTGGTTGCTAACTGTAGGGAAGTGAAACAAGTGAATCGAGTTCACTTTCTTGATCAATTGGCTAAGGGGCTACAAGCCAAACTACATAGGTGACTCTCTTAGCTAATCGTCTAAGGGTTGTCAAGACTTCACCCTCGAATCAAAGTTCAGACTGCTAAATCGCAACCAACACAAGGTGCTTAAACGTAGTAAGAGGTGGGTCCTAATTTTCCCTAGGTAGGTGACTCAATTAGGCCAAGGAATATCTTTGCCATTTTTGACAGTGAGTGGATCAGTCCCACCCAGGTGGTGCCTAAGAAGAGCGGGATGACCGTGGTATCCAACGAGAAGAACGACCCCATTCCGATGGGCACGGTGACCGGGTAGCACGTCTGCAACGATTACCGTCATCTCAACGATGCCACCCAGAAGGACCACTTCCCGTTACCCTTCATCGACCAGATGCAGGAGAGGCTGGCGAGGCACGAGTTCTACTGTTTCCTGGATGGGATGTCCGAGTACTTTTAGAACCCCATTGCACCGGAAGATCAGGCGAAGACCACCTTCACCTGTCCTTTCGGCACATTTGCCTACCGGAGGATCCCATTTGGGCTTTGCAATGCCCCAGTCACATTTCAGCGTTGTATGCTGGCCATCTTCGACCGACTGGTTGAAGAAATCATGGAGGTGTTTATGGACGACTTTCGGTTTATGGGGACTCATTCTCTCACAGTCTCCATAACCTGGAATTCGTCCTAAAACAGCGTGAGGAGATGAACCTGGCGCTGAGTTGGGAGAAGTGCCACTTCATGGTTCGCAAAGGCATAGTTCTGGAGCATAAGATCTCCACGATGGGGGATAGAGGTAGATAGAGCCAAGATCGATACAATCAGCAAGCTGCCTCCTCCCACATCTGTTAAGGGGATCCGCATTTTCTTTGGCCATGCAGGGTTCTATAGGCGGTTCATAAAAGACTTCTCCAAGATTTCCTTGCCCCTAACGAAGCTCCTTAAGAAGGATGCCCCCTTTCAGACGTGTGCACAGCGGCATTCACGACCTTGAAGGAGAAGCTCGCTCATGCTCCTATCATGGTCACTCCTGACTGGTCTTTACCGTTCGAGTTGATGTGCGACGCCAGTGACTTTGCTGTTGGAGCTGTTCTGGGGCAGAGGCGAGATTAGCACTTCCGTCCTATCTACTACGCCTTGAAGACCCTTAATGATGCCCATGAGAACTACACCACCACGGAGAAGGAGCTGCTTGCGGTGGTGTTCGCCTTTGATAAGTTTCATCCTTATCTGGTCTTGTCCCATGTGACAGTATACACGGATCACTCCGCAATACGATAACTGATGAGAAAGGCCGATGCCAATCCTCGGCTCATACGATGGATCTTATTACTGCATGAGTTCGACATCGAGATCCGGGACAAGAAGGGAGCCGAAAATGTTGTTGCTGATCATCTCTCCCGCTTGGACGCACCCCCTGCGGACAATCTCGAGGAGGAGATCAACGACTCCTTCCCAGATGAGCGACTGATGATGATGTGCTTGGTGGAGAGTGTCACCCCTTGGTACTCCGATTTTGCAAACTATCTGGTGGGCCAGCAGCTTCCCAAGGAGATGACGGCTCACGCCAAGAGAAAGTTCTTCTTCGACCTGAAGCACTACTTCTGGGATGACCCACATCTCTTCAGGATCGGAGCCGACGGGTTCATCCATCGTTGTGTCATGGAAAATGAGATGGAGGGAATTCTGTCTCATTGCCATGAGGGACCTACTGGCAGGCACCATGGTGGTAACCGCACGGCGCGGAAGGTGTTACAGTCGGGCTTCTACTGGCCCTCGCTCTTCAAGGACGCCGACACCTTTGCACGCAGGTGCGATCGATGCCAGAGGTCAGGTAACATCTCTGCCCGTGATGAGATGCCCCAGAATGTGTTTATAACTTGTGAGATTTTTTTATGTCTGGGATATCGAATTCATGGGCCCCTTCCCTCCAGCATTTGGAAATACGTACATCTTAGTTGCTGTTGATTACGTCTCTAGGTGGGTTGAGGCACAAGCTTTGCCCACCAATGATGCTAGACGTGTTTGTCAGTTTCTGAAGTAGCTGTTCTCTCGGTTCGGGACACCTAGGTCCATCATTAGCGACAGAGGGACTCATTTCCAGGGCCAGTGGTGTCACCCACAAGGTGTTCGTGGCCTACCACCCCCAAACGAGTGGTCAGGCCGAGCTGACGAATCGGGAGCTTAAGCGCATACTGGAAAAAATGGTGGATCAATCTCGCAAGGATTGGTCCACCAAGCTCCATGATGCTCTCTGGGCATACCGGACTGCCTACAAGACGCCAATTGGTACTTTGCCATATCGGCTAGTCTATGGAAAGGCATGTCACTTGCCCGTGGAGCTAGAGCACAAGGCCTTCTGGGCCCTTAAGCTGCTCAACTTGGATGTTAGTCTTGCAGGTGCTGAACGCAAATTGTAGATGCTGGAGCTAGAGGAATGGTGTTACCACGCCTATGAGAACACCAAGATGTATAAGGAGCGAACTAAGCGTCTTCACGACGCCCGCTTGAGGGGTTCGAAGGAGTTTCAGGTTGGCGATCGAGTTCTCTTCTATAACTCTCGCCTTAAAATCTTTCCCGGAAAACTCCGCTCCCGGTGTTCTGGACCGTTCATGGTCACACAGGTGTTCCCGTATGGCACGATCGAGATTGTCAACCCGCAGACTGAGCCGTTTAAAGTGAATGGCCATCGTCTCAAGCTCTACTTGGAAGACGAAGTCGAACATGCGGAGTTGGTAATTGCACTCGCGGACCTTAGTTCCGCCATGGGCGTCCAGCTAAAAGACGGTAAAGAAGCGCTCGTGGGAAGGCAACCCCACCTCGGTTTGTATTTCTTGTCCCTTTTCCCTTTGTTTTGTGGTGTGTCGAGTCAGTTTCACTTCTGTGATGAAGTTAGGTCGTCTGGAATGCCTCGTTTTGGTGTTTTCGTGCAGGGGAGTTCGAAAAAATGGGGGAAAACAAATTTTGGCCGAGAAGGGTAAAATACCTGACCTTGATACCCGACCGGGTATTTTGGCCTCTCGGTCGGGACCCCTTCCAATTAGGAGGCGAAAAATCTAAATTCACCGACCTTGACCCAAAATACCCGACCGGGTATTTTGGCCTCTCTGCCGGACCCCCCTCTGATCCTGATTCGCTATGAAGGGCGAATACCCAACCGCAGACTTAAAATACCCGACTGGGTATTTTCCCTTTATAAGCGAATCCCCGGCTGCTCTTTCTCTCTCCTCTCATTTTTTTTTTCAAACACTCCCCTCTCTTTCTCCTCTGCCTCTCGTCGGAGGAAAAAATTTCCGACGGAGTTTTGTAGGTCCCGTCTTCATCCAACTTCCAAATTAAATTCCCTTCGCGGATTCATTTTTCCGGCCGTCGCCGCCACCGCCGCCGGTGACTCTGCGGCGACTTTCCGACAAGCCCTCCGCTGCCGTTTTTGCTGTGGTTTCGCGTCCCTCACCCTTTGCTCGCATCCCTCTACGATCCTACTTGTGTTTCCAGGTGTGCATCTTGCTCAATTTGTTTTCTCTGGAAAATCGGACTGTAGATGTTAGGCTCGAGAACTGTGATTGGTTTGGCATGCTTGAACTAGAATAGAGTGATGGATGTAGTGGATATGAGTTGCTAATGCATGTTGGATGCCCAATTTCTTGAATGCCTTGCTTTTACCATGATTCTTGCTTGATATGCAGTTGGTTTGCTTGCAAATCAACTGCTTTGTGCTTGAGTGCCTACCCTAGGTGGTCCTTAAGTGCGGGGGAGTTGTTGAACCCATGCTTGCGGCCCTAACGAGAATTTTCTTGACTCCACCTTTGGTTTGTTGATCTTGAAGGATCATGTCTCTCGACCATCCCTATGTGCAGCGCTTGCGCCTCCACCCCGAGTATGCGGACCAGTTTAGACGGGTCATTAACGGGGTGTTCCACCGACACCACCACCTGGTGTGGGGCGTTTTCCAGCAGCTCCACTATTTGGATGAGATCGCCGCCGCCATCAGCCACCCACACTGGAGGGTTTGCTTGGACGCAGAAGACTTCACCTACACGGAGATGGTGTGGGAGTTCTACTCCACTTTCCAGTACTACCCCAAGGCGGCCCGAGACTCCCCCACCGGTGTCACTTTTCGGCTCAACGACCACAAGAAAGAGATGAGCATCGATGGGTTGGCTCATGCACTGGGAATCTACTACCACCGGTACTCTCACCACGAGAAGGAGGTCGCTCACCCTAAGGATTGGCATCAGGACGTGTTCTACCAGAGCATTGCATGCCCTGACTACCAGCTGGACACTTTCGACGTCGGCCAGACGTATGTCTCCACCCTTCAACCTGAGTGACACATCATCAACCTTCTGCTCACCCTCTCGATTACGCCCAACACCACCGGATCTCACAAGATACCAAAGCCAGTATTTTATGCCAGTCCCGATGGGGCGCCCTGGCCACCTGCTGCACCTGGGGTCTGTTGTGACCACAACTTTTGCTCGGTGCCACAACAAACCCACCTACTTCTTTTGTGGTACCCTGGTCACGAAGCTGGGTGCCACTGACGCCACAGCACAGGGCGGCTCCTCTCCTCTCAGCTGCGAGGTGCTTCACAACGCACTCCTGCTGGCCTCCGATGGCAGGCGTTCGTGGGTTGATGGTCTGTCCATGCCTCTAGACGATGATGACGAGGATGATGAGTAGGACGAGGACTACACTGGCAAGGATGAGGCCGGTGATGATGATGATGATGGAGGGGCTATGGATGCCGATGAGCTGGAGCCCCCACTCTCCCCCAGGGGATCTCCTTCCTCGACGGAGACCAGAGCGAGGTCAGTCCTCCTCCGGTCCTTCTGGTCCATCGATGGACTTCTTCACAGAGCAGTTCCATCAAATGCGGCTCTAGTTTCAGCAGCTTGGGCTCCAGAACTAGCGGCTCATGGACCACTAGGTCCAGTTTCAGCAGTAGTATTCAGCCCACCAGGCCGAGTACGCCACCAGGATGGCTGTGCTAGACGAGCGCCTCGACCGCATGGAGGCTCAGCGGGGCGTTACCAGTGCTCACATTGAGCGGGAGTGGGCACGCAGCCGTCGGATAATGGAGTACCAGGAGCATCTGCTCCAGTTCTGTCATCCACCGCAGGAGCATCACTGGACCACTCCGTGGGCCCACTTGCCACCACCACCATGGGACGTAGTCGACGATCTTATGGAGCAGATTGACTTCAACCAGCTCGAGTACGCTGTACTCGCTGGCACTTTTGTGTTTGTTTTATTTTGGGTCAGAGTGCAAACTGGATTTTGTGTTTGGTTTGGTTTTATTTCCTTTGGATGATGTACTATTGGGCTGACAACTCTACCTAATATGTCTGTGGTTGAGTGATTGTGTTTTCTCTAACCTGTGTCATTGTGAAGACTGGTCCCATTTCCAGTCCTCCTCTCTCTGACTAGTCCGCTTTCCAGTCCCGCTGCAGTTTGTTCCTACCGGTAACATCGTTCCTCTTATCTTTCCCTCTTCTCCATTGAGGGCAATGTTGAATTTAAGTGTGGGGGGGGGGGAGGGGATGTTTCCATTTGACTGTTTCGCTCTGTTTGTGTGCTTGGAGCCTAGTCCACTGTCCAAATTTTTGAATTTGAGGGCTCCAAGTACTGTTCCTTGCAAAATCCTGCTCAGTATGCTTTGAATTGACAATCTTTATGGTGATATGCAACCTAGGGAGGTAGTTGTAGCACTATGGAGGATGTTGAAGTATAAGATTTTTTCTATTTGTCTCTTTGCTGTGCCGGTTGATTTTGTGAACTAGTGGATTTAGGACCGTTGATTCATGTGGTATTGGTGACTCCTCTTATGTCATGTTGTGGAGTCGTGTTTCAGAAAAAGGGTGCTCATGTGTGAAATGAGCAAGCAGTTGGTCCTCCATGTCAGAAAAACTGAAATATTAAACATGGGGGTAAGCCCAACGTGTATGGCACCGTTCATTGCAAAAAATCAAGTTTTGGAAGAGATTTTAGTGATCCTTAGCGGGGTACTCTTACAAGGTGAAGCTTAGCTGTCTCTAGTACAAGTAAAATTTTCACCCGTTGAATGGTTTGCCTACTCGAGGAAGTGTTTTTAAGGGCACAGATAGAGCTTCTGACCCCCCTTAATTTCATTGACCCTCCACACGAGTTAATGAAAAGGAGTTAAAGGAAGTACTCTAGCGAGTGGCAGATGTACATAAATTGCTCTTGCTCAACCACTAAGGGTCGACCATACAAAAACTGCAGTTGGAATCCCCACGAAGAGTGAATGAGAAAAACAAAAGAAACGTAAAATGAAAGCGCGAAAAGGGGTTCCAACGATTGAAATAAAGTGAAAGGGCACCCGATACAATGAAGCCTTGGTTGTTGAATTGTGTGAGTCCCTTTATCCAAGAATTGGATGTCTTAGTTCCACTGCTTCTCATGATCCTGGCTTGAGTCTAGTACTCGCATTGAGAGAGATAGGGGACGTCTTAGAAGACCAGTTGACCTCGTAAGCTGCTAAATGATCTAAGAAATCCTCTATCGACGATCGGGGTTGCATGTTGCTACTGGAGAGCTGCATTGGTTTGAGTTAAGTGTGGGGGCATTTGATAAACCATTATTTGCACACGTTTTGACCACCATTCTTGAACCGTTTGAGAGTCGATTCTTGTGTTTTAAGTCGATTTAACGCTAGGTTGTTCGTTTATGTCATATTTCATGACTTGGCGTGGATATGGAGGAGTGGAAACGAGTTTAGGGTCGGAAAGTGGAAGGCTGGAGCTAGAGGGGCTGTTGGAAACCAGAATTCCCAAGCGCCCTAGATCGATCTCCAACACCATTGGTGCTCGGTGGAAGCTTGGAGAAGTGCTGATTGATTACTAGAAGCATATTGCCATCCTTCACAGAATGATTTCCGCATCTGAAGCAGATTTCTCCTCTCTCTCTATGGAGTAAACCCTCTCACTCACCTGGGTATGAAGAACCCTAGATTTGTATGTTAGGTCTGGTTGTATTAACCCAAGTATAAGTTCTTTGATATTGGTTATATTCAATTGAGCCATGGTTTTCTGAATTGCATGAATCCTGATCAAATTCCTGTTATTCCTGCTTTGACCTAGAATGAGAATATCTGCCTAGGTTGATAGAGCACCCTTGGTTGAAGGTAGTGAGTTGACGACTTTAGTCGAGGAGTCAATTCACTATTCTGTACTGGATTTATTCCAGTAAAGGAGGTTTGGTACGTTAGGGCCTCAGTCTGTTTACTCTGGTGGAGGTTAGTCGCCTGCTGGGGACTCAGATTTAGAGAGTCTGGAGACCTTTAGTCGAGACTGCAAACTATCTAAGAACCTCCCGCAGTATAATTATCATTGAATCTAAACTTGGCAAATTACAACTTGGCTTAACTGCAGTCTAGGGGAACCATATCTGGGTGACCTTTTTCTCTCAAACTTGGAACACAACATTTAATGCTTTTGTTTGCTAGTTTAGTTGGAACTTCACTACAGTTGAACCGCTAAATAATAAGAATCTCATGAAGTAGTCATCACACCTAGGACCCGGGTTGACATTTGAACCTAAGCCCGCTATACTACGCATTAGTAGGTGGTTACACTTGGCCGCTTTTTAGTGTGACGGTACAAGCGAATCAAAAAACCTTCTAGAACCAGTGCACTTCACGGTCGGGGCGCAATCTTCACGATCTTGGAGGCCGTGAACTCATGGCTTCCACCGTGATCAGCCGTTGTTCTCTCCTTTTGGCCTGTTTTCGCTCCTTTTCATCCAATTTTCATTCTCGGGGTTGACTTACCTGCTAGGATTTGAAACATAGCAAAACAAAGCACAACCTAGCGTAAAATCAAAACCCATTGGGTGAGATCGCCTCAAACATCTAAGGAAAAGGGGATAAATTGTGTGCATTTTGACCCAAATTAGGAGGAATTGGGATTTGAAGACCGGTTGTTAATTCTGTGCTCATAGATATCGTCATCGGAGGGAGAGAGGCGCCGCTCGCAGAAGACGTCGTTGAGATGGAGGTGGTGGTGTTGTGTTAACCGTTGAATCCCAAGTGTCGGCTAGATCTGTGACGAGCATGGTGTGAAGCATCTGCAACGTCAAAGAAAGGATGTCAATCGTTTTTGCCATGATTTGAGGTTGGGAAGGGCGGGTGCAGAGCCCAATAATTATTATTTTTATTTTCCTTGTTATAATTTAATTTAATTTTTAATTAAATAATGACATATCAATGACATGGCGTCTATGTGGATATCACGTTGCTGCTACATCAGTGAAAGTCAACAATGATTTGACCTCCGTCCGATCAACAGTTATCTCTAATTGCCAACGTAAGACGTCTTGACACCAATGACACAATAGTTCGGGATCATAATGAAATATTGAATAAAATAGGACACAAGTTACATGTTTGTATACTTCGGATGTGGTAGTGGTATTAGCACTAAAATTTTGTGAACTAAATAATATGATACCAAGAATTAAACATGAGATTTGTTAATGAACAAAATTTGACTACTAACCTTTTTTTCGTCATGATATCAATTATATGAATCAAATATGACGCACAAAATAAATTCATATAAACAAGTTCAAGTATTAGTAAACAATTCTAACTCGAACTCAACTCAACTCTTTTATTAATAAACCAAACCAAACTCAAACTATAATAAAAATTATGTTTTGCTCAATTCTACTCATTTACACCCTTTTCATAAATCTCAAATTTGGACTAGTTGCTGCTTGCTAGAGCCCAATTGTTCCTTCTTTGTTCTCTCTCACTCTCACCACCGCCTCTCCACAAGAAAGAAGGAAGGAAGGACTGACGGCCATAAGCGAGCAAGCAAGCCCCCTCACAACTTCACAAACATCCAAAACCCCCATTCACCAAAATCCAGACAAGCAACCTCAGCCAGCTACCAAATCAAAACACTCTCCGTTTCCTTTACGTGTACAATTCCACCACCACTTTCTTTTTCTTACTCCCCACGCTCACAAAAAAAAAAAAATCAAACCCCCAATTTCACCTCCTTAACAAAACAAAAAATCTTCCTTATCCCAATTCTCCTCCTCTCTCTCGCTACGAAAATGGTTCCCGTGGTTGTTACCCAGCTGGCGACGGGTCTCAGCGTCCTCGCCGGAGCAGTAATGGCGAAATCCCTGCTCGAAGACAAGCCCATGTCCGGCCCCTTCCAACCCAGGTGCCCATCTTGCAACGGCACGGGCCGGGTCAGCTGCCTCTGCTCGCGGTGGTCCGACGGTGACGTGGGCTGCCGGACTTGCGCCGGCTCCGGGCGGATGGGCTGCAGTAGCTGCGGCGGGTCGGGGACCGGCCGTCCACTTCCGGTTCAAATCTCTATGCGGTCGCCCAATCGCCCGTTTTGAGAAAGATTGGTTCCAGGCGATTTGTTCTCGGTTTCCACTCGCTTCCTCTTGGTGTAATTCTCTAATCTTAAAGAAACATTAAACAATTTGTATGTATAAGTGCTTGTGGGTATAGTGGAAAAGAGATGAAGCGATTGGAGATTTGGTAGAGATGAACCACAATATAGCTTTTTCCATTTCCTTTTGGAGTTTATGAATGAGAAATTACTCTCTCTCTCTCATGAGACTTCAATTATTATTATTCTCAAATCTCTTAACAGTTTTTATTGCATTATTTGAGGTGACTACTCAAATTCTCGTATGTGCATTATGTATGGTCATTACATGGTTCATTCAATAGATTCTTGGGTAGTTTCAAAGTGATTTCAGTTATTGATGTGTTTTTAATTTCATAAAATCAAAATTGAGCCAATTAAATTAGAGTGTCCTAGTTGTGGACATGTCCTGTAATTAGGGCGGTTCAATTTGAGTCGAGTAAGACCACAAAGTTGTTTTTAGCTAGTTGTTTCTTTCAATTGTGTGGTATGTATCAAGTGTACAACTTTGAAAACAAAGTGGGGAGCTTTGATTGTTGGGGTTGATGTGATTATTATTCTTTGATTATATGTATTTGGACTACTAAACAATTCCAAGATAATGGAGATAGTTGTTGGTTTGCTTTGTCTTTGATTGACCAAGTCCTCTCACCCAGTATGTTAGAAACAAATAATTTGCAGCTTTTGGTTAATTCGCTTTATTTGTCGGTTTTGCTAATTGGGGGATTATTTGGGGAATTTGGGCATTAAACCGGGAGTCGATTACTATGTTTTATTTGTTGGGTAGTAGATAGGAATTATGCGGATTATATAATCTGCAGTAGGAGTTATTTTCTCATTAAGCAATCAATTACAGAAAACCTAAACTACTCTCTCTCTCTTTTCCTTCCCTCCTGCGCCGAACCCCCCTATTCCCTCTTCTCCCTTTGCTGCTCGGCAGTAGCCTCTTCCCCTCTCTTCTTCCTAAATTCTCCTATTCCTAATCCCTAGCTTGATCAATCCCTAATTGATCTAGCTAATTTCCCTAATTCTACAACCGTTAGAAACTTTGTTTCTAACATCTGGTATCAGAGCCTGGCTCGAGAGTGAGTTCTTTTGAGCTCTTGAACCAGGGAAAGCAGCAATGGTATCGACGAAGTCAATGAAGGCGGCAGAGAAAGCGGCTCAGGCAGCCGAGAAGGGCACGGATGCGGGTGACGTAGGGCTCGACGGGGAGTTGGAGGATCTCACGGAGATCGAAGGGCTGAGGAAGGTCGTGGAGACGCAGGCAGAGAGGCAGGCGAGGGTCGAGGAAGAGCTGAACGGGTTGCAGGTGCAAGCCAGAGATCACGGCCGCACTCTCGACGCGTTGTTGGCGGCAGTGGAGGCGCTGCAGGGACAGGTGAGCAGTCTGACGGAGGCTTGGAAGAGAGGCGGGGCAGCGGTTGGAGATGGCGAGAAGCCGCCGGAGGAGAAGGGCGCGGCGGAGGAGTCCGCCTCGGTGGCGGCGGTCGGCGGCCAGGGAGCCGAGAAGGGTTCGGCGGAAGGGGGGGGGGCAGCGGCAGGTAACCCTAGCCGACCCCCAGTTTCACGTCCGGGCCAAGTCTCGTTCGGCCCAACCATCAAGGATGGGCTTTTGCCTACTCCATCGGCCCAGGAGATGGCTCGCGCGCTTGACAAGGCCAAGATGGCCGAGTACGTGGATCCGGGCTCGCACGCGGGCCTAAACTTGGAGGAGCTGGTGGACCCGGAGCAGGAGAGAGATCGCGGGCCTTGGCCCAACGAGCAGAGTGAGCTTGGCGCGGATGGCTGGAGAGAGGAGGGCAGCTCAATGGGTCGAGCCCAGTGGGAAGGCAGACCAGGAGGAGGCTGGAGGGAGTAGGGCCGCGGGTGGGAGCCGGGCCGATCGGGAGCAACAGGCCGAAATCAACCCGGGCGGGGTGACTTGGGCCGAGCAGGGATGGGCCGGGTCCCCAGCGGTCTGGCCGAATCCGGTCGGACCGAACCTGGTCGAACCGAACCCGGTCGGGCCATGGTCGAACCGGTCCAGCCGGCTGGGTATCAGAATCAGGCGGGCAGCAGGTGCTACCCAGGGCCGCAAGGCCAGTTCGACGAGTACTGTGGGCCCTTTCCTTCTTCGGCATTCCAGCGGGGCGCCGGGAAGGAATCCAAGAGGATATGGACGGGGGATCGAAGGCTGAAGGGTGAGTTAAGCGGAAGGGCCGAGTACCAGGAGGATGAGGGAGACGACTGGGGGTGTGACGGGGACCCGCGCTTCACTCAGCACTACTACAGCGGGGGCCCAAGTTCAGGAAGGAATGCCGGTCATTTCCGGGGTGGGGAGGAAGAGGATGAGATGGTGTTTCGAGCGCGGCCTCCCACTATTGAGTTCCCGAAGTACAATGGTCGTGAGGATGCAGGATTGTGGCTGTACTCAGCTGAGCGATGGTTCAAGAACCATCCCACTAGGGAAGAACGAAAGGCGCAATTAGCTTCCTTCTACCTGGAGGGAGATGCCCTGCAGTGGTGGGAGTGGATGGAGCGGACCTATGCCGAGGCTCGTACGCTAATCACTTGGCCGATGTTCAAGGAGGAGTTGCGGTACTAGTTTGGGAAATCCGAAGGGTGGGCCCCGGAACAGCTAGCCAAGCTGCGCCAGACAGGGATGGTGGCGGACTATAGAACCGAGTTCTTCAAGCTGGGAAACCAATGCAAGGGTGTCCCAGAAGAGACATTGGTGGGCTTGTGCATGGTGGGGCTCCGGCCGGAGATTGCAGCGGTTGTCCGGGTATTTGAGCCTGATTCACTGCGAGCTGTTTTCCGTCTTGCAGGTAATAAGGAGGAGGAACTTGCTAGCTGGCGGGGCGTGATAGGCCGGTATCAGAAGCCGAGTGGAGGAGGAAGTGGAAGCGGACCGAGTAGCAGCCCAGGGGTCCCGGCGCTGGGCCCTAGCACTGGAGGGGGAGTGACGACTGGTCCAACCACAACGACCATTCGAGCGGGACCAAGGGCGCCGCCCAAGGGGTTTACTAGGTTGTCACCTGCCGAGATTGAGCAGAAGAGACGGGAGGGAAAATGTTTTAGTTGTGATGAGAGGTTCACCTTTGGTCACAAATGCGGGAAACCTAAGCTAATGTTCTTGGTGGGGCGCTGGGAAGATGAGGCCGAGGACGAAGTCACAGAGGATTCTGGCGCAGGGCGAGAGAAGCCTCAACCTTGAGGACAAGGTTGCTTCCCAAGGAGGCAGGGATGTTAGAAACAAATAATTTGCAGCTTTTGGTTAATTCGCTTTATTTGTCGGTTTTGCTAATTGGGGGATTATTTGGGGAATTTGGGCATTAAACCGGGAGTCGATTACTATGTTTTATTTGTTGGGTAGTAGATAGGAATTATGCGGATTATATAATCTGCAGTAGGAGTTATTTTCTCATTAAGCAATCAATTACAGAAAACCTAAACTACTCTCTCTCTCTCTTTTCCTTCCCTCCTGCGCCGAACCCCCCTATTCCCTCTTCTCCCTTTGCTGCTCGGCAGCAACCTCTTCCCCTCTCTTCTTCCTAAATTCTCCTATTCCTAATCCCTAGCTTGATCAATCCCTAATTGATCTAGCTAATTTCCCTAATTCTACAACCGTTAGAAACTTTGTTTCTAACACAGTAGTTGTAAATGTATGACTTTGTTCAGGTGAATTTGAGTTGGGGGAAATGTTGGAATCCATGATGGGAGACTTTTCTTTGTTAATTAGTTGCTTAGTCACTTGCTATGGAGATTGGAATATGTATGTTTCTTTCCTTTGTCTAGTTTAGAGTGTTTGTGAGTTGTTTGTCCAGGCTGAAGCTTATTTCTTCGACGAATCAAAGTTTTTATCTTCTAGTTCAAAATTGTTGCTCCTAGCGTTAAGCACGCGTGCAGATCCAAGTCGTTCGTTATTTCTGTTGATTCAATGCAATGCTTATATAAAACTAAAAACTTGTAAAGGCCTTCTTTCCTCCCAATAGTATTGAGGTAAACTTATTCGTTAACACATTATATATTTCATTTCTAATCACTTTTTCTTTTTATGGATTTCTAAGATTTTTTTTTTGTGTTACTTGATAATTGTAATTATTTAAAACATCTACTTCTTAAAACTACTTTCTTGTACGTTAATATCACCGTAACTGTAACACATTAGGCAAATCCCACATCGACAAAGCACGGGAGAGATCCATGGTTCATAAGTAGGAAACCGACCTTAACTGACAAGACGCGTTTTGGGGTGTAATGGAGGAGTTCTTTTAAGAACTTCGAAGTTAAACGTGCTTAGTGTTGAGTACAACAAGGATGGGTGACTTTATGGGAAGTCACCTTGAATTGCACCCCAAGTCGAAATCCGTGACGGGTGTAGAGGCCCAAAGCGGACAGTATCTTGTCGGGAAAATGTTCGGGATGTTACAAGTGGTATCAGAGCCTCTCTGCGCCCCTCTTGAACGATGGTGGGGCAAACCTCAACGAGGATGTCGAGTCCCGGGGGGGGGGGGGGGTATGTAACACCTTAGGCAAATCTCACATCGACAAAGCACGGGAGAGATCCATGGTTCATAAGGAGGAAACCGGCCTTAATTGACAAGACGTGTTTTTGGGTGTAATGGAAGAGTTCTTGTGAGAACTCCGAAGTTAAACGTGCTCAGTATGGAGTTCAACAAGGATGGGTGACTTATGGGAAGTCACCTTGAATTGCACCCCAAGTCAAAATCCCTGCGAGTGTAGAGCCCAAAACAGACAGTATCTTGTCGGGAAAAGGTTCGGGAAAAACTGGAATATGTATGTTTCTTTCCTTTGTCTAGTTTAGAGTGTTTGTGAGTTGTTTGTCCAGGCTGCAGCTTATTTCTTCGACGAATCAAAGTTTTTATCTTCTAGTTCAAAATTGTTGCTCCTAGCGTCAAGCACGCGTGCAGATCCAAGTCGTTCGTTATTTCTGTTGATTCAATGTAATGCTTATATAAAACTAAAAACTTGTAAAGGCCTTCTTTCCTCCCAATAGCATTGAGGTAAACTCATTCGTTAACACATTATAGATTTCATTTCTAATCACTTTTTCTTTTTATGGATTTCTAAGATTTTTTTTTTTTTTTGGTGTTACTTGATCATTGTAATTATTTAAAACATCTACTTCTTAAAACTACTTTCTTGTACGTTAATATCACCGTAACACCACCAACCAATTTTTGTCTTCTCAATTTTTGTTCCAAATCGAAAAAATTAATGATCAAACAACCTTTAAGAACTAAAATTGAATATTTCCAATATGCACACCATAAAATAATCTAAAGGCGTGGGTTCTAATTTTGTTCACATTAGTTTAGCTGTCTCCACTCTCTCCAAAGAAGAAGAAAAAGGGGAGACGAGTCGACACGAGGTGCTCAAGTGGGACGTCGGTCATGCGCAACCACTACAAGCAGCAGCATCAGCCGCCATAGGCAACAACTACCAAAATCAAAAGAAAACAATTCTATAGAGACAAAAGAACTAATTATGGAGGTGTGATTCTCGGAGACTATTTGATTATAGTCTTTCTTAATCATTTTGAGTTTTTTAATGTGAGAAGTAAGGTTGTCAAACCGGTTTATGTCAGTGTGCCGGTTTAGCAAGTGAAATGGTTCGACCGGTGGCACATACCGGTTTGTACCGGTTCATGCCGGTCAATATTACAAATAAAATTATAAATACTCATATTTAAACATGACATTTAATGTCAATACTTAGAGATTTATACTTGAATCCAATAAATAACATCAATATTTAACTTTTATACTCATAAAATAAATAATAAAATTATTTTTATCAATTAAACTCACTAAAATAAGACCATTTTACTTAGAGATTCGTATATTGATCATGCCGGTCATACCGGTGGCGTCACGCTGGTTTTACGACCGGTATCGGTTGAACCAGGTTCAACCGGTGGCACGCCGACCGACATGACAACCCTGGAGTGAAGCTTCTTGAGTTCTTTCTATTTGCATGCACGATTTAATATCTTAAATTAGCATTCTAAAAAAAATATCTTAAATTAGCGGAATTTAATGGGCTACAAAGTGGAGTTGAAACAGGCGGCTCTAAGCACTAAGTGAAGGATCATCATAATTTTACCTGAAATTAATTAATTTAGTAACGAATTAAGGCTCAAAGACGGTCAAATGCGGGACCGGATAGGAGCTCCTCCTCTTCATTCTCTATTTGAGGTTTATCATCATTGTTTGAGTTATCCTCCAGAGTCTTTTGTTCAATGTTCGGTCCAAGTGTTTTGCTGAAATTCGGATAACGGGGAGTCATCATTCTCGAACTCTTCCTCCTAGATGTTTCCAATGGTGGATTACTTCTGGATTTAGATTGAAGAAAACGTAGGAAGTGTTCAAAGCCTTCAAGTGGTGAAAAACCTTCAACATCTTTACATTCCAAGAAAGTTTGGGTTAGTGCAGGTTCTTAAATACTATAGCCTTCTTCCTCCATTGCTACTCCTAGGGGCTATATATCTCGCTCTCTTCTTCTTTATACCTAGTATCTTTATCTTTTTGTCTTATTTTATCACACTTTGTGCATTACAGTTGTTTGAGTTTGTGTTTTGATGATTATGTGCATGGAAAGAATAGATTCTCTTGGCCTGGCCCCAATTGATACTGAGATCGATAGAACATTTTGAGGACATGGAAGAACCGCAAGGTTACATGCTCAACCAATGGTGGAACAAGAACAACCACAACATAGGCCGAGGAAGATGGAGTCTTTCTCTAGACCAAGTGTGGACAACATGCAATCACCGATACTTCACCCAACTGTTCCTAACAACAACTTAGCAATCAAGATGGGGATTACATCCACGCTTAAGAATGCAGCTCAATTTCATGGATCAATGAGTGACGAGGCACATGCTCACATCAATTCGTTCTATGATCTCACAAATATTAAGACCAATGGAGTCTCCTAAAGCAATTCAACTATGACTTTTTCCATTCACTTTGAGTGGGCTGCGAAACAATGGTTGAAAAAACTCATCCTCATCACTCAATCACTTCTTCGGCGGACCTATGCGATAAATTCTTTTCTAGATATATTCTACCCTCAAAGACGGCGTTAATGCGGAGTGAGATTCAAATGTTTAAGCAAGAGGAAGAAGAACCTAGATATGAATCATGAGAGAGGTTCAACTCACTTCTTCTCAAGTGTCCATACCATGGAATAGCCGACTGGATACAAGTAGAGAGCTTCTATAATAGATTGACTCATGAATCTTGCCACTTGATTGATGTCGCTAGCAGGGGAGCATCCGAAACAAGTAAGTAGGTGAAATGCAAAAGCTAATCGAGGAAATGGCTCTCAATAGCTATGATTGGGGTGATAGAAGGTGAGGAAAGAATATAAAGAAAGAGAAATTTACTACAAGTTGAGGAATCATCATCAGTGGTGGCCCACATACAAGAGTTATCAAAGAAGATTGACTTAGTTTCATCTGCATTGAAGGATAATTGCAAGCAATAATTGATGAAGTGCGGTTAGTGTGTAGGTGTCAATCACGATTTGGAAGATTGTAAAGCCGTGATCGAGGTCTCAATCCAATACGAGAAATCAAACTTTGTGGGAGGCTAACAAAGGGGTTACAATCCTTATAGTGCAACCTATATCCCGGGATGGCGAAATCCCCCAACTTCCGATGGTCTTCACCATCGGAAAGCAAGTCTTTCGGATTTTCAAGGTCAAACCCCGATGCAAGCCTCATTCCAAAGATCAAACCCATCTTCAAGTTAAGGTCCATACTAAGAACAAAGCCGACCTTCGTATTGTTGGTTATCCAACCTTGAAGATATGATGGGACAATTTATCTTGACAGCCACAAGAAGATTAGATACAATTGATAGGTTTGTGGAGAATCCTACAAATAAGTTCTCAACCTAGGAGGTGGGTCAAAGAAATTAACAAGCGACTCTTCAGAATCTCAAATCACAAGTGAGCACCATAGCTCAAACCTTAGCGGTGAGACCTTAAGGAGCATTGTCGGGCAATACGGCACCAAACCCAAAGGAAGGATGCCATGCATTATCTTTCGAAGCGTCTGACCTTTGAAGGAAAACTCGAGCCCGACAATTCATGCACCTATGAGGGAAACTCCAAAAGAGATTTCTCAAGAGAAGGAGCTTGTTGAAGAATGGACAGAAGCTCCCACCAAAATCGATGTTGGAAATAAAGGACTTCCGGAGAAACCTCAAGTGGTTGAGTACTTCCCCAAGGTTTCATTCCCAAAGAGGGTGCTTGAGAGTGATATGCACCATGAGTGTGCATAATGGAAAAACACGCTCAAACAATTCAAGGTGACTATTCCTTTCTTGGAAATGGTGACGAAGATTCCCAAGTACATCAAGTTCTTAAAGCAGATTCTATCAATAAAGAAGAAGATGGATGAAGTCGTCATAGCAACTATGAGTGAGGTAGCCTCGATCTCTATAGCTTGCAAAGGAATGCCTCCAAATATGAGTGACTCATGTGTATTCACCAGTCCGTGCATGTTTGGAGTGAAGAATTTTTGCAATCCCTTGACCGATTTGGGCTCAAGCATCAACATCATGCCCACAAGAATATACAAAGAGCTCGGGATTGGCCACTCACTCCAACAAATATGAAGATCGAGATTGCTAACCAATTTTTTGCTAAACCTTGCAGAATAGTTTAGAACATTCTAGTAAGGTGTGCACATTTCATCTACCCCGTGGATTTTATTATTATTCTTGATACTGATGGTTGTGTTTATGCATCTATTATACTTGGAATGTCGTTCTTAGCTACGACAAGCACCATTATCGATGCTAGTGAAAGGATGATTATCTTTAGGTTCGCTGAAGAGGAGATAGGGTATAGGATGTCCCCACTTTCCAATCTACACAAGTACTACCAATGGGAGAATGTGGAGAAAGATTGTGAACCGTTCACACTTCCTATAACCCCACCCTCGAGTCCTCATATTGAATTGTTTAATATGGTTTCGCAAAGTGATCCGAAAGATACACGGGTGATGAGAAAAATGACTCAAGAAAGCCAATGATGGAGAAAGGAGAGACAAGTTCTCCTTATCACAAAAAGATACAAGAGTTTGAGAACATACCAAGCTATAGCGAAGGAAACTACAAAAGTTTCCTCTTGAGACAAGATATCCCAATCCCAAGAGAAGGGACAAGATAAACAAATGTGATTCGATTAAGCTAGCTAGGAGAAGGAAGAGTCTGGGAATGCTATAAGCCTCTCACGGAAGTAGACGTTGGTGTAGAGATGCTTGGTTTCCATATCCATCATCAACCGTTCGAGAAGCACTTTGAGTCAATAGCTACGACCAAAGTGGCCAAGACACTTCAGGTCCACCACTTTGGTCTCTACCACAAGAGTGAATACTATGCAGCATACAGTGTGGAGGATGGAGCCATCGTCACTTAGCTCTTCCAAAGGAAAAGAGTCTAGTGAAAAGACTTCTAAGGTCCGCTAGTTGGAAGGCACCCCAATAATTTCGGTTTGCACTATCTTTACCTTTCTTTTAAATGAGTTGTTTGAAAGTTTAAGTTTGGTTAACTTAGTTGATGTTTTTATAGAAATGTAGCCCTTGTCATGTTTTGTTTACCTTCGTGCATGTTGGATTTGAATAGGCTAAAACCTTAGGCATTGTGAAAAAGATCTTTTTCTATCGGTGGCAAGATCGTGGTTGCAAGGCTAATGTTCGCAGCCGCAATCTTTTGACCCTTGGCCGCTATCTTGCTCGCGCGTATTTAAGGGGAAGTGAATTTTTGCTTTCATGTCCCCTCTCAAACACCATGTTCACAAAGCTCTTCCAACCCTTTTGAACATACTTCATCATGCCTCATTTCCAATCATGTTTTTAAGTATTGCTTGGTATTTTGGGATTTTTACATGTCACTAAGCAAGCTAATGTAATGTTTTCAACATTTCTATTGGATATTTACCTTAGCTAAGTCAAAATGTGGTTGAAAGTAATGAGAGTTTGGTACATTTTTAGGAAATGGCATGAATTATTTTTGCAATAGGATCGTTGACCATACTTTTATGATATCATACGGATTGGGAGGCCTTGGTTTGTCTAGCTTTCATGAATTTTGATGTTTTTTGATATGCCTGCAAAGTGTTCGATGAAATTCCCCAATCACATAACATAATAGTTTTTTGATCCTATGCTCTACATATGAACTTGTATACTCAAGATAGAACCTTGCATGAGCTTGGCTTATTTATGGAGAATGAATGTCATTTTTATTTGAATATAGCCATTACCTCATGCTTCCTCATCTATGCCCCAAATACATAACTACACTTAAGTTTGGGGGTGCATAGATGGTTGTCAAGGATGTTTTACAAAGTTCAAATGTAGGCGTGTGAGTGGATTAAGGGTTCTTGTGTACCTTTTCCAATGCTTGTTCTGTGTAGGGAACCCACAAGCACAAGGGTTGCTCCGAGGGGAGAGCTCCCAACATTCGGAGAGTTCCAACTGTCCTAGCACCCATCAATACTGAAGGAAGAAAAATAGTCAACTAACAAAAGTAAGTGATCTTGGAAGTAGAGGAACCACAACCGCCACCTTTGGAGCACTCTAATGAATAAAGTGGGTGTAGCGTCTAATATAACATGTAGTGGCAACCCGTTTTAGAATAACGGGAATGCCTTTTGGGAAAATTTAAACGGGAGATTCAAATAGCTTTATCGCGTCTAATCTCCACCTTTTGACTTTTCCATCCTCAATGTACGTCTCCTCATGGGCTGAGGTATAGGCAGGAGAAGGAGTCTCAGATAGCTTTACTGCGTCCACCCTCACCATACTACCTTCCATCCTCCTAACCACTCTTACTTGCTTGACCAACAAGCACACAAATAAGTGCATTAAAATCTCTATTAATCATCAATAGACGAATGACTACTTAAAACCTCCAAAGACACATTCTAAATGTAATAAATTTGTCAAGAAAGTGTTGAAAATAACCGAAAGAGCATCGATCCTTTCACCTACCTCAGAGAGTTCTTTTTTTTTTTTGCACCTTGCGCATGTCCTTTTTCATTTAAGAACATTCTTATCGGCATTTTCCGAATCGAGTCAAGCAAGGATGGAGGTAGCTAAGCGAAGCTAGTTACTAAAACCCCGGTTTTGATAAAACACATCGGGGGGAGAGATATAAGAGGCTTCGAGTTGCATGATTTGGTCATATATTTTGCTTGGGGACAAACAAACACCTAAGTGTGGTGGAGTTGTAAATCCAAATTCGTGTTATTTAGCCTCCATATTATAGGTATTTTCTTTTCATTCTTTGGTTTCATGGTTAATATATATTATCATTTGCATCCCAAATCCGTTCCTCGTAGCATTTCATGTCGTATTAGGGTGCATTCGACAATACTTGCATTCTTGGCACCAAAACAGGGTACTAGTGTTGGCTTTGGAGCTAAATAGGAAGATCGCGGCAGAAGGCCTAGAGATCACGACCGAGAAGACGAGCTCGGGAACTTCAACCAAAGATCATGGCATCTAGAGAAAGATTGCAACCGCGATTTTGGAGAGTTCAACTGTGAACTTAGGAAGCCATCATGAAGTCGTCACAAAAGGCCAAAAAGATTCGGATGACACTTTATTTATAGTGTTTATCACTTCCATTTTTGGTACATGAAATTAACCATTGATATCTATGCATCTTTAGTGGATTTGACTATTTGATGCTTTTATGGTGTTATTTTTTTTTTCAAGGTTATAAATCACTCAAGATGAATATGGATCACTAAAAGAGTTCAAAGAAGTACTCTGACGAATCTAGATATTCCAATTTCCAGTTTGTGAACTTTCTCATGGTGAATCATGTAGTTATGCTAGGCACAAGAAAGTTTCATTTCCTTCCAATAGCATCTATAGCAAAGAAATTTTTTATTTGATACACACAAAAATTTTAGGACCTTTGCTTTGAGTGTACGGTCATCTATTGATTTCCCATACTTTCATACCATTCTATAAAATTTTGCAAGAGATATTTGAATATTTTCAATGAAACACTAATATGAATGTCATTTTTATTGCAAAGGTTTTGTGTTATGGTTGAGAACCAAATTGGAAATTAAGTTAAAGGTGAATATAAGTGATCAAGGAATGAGTTCCATATGCTTGATTTATATAACTATAAAGAAATAATGCATCAAATGCCTTATGTGGAGAGGCAAGAACATAATGTAAGGGTTGAGAGAAAATACCATGATATTCTAAACATTAACAAAGCATTGAGATTTCAAACTAATTTACCTCTTAGATTTTGGCGTGATTGTATTTTGCATACAATCCCTATTATGAAGAGACTTTCCACACTTGTTTATGAATAAAAAATCCCTTGAAAGATTATACAAAATACCATGCATGGTTACTCTTATTTAAGAATGCTCGAATGTGTGTGACATTTAATCATCATAATCCAGATACCTGCCAATCTAATTTTGTTTATGGTGATGAAGAAGACTGTGCAACTGCAAATCTAACATTTGAGCATATCAATGATATTGATGAGGTTATGAAGTTCCATAATATGATAAAGAAGATGATGATCAAGATGCTGACGATTGTGAACCATATCCAGACAACCATAGATCGAGATGATCAAATAGAGTGGCAAGAATTTCATGATACATTTCTGTCTACTTCTTAGGGTATGCTCATGCTAAGGTTCCACTAGATAATATACTCAATTGTGAGAACCTGCCAGAGAAACACAAGGACTATATACTTACTGTTACCAATATGGTACCACGAAGCCGTAAAAGAGGCAAGCTGTAAAAGTCCCATTATCTCAAGAGATACTGTGGATTGTCTAGTGGACAAGAAATCAGTGGGGAATAAATGAGAATACAAGATCAAACTTCATAGAAAGAAACTAAGTAAGTCAAGCTGAAAAATGATTTATCCAAGTATATGAATTGTATTTCTTGGACACTTTCTCCCTAGGGGTGAATATGAACACGAGGAAGACGTTGCTTGTTGCAACAGTGACTGGTTGGCATCTTGAGCAGCTTAATTTTAGTAATGCATCTTGCATGGAAACCTTGATCATGAACTGTTCATGAAACTTCCTTTGAGATTGGAATCAGATGAACCAATGAAAGGGGAAAGTTTGCAGGTGAAAGAAGTCATTGTATGGCATGAAATTGGTCAGTGGACAGTGGTTCACAAAGTTATCCGAGACTCTATTGAGATTTGACTTTGTGCAATCAATCTCACACTATTCCTTATTTGCTAAAAAAACACTAACAGAGGGTTAGTGATAATGTTGATGTACGTGGATGACCTGATCATATCGATCTGGAAATAACCTCAAACTCATTATTGAAGTCAAAGGATTCTTGAATTCATAATTTAAAGTCAGAGGCGTTGGAAGGTTGAAATACTTCTTAGTGGTGGTGGTGGCAGCAAGATAGATAAGGGGATTTTGTGTCCTCCGAGGAAGTATTGTTTAGAATTGCTCGTTGCTTCAGATTTTGCAGATTCTAAGCCTCCAAACAGACCAGTTGAGATGAAAACTAGGCTTGCAAATCTTGATGGATAATTAGTGAACAATTCACCAGTAGGAAAATTCAAGATTTCACGAAAGGACCAAACATATCGAGATCAAGTGCCATATAATTCGAGATCGGGTGCTGAAGTATGACTCACAAATATATCAGACATTATTTCTGATATGTAACTAGCATACCATAGAATACGTTCATGGCATCTAAATTAAGTACAAGAGGAGTTTCTAAACTTTTGTACATTGAACCATCCTTCCACTAGAACACCACCAACAAAGGGTCATTACAAATGTCCACCACTCAAAAAAACAACACACACTTGCTTCCCCATGGACAACTTACAAATTTATCACAATTACTTCCCCATTTTCACCTTCCCTTGAACCATTCCTTCCTCACTTCGGGGTGAATGCCTGTGAAAACAAAACAATTGAGTACCAAGAAACCATGTTAGTCCAAGACTACTGTGACCTAACCTAAGCTCACATAACCCTTTTGTCACCACTAAACTAATTCAATAGATATATATATAAGTTTGACTTACAGAAAAAATGGTGGCGTGACCAGGATCAGCAAGGTGAGCAAAGAGGTTGTCAATGGGCCCGGTCCCAGTGTAGATGTGTTGAAACCAAGCACCCATCACAGCCAACATAGCCAACCTCCCGTTCTTAATCTCCTTGGTCCTCAGCTCCTTGAGCTTTGCCGGCGAACCGCTGCCCCAACCCAACGGGTCGAACCACAACCCTCCCGGGTACCCGACGTCGGTCCCGGTCAGCTTGTTGTTGGGGAAGATTGGGTCGGTGTTGACGCATCCGGGCTTCAGGATGTCGGCCCATCTGCGGCCCTCGGCCCAACCGATGAAGATGAGCTCCACGATGAAAAGCGTGGTGGTGTCGGTGAAGTACTCCTGCTCGCCGGCGGTGTACCACGACGGCGTGTTGAGGATCCCGATCTTGGTCAGGAACTCCGGGATGAAGATCCCGGCCGCACCCAGCATCGCCCACCGGCAGTGGACCAGCTCGGCTTGAACGTTCCACCTCAGGGTTTCTGGGTCGGATCCTGAATCAATCATCCGCAACCCCAATTTTAGATCAAACCCAATTTCAATAAACCAAAGCAATTGCAGTAAATTCACGCATAGGGATGGCAATGGGTCGAGTTAGGTTCCAAACCCAAACTCAAACCTATTGTTTTACCCTAAAACAAATTCGGGGTAAAACCTAATGAGTTTGGAAAACTCAAATCCAACCCAACCCGCTGGGTATCCGTGGGTTCTTGGATATCCATGGATTTTTGTAGTAAAAAATTAACCAGTTTAGAAAATTCAAACAAATCACAAGTTATCCATACAAATTGTAAATTAGATTGGGGAAAATTAGAATTAGGGTAGGGTTTGGAGAGAGTAGGCGACGAAATCCTTGTGGTCGAGTACTCATGAGCCAGGTATCCCTAAACTCAACCCAACCCAATAAAAATATAATGAGTTTAAATCCGAACCCGACAAAAACCCGTCAACACGAGTTTTACCCGCACTGACCGGGATGGGTCAGGTAGAGTACCCGTGAGTTCGGATTTTGTTACCGTCCCTACCTAGGCCAAGTGGGTCGAAGCCGAAGTCACCGGGGAGGGTGCCGTCGAGCCACGCCGGAGGAGTGCTGCCGGGGAACCAGATGGGTCTCTCCGGGTCGGCTACAGCACAAACCGTAACGCCTTGTCGGGCGACCGGGGATGACGTCAACTTCCTCACATTCAATCTCTTCCCGCTTAGGAAAGCTGCCTTGGTTGCCGCAACAGCAGATCCATTCTTCTGTGAACTGCAATTTTGTACATCCGGAAAAATGCTCAGCATAATTAGAACATTAAATATTTTACACGACCTTGAAATGGTAAACTTGCCTGGGAGAAGAGACGGCTGCAATGGCAGAGGAAGCACAGACAGAAGCCATTTTTGCTTCCCTTTGAGTTATGTTTGTTCTCTTCCTTCCTCTTTTTCTTTTGGGCGTGACTGAAGGGGAAGTTGAGTGGTTGTTGGGTGTAATATACAGAAAGGCGGGAAGGAGAGGCTTATCTTGAAGGATAGGAGGATGAGTGGCGGGTTGCCACGTGGCATACAGAATCTAATCTAATGTCATCCTATGGTTTATTGGAAGATGTCTGGTTTTTGTTTTGGTATGCGATTACTTGGATTCTTGTCCCACAATTACATTTGGTGGTTCGCGTTGTTTCCCCCTTGCAGCGAAGGTCCACATATCGGTACTTCACAGGGCTAACTTGGGTTGCTGACACAAGCCCGTTGTGACGAGCCGCCGGCCCAAAGGCAAAACGTTTCAGGCCTATGATTTTGCTGCCGTCTAACCAGGCCCAACCTGTGGGTCAAGTGTTATCAACTGCATAAGTTGATAATGGGCTCTCAAGCTTTCAATCTACAAGTTGCGGTTCCAATTTTTGTGGCACATGATAAAATGTTTAGTTTGGTGATATTCATTCATTTCTGCAAGCTTGTCGAGTCCAAAATTTGTTATTAAAGTAATGGTAAATAATTTGATAAATGGAATTACCATTTGATTAGTTAGGATTTAGCTTTAAGGTATGTCTAAAATGAAAATATATAACATGGAATTTGATGTTTGTATTGATCTATGACGTGGTTTGAGAAGTTTCTAAATAACGTTCATTATCCAAACTATGTAGGAAGCCACTCTCAACATATTCTATAAAAAAGTCTACGTGTTTAAAAAAATGAGGATTTTAGATAAAATCTGAATTTTGGAAAACTTTGAAGATGGATTTGGAAAAATATTTTGGTGTTTGCTTGTTTGATTTCATGATGAATTTTATTAAATTAAATTTTTGGTATAAACCATAATTTATCTTATTGCCTTATTTTTACTATTTCTCTATTATGATTTGTTTTCCGTATAAACTAATTTCTACCCGTAAATTGGACATGATTCATAATTAAGGTGGACACACTTTAATCGTGAGATCCATGCCCTCAGGAAGGAGTATCCAGTGGTGAAGGTGCAGTTCGTGGGGAGACAAAACAATAGGATTGCCCATATGGTGGCAAGAAAAGCTATTGCATTGTTCGCTAGGGATGTGCTATGTTTTGATTATTGAACTTGGCTCCGTATGGAGTTGCAAACGTTCGATCAATTTTTCTTGATAATGCTAGCTATGTTTGATTTAAAAAAATGTGGACACTCTTTAATTTTAACCCCAACAAAGTAAGGGGGGAAAAGTAGAATAATTTAATCACACCTTATTAATATTAAATTAATGTACATGAAGCATTCGAAATAATCTGCATCCAGAATTCCTATAAATCTCAAAGCCCCAAAACATATGAAACATTATTAGTAACATGGTATTGAGAGCAAATCGGCAATATACTAATAAAATTGTGATACATGAGTCATTTAGCATCATGGATTTATCCTCTCTTTCAAATCCCACCTCATGACTTTTTTTTTTAATTCATGGGACCTACAAGATTTGAACCTCCAAATCCATAGACCTCACGAATTTGATACATTTATACTTCTTCAACAACCATGTGGGTTCTCCCAAAATTGATAATCATTTGGATTTGGTACCCCTAATTGGTTGGTTAATAACCAAGACCTCTATTTATTTCGTAGCATTCGGAGGCCCGCAAAACTATAAAATCCCCGTTTGTTTATTGGATTGTGATGATGGATTTGAAAGAAAATCATGCTTGTTGAAATTTTTTGAAGGTACTGAATTCACGGGATCCATGAATTTGCAAAAACCATGTCATGAGATGGGATTTGAGAAAGAAACACAAAATTATGAAACTAAGATGACGTATATACCCTCATTTTATTTACATATTAGCAATTAACCTTAGTATCCCATGTTATTGATTATGACTTCAAATATCCCATGTTATTGATTTTGGAGGATTCAAGATTTATAGGAACTATGGACGACGTATATTATTTTCAAATACATGATGCTCAAATTCTTATTCATTAAATATTACTTAATTCACTCAACCATTTTTTCATTACTAAGTTGGAAAAATATTAAAGTGAGTCTACCCTAATTAGGAATCATGTTCAATTTGTCGCTAAGCTAGATATAGCGAGAGATTGCGGGAGAGAGATGGCCTGAGAGACAGATTGAGCCGCGGCACAGATGGCGACAATAAGTGTGAGTCGGGATTTCTTATGAGCTTTCGAAGGCAGAGCAGATGCCAACAAACACAACGACGATCAGCTAAGTAGAGAGAGGGAGATGCTGGGGGATTTGGATTTCATATTGAGTGTGGTCGAAAAGAAGGTGGGAGATGAGGTGCTTTGATGAGTAGATAGATAATCGAGAGGGACATTGCTTTAAGATTGATAGTGGCAAAAAAGAGGGCGGATGATTGCGGTTGGGAAGAGTCGACGATTGAGGTAGGTTCCGGTGGTAGGTCCGATGTTTTTATTTCTTATGGAGGTTGGGAAGAGACAAAGACGGAGAGTTATTCAGTTTCTGGTAGGAGATTGGAAAACATACAACAAGGAAGAAACAAATTGATAGTAAAGACCCTCCGAACTGTGTGGTCATTTCAACAAAAGATGGCATGACAGAAGTTTTATTTTGATATTGTTTTGTAGTGTTTTGTAGATTTTGTCCCGACCAAACATGTCCCAGAAGGATTCTTATCAATCTTCAGTTAGCACATTATTTAGTTGTTATTTTTCATTTCCTTATCATTGGAGTATGGTGTATGTTAAATGGATATATAATATTCTTTGTTTGAGAGTAATTGGTCAAATTGAGATTAAATTTGTTAATCATATACAAAATTTTAAATTGTAGATATAGAGTAAGTGCTCCTAACAATCGAGTTGACTCATTTATAGTCCTCAAATCCAAAGTTTTTTTTCTTTCATTGAAGCAGTTTCTTTGTATTGATGTAGTGAAAAAAGAGCCGATACAACGAGATAGAGTCAACGCTATAAATGGTGCCTCACAAGTCAACTAGAACCACCTTTCTATACGCTACTACTTACAATGTAAAAAACCAGCAAAGGTATGTGTAAACTATCTAAAGGTATCCTAGCTTCTCCAGCTCCTTGCGCATCATAGCGTTCCCTGCAACCAGAAAGCACAGCTCAGCTTTGATAAAAAAGGCAATTTCCTCAGGCTCCCTTCTACTTGTTCCATGTACCAGTAGACATCGTTCTTTCCAAATAAATGCTAGCAGCATGCACCAAACCGTCCCATGCCAACATCCAGAAATACCCTGGCGAGCCATAACACTAACCTCATATAGCATTGAGCCCCAATCCTTAAAGTTCAAGAGTTTGCACCGCAGAGTAAATACAACTATGCGCGTGAACATACATTGTAGAAATAAAGCTCTCTAGTCTCTATCGCAGCCCCACATAGAACACAGGAAGCATCAGTAACTTTTCCCCACTGTTGTAGTTTTGTCTTAGTCACAATGGCATGCTACAATAAGCCAAGCAATTAGACTGTAACGAGGAGGACATGGTGCACCCCAGATAAGTCTGTACCACTGGACCTCTTGCTGGCTGTTACAAAGCGAATCCCATACTGTTTTGACTGAGAACGTGTGCATCAGGTGAGACCCCCAGTAGACTCCATCGGTTCCTCGTCTTAGCCAGAGACGGACAATGTGCCTCAGTTTAAGTAGCTTTTGCCAAGTCCAAGAACCACTAAACTGGAGCTTCATCGACCAAAGATCCCGCTGCTTACACTTATAATCATACATCCAGGCCACCCAGAGAGTACCTGATTTCAGGAGGAACAACCAAAGCATTCGCACAGTACAAGCTTGATTCCATGCTAAAATATCTTTTTACCCCCAGACCACATTCCCTCTTTGGTAGTGCAATTTTTTCCCAAGCTACTTTGCACACCCTTCATCACTGCCATGCCATAAAAACTGAGAGCAGAGTTTCTGTACCCGCTTGAGAACCAGTTTGGGCAAGACAAAAAGTTGCATCCAATATTGAAAAATCCCCAATAAAACATAATTAAGCAACTGCAATCTTCCAGCATATGTAAGCTTCTTAGCACGCCATGATCGAATTCTCTTAGTTATTTTGTCAACCAGAATATCCACTTCTTTTGAAGATAGCTTCCCTGTGATTAGAGGCAAACCCAAGTACCTAACTGGTAAGGAACCCTCCTGGAACCCCGAAAGAGACAAGGCAGTGTTCTTAAAATCAACAGTTTCTTTTTATTTCGAGCAACCGTTCTTAACCAATTAGAGTTAGTTTTAATTTGAATAGCAATAAATATCTAGTCTCAAATTGATTTCATTCACAGTTTCCCAATTGCAGTTGGTTCTTAATTTGAGAGTCTTTTTTAATTTTCAAATTCAACATTGATCACTCTTATTTTCTTGATTTTTTTATTGGATCGTATGCATCGTCTTTGTCGTATACCAAATACGTATAAGTTGTTGCCCATGAATGATCCCTTGTAAGTTTGGGGTTATACTTATAATATATTCCTTTACTATGCATTTTTATCAAATATGGCTCTCTACTAGTTTTTACATGAAACATTCCTTTGTACTTTGGAAAAATAATCTCTTCTTTTCCGTTGAATTTTGAAAAAAATTTCAAACATGTCCATCCATTAAAATTTCCATAAAAACGTTAACCGCGGTCGAACCATGGTGTGGGTGACAGAAATGTTTAAACTATCCCTAATAATTTCACTTATACTATTTTTGGTTTCTTTTGTGTAGCCTGATACCCCTATAATTTTATTTTAACAAGACTTGGAGAAATAAATGAAGGGTAAGAAATGACCCTTCCCACACTTTGTCTAGACCAAGTAGTCCGAACCACGATTAATTCGTGGTTGATGGAGATGAAAATTTTAATAAAAATACATGTTTTTCAATTTTTCTAAAGTACACGTGCATGTTTGATGTAAATATAGTAACATACATATTTGATAAAAATACATTATAAAGTACCATATTGTACAAAGTCTAACCTCTACCAAATCTTGCTACCTTACTTCGATCATTACACGACTATGATGAGAGGGATAAGATTACAAAATCTGATTTGGGTAATGAAACCTAGTGGTTAATGGTAAATCCCAAAGATTTCCCAATAGTCAAAGAGCATAATGAAAGTGTTAGGTGATTTAGTAACAGGGTTTCACATGCTTGGCCACCACCCAAGTAACATGCTGCAACAGCAAACAACCTCACGATGGAATGATTTGGGAGCTTTTAAGGAAGCAACTGGTTGTTAGGAGATCTTAAGATTAAATTTTCTACTCTATTATATATCCTTCTTTCTATCCCATATTTGTCTGCTTGAACTTTTCGATGCCTACCTAGCTACCCAATAACCCACATCAACCCATGATTTGATCCAAGAAGTAGCAAGCATCCATCATTAATGGTATGTGGGATAATAAAACAGAAAGCAAAAGAAATCATCATTGAAATTCTTTTCCCCATTGGACCTTTGGATTCCTTAAAAATTCATCTTTTTATTATTTTTATTTTTTACATTCATGTGCTTGCTATTAGTGATGCAATTGTGTCTCAAAAGAACCATTTAGCCCA